CGGTTCTTCAGGAAGTTGCCAATGAAGGCAGGGAGGTGACCGCGTATGCCGAGTGCGTGCAGGTCTTGAAGAATGCCGTACTTCCAGGTTGTGTCGAAGGCTTTTTCTAGGTCAAAAAAGATGGCGATCATGTGGCCTCTTTCGGCGAACGTCTCGCGTATAAAGGTCTCCAAGGTATAAAATGTGCTTTCAAGGCATTCAAGGAGTGCTTGATACATGAGCTCACAGCACTTGCTGCAAGTATTACCCTCACTATCCTTGTAACTACCCCCTCCAGAAAATCTGGAACAGCCAAAGAAGGAAATGTTGTTGAGCGCTACCGAGGCAATGTCCACCTCATCGACTTTGATGTCGCTGATGTTAGGAGCGTTCTCTGTATTAGAAAGAGAATAAGAAAGATACCAGTTTATATTGCACAGCGTGCTCTAATAAGCCACACTCGTGTGCACAGGGGAGCTTCTACGAGTACCACAATCAGTAAAGTTTCATTTATTGCAGAAGGAGGCTCTGGGGATTTTTTTGACTGTGTGGTGACATTTTTCAAACTGGTTATTTGACCCAGGAAAGACATAAAGACTTCAAACGAAAATTTGTGAGCAACAAAATGGATTTACTTTCATAATAATATGACAACTGATTTGATTATGGCAGTTTACAAGCCCGCCAAGTTATGGTGAGTCAATCAAATATTTATTGTAAAAAATTACCTCCCCATTTTCTTTCACCCGTCTTCTGCCATATTGCTTACTTCTCTTAATTTGTGTTACCAGCACACACAAGGACTACTTTATATGGCGTACTCCTACATAAGCAGTAGGAGTGCTCCATCCTCTTCGCCTCAGTGCATTCCCACTAGGGAGACATTTGGAGTTTCTCTGCGGAGATTGATGCTACGTTTCGTGCCTTCATATTTATTTTCATTGTTCGCACTTGCCGTGTTTGTGATTTTTCTCCTTCTGGATTTGAATTATGTCAGGTGGAGAATCTAGGTTTGAGGACTTTACTAAGGCTCTACAAGAAATAACGGGGCAGCTCACGGATGGCAGAGGCTGAAGACTCCTTGAGGAAAGTTTGTGGTATCGATGAAAAATGCAATGGAAAGGAATAGTTTGAACTGAGCCCCGATTGCAGAAGCCTGGCCAACGTTCACATCAAATGTGCTGCTGTCATTAACGACAATGACATTCGACAGTTAATTGAAGAGCACTCTAAGCCAGAGGACCCAATGATCTACATGGATGAATCGGTCAGGAGGGGTGAGAGAAGTAGGTGGGGTTTGGGGTACACAGTGGGAACCAAACAGGTTCATAGCATGACAGGGATCATAGAAAGAACAACTTCAAGCATGAAAATGGAGTTTGAAGCCGTAACAAGAGCGCTTGGCAGGCTTCAAAATACAAGACCAAGAACTACCCATCTCATTATTGTCACAGACTCCCAAAGCATCCTGCGAAGGGTTGAAAAAGGGCTGCTTCGGAGGGAATGGATGAACCCAATACAACACTCATCACTTAGAGCAATCACGTGGATATTCTGTCCTTGGCACTCTGGAGTGAAGGCCAATGAGGAGGCTGATAGGCTGGCAGGCAGTGCCGTGGTTGATGGTGAGGTGAAATTTGACAAAGGAGAAGTGTTGAAGACCCTGGAGGAAAAGTTGTGGGATGAGGAAGACAGGGAGACAGCAGAACACCATGCAATCATCAGGATGCGGGAAATTGGGATAGAGAGGGGAAAAGGAAAAAAGGAACGATTATCTGGAAAGGAAAGACGTCGCCATAATCAGACAGCCACTGGAACAACCAGTATGAATACCTTGCGGGCTTTGGTGCTGGGAGGAACTGAGCACTTATGGACCTGTCCGGTGTGTAATGACATAGTTGCCCAGGACATGTAATAAAATGTAAGCAATAACAGATCGCCTCTCCCCTATCGAATCCCGCCTTGATTCTCTACCCCCCCCCCCCAAATTCTACACGACTTCACTAACAGCTTTATGACTAATTGAGCTACTGAGACCCCAGGTCTTCTAGAGATATCTTCTCTGGGACTTCTGAGTCTAACGTAAGTTGAGGGATAAGAGTTTCCGTGCCATCCCTCTCGGCTTTTGTTATGGCATTCAGCACATCATCTACAAGTGTTTTGACGGAAGAGTTGAGACGAAGCACTTCTGGACTTGTTTGATTGGCTCTATGCAGCTGGGTGCGTAAGAATTCCACTTCCCTTGCCAACAACTGACGGTCACGACACGCCTGACTGTATTTGGTTAATGCTTCAGCCATCTGAGGATATCAAATACAGTTGACAATATTGAGGGGAAAAAGAAAAAAAGACAAAGGGATGCAAAGAAAGAATTACAAAAAGACTGGAATGTACAGAGCATGACACAAAGAAAGGGGTGTAGAATGAGGGGAAAATATGACAAGAGTAAAAGGGACTGATGAAAGCAACAACACTGATATGGGGTTAAAAAACAACCTAAGACTGATTGAGTGTTGGAGAAAATATTTGCCAAAGTATACAGAAGAGAAAGAAACGAGAAATACTCATCTTCATTAAGTATTTGCAAGGTTTTCAATCTACAAGTAAAGACTCATCATTCTTACGCATGTCTGGTATGGTATATATCAAGCAACAAACGAGAACTTCGGAAAGAAAAAATGCATACCTCCAGCTATCTCAAGCTATACTACTCCTACCCATTATGAATTTCCCACCCGCACCACAAATGACAAGTTGCGATAATCTGGTGCAAAAATATCTGCAGGAAAGCATGAAGCACACTAGAGATCAAGGAGCAATGGAAAAGACATGCCTGTGGAGTCTTTGGTGAGACTGTAAAGTGTACCCACACAATGCACAGGACAAGTCTTCCAGACCTGCCACTCTATGAAATCTAAAAATCAGGATTTCTGAGTTTAAAAATCAGGATCTGGTGAAAAAAATCGGGATCAACGGCAAATCAGTCATAAAGGGCACCGGGGGGGTGTCCTGGTTCCCTTTTATGAGGCAAGTATGCAAGACAAAACTTTTGCAGGAATAGGTTCACGTCTGAGCCTCTAAAGAGAGGGAAAACTGAAAGACAGCATATATGTACTTAGTCGAAGTTGGATAGACTGGGGGGAGCGAAGGTTGCAGCGTTGCTGAAACACTCGTAGTCTTGAAAATAGCTGACACGTAACTCTAATCATCCATGCAAAACGCCCACGTTTTAACAACGTTTGACTTCCATCACATCGAAAAAAAGATCGCGCCAAGGTTGTTCATTTTTTTCTCCCTTATTCCTTTCCCCTTAATTAGTACCTGTGTCATGGCACGCACTTTAACCCCAAGTGTCAAAACAACCCCCTCCCCCCTCCCCTCGGTCGTCCCACACTGAAGTCCCGAAAAACACCTCGACCAACGCGACCGGTGTAAATTAACTTTGTTGACCCCGACAACCGACGGTTCCCGACACACGCGCTACTCACACGTACGAGCTCATGTCACGAAATGCGAATGAGCGTTTGAAACTAGGCCGATTTTAGTTGAAATAACGTACGTGAGTCAACTACTAGATCTAGATTCGGCATAGATGCTTTAGAAAATAGCGGTCCAAGTTCCTGCAGATAAAAAGTCCAATCGGTATTTCCAAACAAAAAAGATTGCAGAACTTTTTATTTTTTTATCTAAGAATCAGACGCAACAGACGCAACGACAAAAAATCAGGATACCGGCGATCGAAATCGGGAAAATCGGGATGTTTGAGATTTGGGGCAAAAAATCGGGATATCCCGATTAAATCGGGATGAGTGGCAGGTTTGGTCTTCTGACAGATTGTAAATGTTTTATGTCACAACAGACTCCATCTAGATAATATAAGAGGCAGGCTGCTGTCAGGGCCAACCTCGGCCGAGTGGGCTACAGAATCCCAGCAGAAAGATGGTATTCAATAGAAATGAGCCTCCCTGCATGGGAATTGAACTCATGTCTCCTATGTGCAACCATGAAAAACCTTACTACTTCACCACAGACAGAGGTAAAAACCTTAACAATGGTGAACATTTTCTAAAAGATAAAATACACATAAGAGTAAAATTTTCAACGATAAAAAAAAACCTACCCATAAGTACCAAAAACACCTACTAGAAAAATAAATACAAACATTAGCTCCAAATGCCCAGAAAAAAAATGAATACACACGAATCCACCACAAAGACAGTTTTTTTTTTAATAGACAAAGAAGTATCAAAATGCATAATACAAAAAAAAAAAAAGACCTGAAAAATGAGCACACAAGTATCGAAATGCCCATTTACTGCCAAACTGACCTGCACTGCCTGGTTTTGAGCCCCAGTGTCGAGAGTGCTAAGTCTTTCCCTCATCTTGTCATGTAGACGAGTGTGCTGGTCTGACTCTGCCTCCAGCTCTTCCAGTCTCTGAGTCATCCTCTCCATTCGACTCGACAGTTCCGTGTTGCTCTGGTTCAGTCGGCTGTTGGAAACTCTGAAGATAAAAGGTCATGATCTTGTTTTGAGTACTCCGAAAAAATGTGCTGTAAGAACTGAAATTGTAAGTCGATACTGACAGGCTGTTTAAGAGAGCTATTATGAGAGAGAGAGAGAGAGAGAGAGAGAGAGAGAGAGAGAGAGAGAGAGAGAGAGAGAGAGAGAGAGAGAGAGAGAGAGAGAGGGGGGGGGGGAGAGACAGACAGAGAAAGAGTGAGGGAGGGAAGGAGAGAGAGAGAGAGAGAGAGAGAGAGAGAGAGAAGGAGAGGGAGAGAAGGAGAGAGAGGGAGTGGGAGAGAGAAGGAGAGGGAGAAGGAAAGGGAGACAGACAGACAAGACAGACAGACAGACAGAGACACAACTTGTTCATGATTTTCTACAATGTATCCTTCATGCTGTAAGTGTACACATCCACTTTCAGTCAGTATTGCCATCAACATTTCCCTTGTGGACAATAACGTTCTTATTCCATCTCAAGCTGACAACACGTACCTGTACTTCTTGGTTGTCTTCTCTAAGTGGACGGCTTGTTTTTTACACTCCTCCTGTAGCCTCATGATTAGTTTGTTCTGCTTTAACAGCAGAGTGTCCATCTCATGGGTGGACTGACCTGGAAACAGATTGAAATAGCCGAGTCAGACTGGGATGAAATGACCTTGCTTTATTTGTCTGAATAAAGAGAAGCATATCGACACCATAAAGGCCATTTAGAGCAAGGAAACACAAAGATAAACAGGCAGAAATAACGATGGGAAAAGGCAGGCAAAGGACCTACCAGTGGCCTCCTCTGACCACCCACATAAGATCATAATTTAGACAGGCATGAGATGATCATTACGACACACATTGGGTCTTACACAAAAATGAAGGGGCTAGTTGAATAAAAGATGGGATTGTAGTGGGGTAGAGAGGGTAAGAGAATGCTCAATATAACAAAATTTCAAGAATAGATTTGGCTACAGTTTATGTTTACAAAAATAATAACGATAGTAATATCCATGAGGCTCCCCAAGCACTTCAATCGTTTTTCTGTTTACCAAAGGAGAGTCGGGTATGTTTAAATGTATCCTTTAACTATGGCAGTTGTTCTTTATTGCAATATTACTAAGAACAAAGCGCTTGGGAGACCATGTTAGGAAAAAGCAAAAGTCTTCTCAAGCTAACTTCATTTTGATAAATATGTGCAGGCAATGGCTACTTCAACAGCATCTGTGGAGCAATGGTTAGACTCTCTGCCATTGCAAACAGATGACATGAGTTGTATTTCCATTTAGAGAAGTGATTCTATCGAGTATCTCCATCTGGCTGATAGGATGATTTATCCCACTCAGCTCGGGTGGGCCTTGACAGACAGGGTTGAAGCAGCTTGCAATAAAGGCATCCCAAAAGATCTAAACTGAGTTCAGGGATGTAATCAGGTTTTGAAAAAAAAGCCGAAAAATATACCGCGCGCACGCACTGACTGATATAAGAATACAGTGACACTAAATTATATTTGTTTCTTTCCCTCTATTACAACAAATAATCTCTATTTAGTATATACAATATGTATTGTTTATAGTAGACTTTTGTGAAAAGCTGGAGCCCAAATGGCAAGTCGGCCGGAAAAACCGGAAAAATCTGAAAGATTTACATCCCTGTGAGTTGATGGGGGCATAGAACATTCACAAACAATCAAGGCCATCTTTCTGACCTGACACAAATCTGCTGATCCCACAAGTAAGAGAAAATTGTACACAGCATTTAAGAAAGACCCACTGTGTTTGTCTCAGATAGGAGCCATAAAACAGTCAATCAACATTACAGTCAATAAAGGCCATCTTTTTTACCTGACCCATTTATGCCAACCCCACAAACAAAATAACTGTGCTCAGCTTAAAAGAAAGACTCACTGTGTCTATCCTCAGCTTCCTCCATCTTTGCCTTCATTTGTTCCTCTCTGTCTTGAGCTCTCTGGCGCAAAAGTTTCAGGTCATCTGCACGACTTCGTTCCACAGTGTCACGAGCCATCTTGGCCAGATGGAGCTGAAATATGGAAGTATCAGCAGTAAGTAAACACTTTGTTGACGCAAAACCACAAGAATAAATCACTACCCAAAACATTTTTGTCCATCCAATGTCTCTATAATTTTTTTTAAAGGAGAGTCAGGTATGTTTAAATGTACCCTTCAACTATGGCAGTTGTTCTTTATTGCAATATTACTGAGAAAAAAGCGCTTGGGAGACCATGTTAGGAAGAAGCAAAAGCTAATTTACAACAATTAATTAGCTGTAAAAATGAACATAACATTGTTGGATTAAAAGATTTTTGAGAAATACAGTTGAAACTGTTTAAGACGGCCACCCATTGTCGAGGAGAAAAGTGGCCATCATACACAGGTGACCGCCTTATACGGTGTCATTATTAAGTAAAAAATATGCAAGAGAGGAAATAGGAAAAGGCTGTTTGATCAGGTGATTGTCTTATACAGGTGGCTGTTAGAGCAGGTTCGACTGTACTCCCTAAAGCACGACTACTGACATGTTATTGACGTTAAAGCTGAAACTATAAAAACAATGTTGACATTCTAAAAAAATATACATTCTTCTTAATTATTACTAACATCATTTCTTGGATAGACTATCATTCAGCCTGCCCAGTTCTATCACAATTATTTAAATTGAATTTGGTCCGTCTGTCATTTATCCATGCTGTATCTCTTTTTTTCTGTACAATATCTTTCTACAGAGACATTTATCTTCGAGGAACAGAGGAATGGTTTTCCAACCTCTCTCTCCAGTGCTTGAACATTGGCAGTCATGTGGATGCATTCTTCTTTGGCGTTGACGAGCTCTCGCTCGGCTTTGTTAAGTCGTTGCCGTAAGTCATCCAGCTCTATTTTTGTCCTACTGCTCTCCTGTAGAACAAAAACAAATTTTTTCAGCCATTAAGAAAGAAATAAAGAGTCCGAGGCAAAAACAGGGACAGTCATGGCAAAACTAGCAGAATAACAATAATAATGATAAATACCACTACTACTAATAATGATGATGATACAGTTGAAATTGTTCAGGATGGCCATCCACTATCAAAGCGGTTGTCTTAAATGGGAAAATGAAGTGAACAATCTAACCAAAATGTAAAAAAACGCAAATGGGGAAGTGGTCATTTGTACAGGTGATTGTCTTTGACAGGTGGCCGTTAGAGAAGGTTCAATTGTAACTGTTTATATAGCACATACCCACGTCTACAACAGGCTTCACTTGCTTTACAACTAATAGAGACCATTCAGACACAGTCTGGGTTTCCCAGCAAACATACAGGGCAAGCAGCCGATGATCTGCTCAAACATTGTTATCTGACAAGATTGTTAGCCATGAAGAAGAGAGCTAAAGTGCTACCGTACCTGATCGTGCTCGTGTTTCAAGTTCTCCAGCTCTGAACGGAGGCGGCTGGACTCGTACAGAGCGTTGTTGCGTTGTAAGGAAGCATTGGTTGTCTCAGTGCGGTAGCTCTCTGCAGTCTGTCAGACATAAAGAGAACTTTGGAGTTATTTTTGTTTGTTTTGGTAAGTGTTTTACGGCGCTCGCAACTGCATAAGGTCATATGAGTGTGCTGGACACATTAAAAATTTATGTTTAGTGTGGTAGGAATTAATTTTGAATTTTGCTCTGATGACGGTCGAAATATACTCTTATCGATTTTGGACCACCAAGGGATCTTGAACGAGTATGGGATCTCCATGATTTTTCACCCTTATCCGAGAAGGCTTGGCGTTAGATTTTACCTATCGTAAGATCAGGGGTGTGGTTGAAAGACAGCAGTACGAAGGAGCCAAGGAGTAGTAATAGAAAGGCTGCAGAAAGAGTCAAGAGCCCAGAGGCGGGGGAGATGAAGGCAGACGACACAACATGGTTAGAGAGCACTTTTGAGTTAAGTCTTTCCAAGATGTCAGTTATATTGAGTAGTAGCTTAGAGGCCATAACATTTTGACAGGAACAGATAAAAATGAAAGTAGCACCGAAAAGAAGTAGGTGCAGGAGACCACAGTAGAGCACTCACCAACCACCCTCTGTATTAGCTCAATGCAGAACAAACAGAAGAGTGAAAGAGAAAAAGGATTTCCGGCAAGTCTCTAAAATCCTGTACTCTACATATTTGCGATAAACAAATTCTTTCTCTGCTACCAGGAAAACTCATTACACAAAGTAATTTGTGGCGCGTGAGGAAAAATAAGATAGGCAGACATTGAATCTGTTTTTAAGTTTAACATCAATAGCATAATGAAAAGTTTCAGTCAGCAAGAAATAGATATAAACATACCAGCCCATAACAAAACAAATCATGGACTTTAGAAATGCTTTGAATTTTCGGTGCCTTCAAAGAGTGGGACCAGCTAGATGCACTAGTCTAAGCTGAGACCAGCTGACTATAGCAGCCAAGGATGGTAATGGCTTGGACGAGATAATTGAAACAGCCATGGCTGGGTTTGGTTAGTGGCCATAACCAAGACTAGGACCACACAACAGGCTGAGGCATGGGGACCTTACCACAGTGACCTCCCTGTCACAGGTGCGTAGCTGCGACTTGAGTTCCTGCAGTTCTTTGCTCAGGCTGGCTTTGTCCCGAACCTCCTTCTCGAAGCGTGCTTGTGCACGCGTGTAATGCTCACCCAGTTCTTGCATCTGTGATCAAAACCCAGACAAAAGACTTAGGGACAGGAATGATAGTTTGCATTTTTATCATTCTTCGGGTATAACCATCTCTCTATCTCTCTCGTTTTCTCTCGATCCTTTCCTCTCTCTCACCTTTGTATAGTACCAAAACTGACCTGTGTAAAATAAAAAAAGCCCTGTTTGGTATTTGAAAAGACACATTTGTAAGGCATCGTGTTGAAATAAGGCGCTCGTCAAAATAACAAAATCAGAGAAACGGACATTTTCCCGCCAGTTAGGAAATTTTCATGGAATTTTTGCTTTACGGCTCAACCCCTTTTATGTCCATATAAAAACACATTTCCACATGAAGTTTACTGAAAAACTTTGACTAAGGCACAAATATGTCTTTTTACAGTTTTCAAGGACTCTTTAGCTATTGGAGTTACCAAACTTTGGCAGCCATTTTCTCACCAATTTCACCACTGAAACCAGGCCACCTCATTTCCTTCAATCACAAGTATGTGGGCTCCTATTCAAGGTAAATGGATATTTTTTTCATTGAAAGCAAGGCAAATTAATAAGATTTTAGATGATGCCAATAACTCCACATGCCTAAAAATTAACGAGCGCCTAATTCCACCACGTCGTCACACATTTGTTCAACACTATCCTCTGCTAGTAAATTTTGTATGCAAGACGTGTGCGAATCTAGGAGTTGTGCGAGTGTATGTTTGTGCGTGAATTTGTGTGTATGTGTGTGTGCATGCATGTGTGTGTGTGTGTAGGTGTGTGTGTTTGTTATTGTTGTTGTTAAATGGTCTCACAATATGCATTCTTTGTCCATTAATTTGTCAGTTGAGTGATAGTTTTGCACTGTACAGTGTGCTTAGAGCTTTCTAGGCATTAGGTGCTATATAAATTCCCATTAGTATGTATGGGTGAGGCATGTCAACAACATTGATCTAGACAACCCCATACAGATATGCTGCCTGTCTCCACTGAGTTAATAAAACTAAAACGGAACAACGGACCTTTTTATTGAGGTCGTCGATGAGCTCCTGGTTCTCCTGACGAGCTGCTTCTCGCTCTGCTCTGATCAAATTCTGTGACTCGCGGACATGAGCCTCAAACCTCTGCCTTGTGCGTGCCAGATCATCACACACCTGCTCTTTCTCTACCAAAGCCTGAAGAGAAAGAAAAGACACAGCTCTGATTGCTTGTTTGAGTAGAAGAGAACCTTATCTGATGAACACACCGATGATCAGCTGATGGGAGAGGCAAAAGGACTGACAACAAACAAAAACACAAAAACTTTTGTTCATATTTTTATCATGTCTACTATACATGTGGCAAAAATAATTTAAGGCCATTTAGAGCAGGGCACAACAAAAATAAACAGGCAGATGGCCAAAAAAATTTTTTTTATGAGATAATGAAGTTAGCAGAATACCAAGACCACATTCTATTCAATGAAGAATCAGCCATGCAGGGAAACCCACTGAATAAAAAGAACTTATTTTCATCTCCTTGTTTCCATTTCTAAAATGGGTTTGCTCCAAAATTCTCACAATTTGGTTAATACCTCTTCAATATTTACTGGCTATTTTTTTTTTCAGAGTGAACCTACTTCTGAAATTAATTTAATTATTGGATGAGCCATCTACAAAATGACTTGGAAAGAAAAAGAAAGACACACGAACAAGATATAACATTAGCCACTTTCAACTATTTATAAAGGGGTTAGAAAATGGTATGTAAGTTGAGAAGGTGTAGCGTTATGGGGCCTTGGTGCGCACTTTGCAATTTTTTTCCCCCTCCCTAGCTTTTTGTAACCAGTGACTGTGCACTGAAAGTCTTAAAGACAAGACTCCAAATACCTGCGTCTGTTCCAACTGAGCCTGTTCCACCAGCTCTATGCCACGTTTCATCTGTTGATAAGCTTCCTCTTCTCGCTGCGAGACCACGGCCAACTGTGACCTCAGGCTGACCACCTGCTCTGCTAGCTCGTCACGTTCCCTGATGAAAAATATAACAAGAAAATATTCTCCATCATCATCGAGTATCAAACCTGTGACAGACATCTTTTCCTGACATCCATTTGTTTAGGCTGTCCACGTAGGTTGCTCTGGGTCTACCCCTGCCTCCTATTTTGCAAGCCAGACCTAGATGCTTAAGAACCGTAATGGAATATGCTGCTGACATTTCTATCTTTAAATGAGGACCTTTCAGACTTGGTTTAACATTGAAATTATACATTTGGTGGTATAGAGATTGAGAACAGAGATTCAAAACTCACATTTTTTTACAGTCCTTAGCCGGCAAAGGTAAATAATGGTCACAAAATGATGAAAATTCATCAATTGAGAAGTTTATTGCTCAATTAATTGTACACCAATCTTCTTCAAATTTGTGAGGATATAAAACAAACAAAGATCTAAATTTAAAAAAACATGGATTTTCAATTAGAGCAATTTCAAAGATTTTACAGCTTCCACACTTTAGTGTACCCACAGTATTGACAATTTAAAGGGGTAGGACAGTTTAAAATTTTTTTAAAAAGTACTTTACAAATCAAACCACATCATAATAGACATGCGTACAAAGTTTCATCCAACTTGGTTCACAAATAATTAAGTAATACATATTTCTGTGGAAAACATTTGCGAAATAAGAAAATCACCAAAAAAAAAAAAAAACGACCAAAAAAGTCATATTAACTCACAATTTCTCTATATTTTGTTCCCACGTTTTCAAGCATGGTATCGATTCCGGAAATGCAAAAGGCAGAAATTGAGCTAAACAGCAATACCAAACACCTCAGGGAAGGATGCAATGTGCTGTTTGAGTTATGACGTTACTTGGTTCAGGTTATGAGTTGTTTTTCAACAAAACACAAAAGGAAAGACCTATACCTACATATTTCATGGGCAATTTATGCCAAGAAGAGATCTTTCTTTAGTATAACTGATCATATGACGCCATGTAGAAATGGTTGAACAATCAAAATCCATTAAAAATGAATCTTCTATGAAAATTTGATTTTTTGAACCAATTTCCCTTAAAGTCTACTCAAGTGTCCCAGAAACTGCATTTGTCTTTTCCCGATTGTTAAAGAACAGAAACAACATGCATACAACAGTCAAGCAAAGAGCTTGAAATTAGATAAAGATAATTTCTCTCTCCCCAAATGGGATTCTTATGCGGATTTCTATATTTTGAACTGGTTCCTTGGCATGCAAACTCCAGAATAAAAATACTGTTAAGCAGTTAGAGGGCCTCTTCAGCAGAGTGGATTTTTACACACTTTGTTATTAGAGGGAGACCACTATTTTAATCAGATCCCATTAGAGCGCAGTAGTAACAGTGGGCAGCAAGTCATATGAGACTTCACAAATAGGAAATGTTGAAACCAAGAGAGAGGCCTGCAAGCTGCAAACATCCAAAAGCGGAATTGGTCTCATCAGCAATAGCAGAAGCCTGAAGTCATCTTAACCTTTAATTCTTCTAATTCATCTATTTCCCTTGACAAATATTCCCATCTGCTTATATGCATTTATCATCATGAGACAGTGACAGACGAACTTTTATAATTACTATTACTGTATTAAACAAAAAAGATTTGCAGTATAAAATATAGTGCTTTGTTATTTCATAAGTTGTAGTTAGCTCTGTCAGTGAGATGAGTGAGATGATGGGCAGCAGAGCAAGATAACTCAGTCAAAATCTTTTGAGAGAAATTCTCGAACTTAGAGTGTTGTTACTTTTCTTGGCTCTACACTCACATGGCTCTGTCCAGTCAGAGGTCGACATGGAACTGAAATTCCCCCCCCTGTCTGAACTATTCTTTCTACTTTGGAAGGGACATGAAAACCACACAAACTTAAAAACAAATTTTATTAATTAATTGTTTTGAATGATTTTTCATAAAAATTAACACAGACAATTGAAGTAAAGGGTTGACTAGTGACCTCATAAACAAAGATGGCCATGTACTCACTTTGTGAGCTGCTCTATGGTTCTGTGTGTAATGTGTTTCTCCGTCTCTGACAGAAAAACGCTGCTTATCATCCCGTTCTCATGAGTGGGGGTTGAGTCCTGGATGCGAAGCTGCGACTTTAAGTCTTCCACTGTCTGAGATAACTGTTCAGCAACCAGTCTGAGGAAGAAGCACCAGGGTTATCCAACAAAACAAGCACAGCTGCCCCTGACATAGTCACATTATACTTTGTCATTTCAGAAGAAGAGACGAATATCTCAAGTTCCTGAGTATAAGATTTCATTTCATCGTAGCATTCATCCTATTAGGGGACAAAAGAATAGGAGGGCTCCAAAAAAAAAAGAAGCTACGGTATGCTCAATTTTCGCAAAACACGGAGAATGCCTTTCTTGACAAGAAGTGCTTTTTTAGTGTACTTATCTTGATACGAGTAACAGCTAACACTTCACCAATTTAATAAACTCATTTACAGAATATAAAAGTCATATGCACTCTCTTTTCTTTCAATTCTTTTAGGCAAAAAGTGAAGGAAAAAAAAAAACACCCACAAAAAATAAATTTAAGTAATTTAATTACTGAGAAACAGCCAGTAGCTGAGTGGACAATCTAATACTTTGGTGCTCACTTGGATTGTTCCAACTGAGATTCCAGTCTTTCTGTCTTCGCTGCATGGAGCTTGCTTAAACGTTCCTGAAAACAACACAATAGAGGAGAGGGTTAGATCAACCCTAGTAGCCAAGCTGTAATGCACGGTCAGTTGGCAAGAACAACAGCCATATTCCACAAGGCACAGATTAAAAGAAAAAGCAACCCCGAAAAGAAGTAGAATAAGAGGTCAACAGCAATGCATCTGACAACCACCCCATCTCTACATCCTTTTGTTTTAGTAGAGGTTTTTCGGCACTCGCAACTGCATAAAGTCATATGAGTGCCAGAAGATTAGAGGTGATACAAGAGAGTAACAAACATAAAAAAGAAGAAGGGGAGATAAGGACGATAGATGTTTGATAGGAAAGAAGAAGCAAACCACACCAGAGCACCCGCCAACCACCCACCCTCTCTACATCCAGTTGATAAGAAAAGAACAAAAGACTCAGTGGACTTCTCAGGTATGACCATACGTAGGAGCATTAACAAAAATTAACACACTGAAACAACAAGACAAACATAAATATCATAACAAAAAGTTCATTCACAGTCACATCTTGTATAGGTGCAGAGACAAAAATATTAAAGTACCAGCACAAAGAATATTTATGTGTCACTCGTAAGAACACTTTTACATTCTTACAGCGCATATTAAAAAAGTACACATTCCTGATAATTTTAAAAATTAGGTGAAAGTTTTTTGGTCAGGTGCACACAAGCATACAAGTGCATTTTTATAAAAGCATAACACTAAAAATAGTCTCACCAATTCTACTTGCCATCTTTTGAAGTCATGCTTTCCCATAGCATGCTGATAGGACTCTGAGAAAGTTTCTCCCAGGGAGCCAAGGGACTGAAACATAACGGGAAACTTGTCAAAATAATAAAGCATTAACATTGTCAAGAAATCAACAATACAACACACACAATGAACACTTGTTCCTTTCCCATACGGCCAGTACTTTCAGATCATCTGTATTTTATATTTTTCTTATGCAAGGCACAATATCAAGTTGATAGCCCAAAAACCTGGTTCTCAATCATGAAAACAGATTTTTACACGTTAGATTTGGAAACTGCCTATCCTAGCATAAAAGTCAGATGATTGGATCTTCAGAGTTCGAGTTGTGTGCATGCGTGGGTGCATGCATGTGCTTGTGCGTACGCACACTTATGTGGAGAATGGAAACAACTTTTTTGTCTTTAACAGAGGAGAGAAACCACAAGCAAATAGGAATAAGAGTCACAAATCAAAAGTTGGAAAGAGCAATGCCTGGTGCACTATCAAATCAAATAAAAATAAACATTTAACAAAAGTTACCAACACGAATATCTGCACAAGTTTACTATGCCAGCACAAAAAATAATAAAAACAGCTTAAAAATAAGAGCCTCTTACCCCCAGCACTTCTCCTCCCTCCTTGAGAATCTCATGCACAACAGTTGTCTTCAGTTCATGATGCAAAGAACGGTTTTCCTCAAGAACTTCACTGAGCTTCATTCTCAGCACAGCCATTTCCTCCTGTCAAGCAAAGTGAGATTCAGTTTCATCTGGCCAAGAGTGAACAGTTTTGGACATGCATATAACAGTATACCTGTGCTTCCAAATTTATTATAAGAACGCGACGCAAAAATTTTTACTGGTAAAGAACTCATTTTGCTTTATAACAACAAAAACCATGTACACACATTTGTATACATTTTCATGAATGACAGTGTAATGAACAAATATAAACTCTGTCACTCTCCCCCTTTCTCTCCGTCTCTCTTACCTACCCATACTTTAACTCATTTTCACTTCATCTACATCTCTCTTTTATCCAAACACACACAGTAACCACAAACCCAAGCTATTGAAAATTCTGGCAGTAAACGCATCAACAAATTCTAAAAACTCAACCACAGAGCATGAAACTCCGAGGAACTCTCCTACTTCAAAGTAATTAATTTGATAACTAGCAGCAGTCGAACTTTTGAAGTCACTTAAGATTAATTCACAACAGCAAAAGGTAATTTTACCAAGAAGTTCGACAATGGCCGACAAAAGACACTACCTTAATATATCGCGACTCTGCCTCTAGATGGCTTGTATACACTGCATGATTTTTCAACAACGCAGCAGCTTCCTCTGGGGAAGGCAATGGTCCTGTATGAGTTGGTGGCCCCAAAGATATGGGAGGAGATTGAACCTGAGAACATAATGGGGAAATAATGTAGACAAGACAAGAGCATCAAACAAGTCAAAAGAAGCAGTATAACTTTCTAGCTACTGAAATCAAAGCCAAGTGAGAATCAGAAGGAAGAATTCCTTCCCACATTATGTCGTTAACTTAATGGAGCGTCAAGGGGCAGCTAAAGAACATTCATCTACATTTCACTTATTCCTCCTAATTAAAGATCATAAAGACTTCTGTATGCACCACATGAATGGTGGGATGGTGACACTGGTGGGCTCTACTTCTATTTGTGTCTGACTATGATTTGTCTTTCAGTGTGTCATCGTACTTTTACCTGTGTCAATGATCATTATAATAAAATAACTGGTCTTTTAAACAGAGACAATCAAATACAAAGCTTTATATGTATGTCATTCAATAGTTGTAACTGTGTAGCAAAAAGACTGGTTAGGAAATGGGTAAAAAAAGTCAATATTGTTCTTGAACGAATAACAAAGAATGAAAATTGATAAACTGTTAAGTATTCATAATTTATTTCCACATTTTAAACAGAGAGGTGGGACTAAAAAGACAGATTAAAAGTTATCCTTCCAAGACCTTTTTCTGATGTGAGTTAATTTTCTAATTCAACTAACTAAAAAATCAATAAAATAATACTTGATTGGACAACAGGTGTCGGAGCTGACTGGCAGCATTGGACCTCTGGGGCGGGCCTGATCCTCCATCCTGCCAGGTGAGGACCCGCGGATGAACAGATTTGCTCAGCTGCTGTTTGCTGTCACCGCTGCTCACAAAACCAGTTGGTGCTGAATTCAAACTGTTCCTCAGTTCATCAAGGCTTGTATTCGCTCTGTCTGAGATGACACGAGAAAAATAAATTAAATACATATTACATTATCATAATCATATTTTAAGCAATTAACAGAGATGATTAAGCATCAGTTCATCATTTAAGTTTGTTTTCATGATGCCTGAGACAAATTACAACCACAGTTTCACATTGGTTTTATCAAATCTTTTCACAATAAATATTATGTGTCTACAAAATTAATAAAAGAACACCGCAGTAAATCAAAAGGATATCTGGCTAAGAATTCAAACATTTATGTTACCTGTCACAACAACACTGATACAACACAAATTCTATTCAAACAATGAAAGCAAAATGATTTTAAAATATTTGAATAAGTAAAGAGGAAATCTTTCACTCACTATGGATGAACACTTATAAGTACAGTTTACTATTTACAATGAAGTTGACCAGTTCCAAGCAGAAATTACAACTTTGTTTTATTTTATTCATTGTTGTCCAGCTGTGTCTGCAAAGGGGAACATAGCTCATGTCAGGAGTTTATGTTTGCTCCAGTTCATTAATCCTTGTCCTGCGGGGGCTGGGTTCTCGGTAAGCATATTTTTTCCCGTACCAGTCTGGCTCTTGCTCAGTGCACGCGCACCGAGCATCATCTGTGGGATGACGAGGTCCCGTATTCCCGAAGCTTAAATGTGTGTGCGTCGGTCTGCTTGAGTTTGTGTGCGTTTGAGGCCTACTTCTAGAACCGCCTGCGTTGGTTCGTAACCGAGGCATACATCTCATTCAAAACCTGATGCCAAGTTGGGTAGCTCTAGATGTTCATCCAATCAAATTAGAGCAAATTGACCCACTTAGACAAAAGGAGCTCAAAAGGATCTATTATAGCCAGGAAACAAGACTTCTTTTTTTCTATACAAAATCTTTCAAACGAGCTTGAATTTAATATAAAATGATACTACCTAATAAAAATAAGCTCATTTTATATTTGAAGGTTTTGAATACCGTTAGAATTGTTAGAAGAACAATAAGAGAGTAAAACATTTGCAAATCGACATATATTATCTCCTTTTGAACCCCAGATCATTTGTAACAAAGATGAGCGAAGAACGTCTAAAAAGGTTATTCGAATGGGCGTAACCAATTGTAATGTCTTATCAGCTTATGAGAGGGGGTTATTCATGTGTTCGTTACAATTTATAAATAGAAAGCTATTAAAGATAGAGAGTTATTTTAATCATCATCGCTTAACACCACCCCACCCCCCACAGTATTCACGATGAAAACACAAGTTTCCAGGGCTGCTCACTGTACAATGCTGAAAGACCTCGGCGGCCCACCGGGAAGATCCGACGTAAGAAGTTACTGATAAGACTCGTATTTTGGCACAGACGCAGAACAAGAGTAAAAAATAGGCCTTATAATTTTATTAAATTATAAAGCCAAAATTTCTAATGAGTGGGAAAGCGCTGATGTATATATATATATATATATATATATATATATACATTTATAATTTAGCCTGCAAAAAAAGCCGAATCAGATTATTAGTGACCTACAGTTCAATTTCAATACAGCACTTCGATTGATTGACTATTGTTGAAACTCCTCCGATTAACTCAACTACTGTCACGTCACAACAGACTACACTACAGAAAAAGAAATAGTGAAATTATGTGTTGACAGATTCGGTGGGGTGTGATGACTGCTAATATACTGCAGCTAGATCTAGCTTTAATTTGCCGAAAAAAAACAACAGAGAACTCAGACAGAAAATAGAATTTTCAAACAGCTTTAAGCATACACAAAATTAGTAGATTTGTATAACGTTATAGATCTATTCACAGCTCCACCAATTACAAGTAAAGGAATTTAAAAATACTAGAAAAGCATCTTCACAAAAGATGGGCGTGTATGGACAAAGAAATAGAAACAAGAACTATGAAGGCAAATATGCAGAGACCTACCAGCTAGCACCCCTGCTCAGTCACAAGAACATCCCAACCGTAATGAAATCCCAGCTCATCATTAGCATCTTCTTCATACCAACTTTAACTTACTAGTGCCAAACTACACGGTCTCTAAACAAGGCACAAGAAAGAAAAATCTATGCATGCGAAATGAGGTGTCTCCGCAAAACCATCAACATCACCAGAAGAGACAGCATTAGAAACGAAACCATACATCTACAAACTGGAATACCACCAGTAATAAAATTCATAGAGCGTCAAACAAATGGTTTCGACATCTAACCAGAATGCCCCAGAAACAACAAGCGGCTAGAGCTTACAACACCCGAGAATCCGGCTTCAAATCAAGAGGACAATCAAGGAAGACCTGGCTGGATGGGGTTAAAAAACATGCGACTAAACAAACTATTTTTAGGAATGGGGGCCATCTTGTATGACGTCAGACCGGGATATCCCTCCGATCATGTGACTACATGATCTAAACATAGCCAACCACAAGGCACCTAAGATCGTATACCTATCATGGCACGACGTTTGGTGCGAAGTTTTTCCAGGAGACGTACCGGTAATGTGATAGATGATGTGGTGCTCCGATGATGCTGCTGCTTATCTCTTCTGCGCATTGTTGATCGGGCCTGGGGGGTAATCTCCGGGCGTCTTTACGTAGGTACCAGAAACTAAATTTTCAAAGTAGATGTATGCTATATCTATCTGTTCCATTTGAAAGGCCTATATCCACTGAGCATTTTGGTATCATTCTTTAACATCTCAGTCAATTTTTAAGAAAATGGTAGTTGTTTAAAAATAGATCAAATTTGTTAAAGTCAGTCACTGGCTGCAACCCCATGTTTGACATATAATAAAAGAGTACCAAGAACACTAAACATCTCCACATAAACAGAGTACAATCACTATAACAAATATATGGAGCCTAATTTTTTTCAAGACTGTGAGATCATTACAAATCTGTACTTTATCGCCTCAAACACGACGACCTGCTGTTATTTGGACAAAAACACCGAGCGTTGACCTGGCCGGCGCCGCACCAGCCCCCGCGGCGAGCGAGTCGGCTATTTACAGTACTTTACTGTAGTGTACCCCGCGTGCGGGGTTACATGCTTTCCGAGTCTCGCGGAATGATTGATACAAAATAATTCCACATTTTATTACTTTATTCTAATAGGAAATGAACTAATCTTTTAATTGATACCTTTTTTGAGCTCGTATTTTACGTATTTCGTGTAAAAATGATCTTTTAAAATTTTGACGGTATTTTCAAAGGCTTTCTATTTAAACGCCAAAGGCCAAATATATACCACAGGAAAACCCGTTTACAGCTCTATCGTTCTCCGCCAATGAAAACATGGTATTTAATCATCCCTCGTTCCGCGAAGCATTTGAATGCACTCGTGTTAATTTTTTAACCGGCCGACCACGCATTCAGACCGCGAGGGGCTTCACTTTCCTCGGCGATTCTCCAGCTCCTAATAATTGGACATATAAACAACTTATACTAGGAAAAGCTGGCGAGGTGCCGAAATAGGCTACATTATAATTATATATAAACCCGGCTCCCGCAGGATGAGGGTTAAAATAGTCTGTGGGTATCCCAGGATGTGATGACATCACATTACTAAAATAAGCAGCCAATCAGACAGGTGTGTCATTCTACGTTTAGTTGCATGTGGTTAAAAAGGTCCTGGAACAACATTATGACTAGATCTACATACTACAACTACAATATCAATCACAGTACAGACAGACTACAGACGCTACAGGCTACACATCTAGCACAGGACCGAAACTTGCACCTCCCCTGTACATCCTAAGGATACCAGAGGAAGGAAAAAGTAAGTAAAAAGCAGGTTAGATCTAGATCTAGATTCCATTTCTAACAACTGTGACTCTAATCTGATGGGACGGAAACTGATGAACAAGTCAAAACGTGCCTTGGCCTTGGTGATGAACGCTGATCTTGACGAAGCGAGAAAGATCAATTTAAACTACAAAGGTACAGTTCAAAAGTAAAGCAGTATCTACCTCGGAGGCTTTGTTCATAACCCCTGGGTTCTGGTTCCGAGTCATAGCCCTTGAAATAATACATGACGGCCTCAGAGTGTTGCTTCCATCAGCCAAATTAGTTTGTTGACAATCGCGACGCTTTCTTGCTCGCTCCGCTTCGGAACGGAAGTGAAACGTATTTTTCTAATTTCAGTAAATAAGTTTTCATTGCTGTCGAAGTTCTTCGCCAAGTGAGTGTTGACTGCTGACTGCTGACTAAGACCAGGGAATAGGCCTGTTTAAAGACTGTGAGGACAGAATCTTTTGTGTCTTTGTTGTTTTTCAACTGAATTTAAAAAAAACCCTGGAGTCTGTTGTCTTTCCACGGTGTCAAGTAAAGAATGGACAAAATTTCCGATGTTACAGTCGGTGACTGTAAAGATTCGAAATATATCAAGCCAAGAAGAATTCATTACACCCAAGTAAGTTGGATTGAGCATGTAATTTATATTTCGTAACGCCTTTCCAGTCGTTTTATTTACATCCTGATTTCAGTTAATGGATCACTGAAATATAGCCCGTTATCGAATCAGCATATAGATTCTAGATCTAGATCTATCTAGATCTAGGTAACACCGATTTTATTTATCTAGAAGATTAGAATCTAAGTTTTGGTGAAGGGAATCAATTCAATGGCTCACAATTTTAATGGGGAAAGTTGGTTTACAACAGATGGTTGTACAAAAGTAGGCTAAAGTTTTATTCATAAGTGGAAGATAAAAACATCTCCATGAAACAGGTTGTTGTTTTTTCTGGTTGCCTCAATTCTTTTATGATCACAAAACACTTACATTATATGTATATATATAGAATCTAGAATTAAGAATGTATTCCTCTTTTTTCCCCCCCTTTTTAAATTAAATTTTCTGCATTTTCAGCCAGATAAATTAAATTATAGATCTATAGATCTAGATAATCTAGATCTATATGGTATATCTAGATCTATATCTATATATATATATATATTTTTAGAAGGGGATGAAGTATATATGTATTAGATAAAGACTGTGAAACGGGTACATGAGATGACATGTATTGCAATGTATGTATGCACTTGCCACTGTTTAATGCACAATAATTTTTTATTTTTTCTTAAAAACAGAATGGAGTTCCAAAAATCTGGGATGCTATGAAAGTTCATGATGGGTAAGCGCTCCTTCACTAAGCGAAAGTGTTTGTTTTGTGCCTCGATGCTGTGGAATCAGCTGCTTGTCAATTTGCAGGCATATGATGAATGTTATGGAGTTATATATATATTATGCTTGCCCATTTGTCTTGCTTTCAATGAAAAAATACCCACACATCTTTCTTGAAATAGAAGTCGAAATATATTTGCGAGTGAAAGTGGTGGAGGTCACGGTGTCAAAGGTAAAATTCGTGAGAAAATGTTGGGTGAACGAGCGTCCTTGGAAACTGCAAATTAATTTACACTATAATATATTTTTGCCTTTGAGCAACGTTTTTCAGTAAAATCCACACCCAGAAATTTGTATCTAATAGAAACAAAGTAAAATTAAATATGAACAAAAAAATGGTTGAGCCAAAAAGAAAAATTGACAAAAACTGCCCAACAAGCAGGATAATGACAGTTTTTATTGTATTTCATTATTTTGAGGAGCACCCTATTTCACCGCGATGGCACACATAGGCCTATATAGCCTTCAATTGAATCCATTATCATTTAACTATACATGTACAGTCGAAATAGTGTTCGAGATTTCTATAATTCGTCATATCCATGAACGCCTCAAATACAAAGAAATAGAAAGAATGTGGTTTGCTCCCTTGAAGAACATGATGGCATGAAAGCAAGAAGATAAATGAACGTGGAAAGCAGAAAATCTCTCGTGTGCACAGCCGACTCATACGTCATTCCTTTCCTCTCATTTCATTGGCTTACAAAAAGTTACTCCTCTTTCCATCCGTGCCGTGAGCATCCCACAGCATGATTGCAAGCATGGCGAGCCAGTCACACAGTGCAGTCAGCATCACTGCCCAACCCCCCTTTTCCGTTCCCCCTTTCTTCAGCCTCTTGTGGTGAGACAAGGACCACGTTTTGGCTGTAACAATAACAAAAAAAAACACTTACTCGTTGCAAGAAAGGCTGTAAAGCCGGGTCTTTAGTTGAGAATGTGAAGTGGATTTGTTTGAGATTCGAGTGTTGCATGTTCCGAGTGTTCGGGAACTCCGTGAAGTCAATTCATAGAAAACATAGGGACTGAAACGGGACCGAGCATTATGTCAGAGATACCTGAGATTTCATGATTTTTGTGTTTGAGATTCGTGGACTCTACTGTAGTTGTTCAAGAGAAAGTAATGAGAAAATGAATCTTAAATTAGGACTCAGAATTAGGGGTCTTAATTTACTTTATTTTATGCATGCTGAAGAACTGTTGCTGTTGCACTCAGGAGACCCGGGTTCAATTGAGGGTGGGGCGAATATTTGTTGAGTGTAAAAAATTTCGGTCTTTCTGCTGGCATGTTGTATCCCTCTCAGCCTGGGCTGGCCCTGACAAACATGCTAGGGTGGAAAGCCTGCCTCGTAACTGATCTAAATTGTGTTGATGGGGGCATAAAAGCACCTCGCCATAAAAAACCCCCAAAGAACCCACTAAAAACTAAAATTTTTGAAAATGATGTTACACCATAGGCCCTATTATTATCATAATATATATTGATTCAAGATACGTAAATTTTATTCTTCCTCAGAGTGGTGATACTACTGTTCAATACATCTCGAAATGTATTCATTTTCGTCCGACAGTTCCGTCCAGGTATTGTGCCAGTATAGGACCCTATATTATTGTAGAGTTGTTGTTTTTTTCTCATTTCAGTCTCAATTGAGGAGGTAAATGTAGATGATGAAGTCAGGATTGTTTACAAACAACTGCTACACTCTTATGAGTTTTATTGAAGTTGAAGCAAAAAGTGTCAAATTCAGTCCTCTATTACTCCTATGCATTTTTGAACTGAGAGAAATACAGGTGTTCATGAAATGTGATCTTGTGTTCTTTCCATGTTTTGTTACCCAGTGTGCTTAATTACCTTTTTCTTTTTGTTATTTTGAGGTTAGTTCTCATTGAATATAATTATAGTACATGTACATCATGATTAGGAAGTATTGAATTACTTTTGATTTTGCTATACAATTTTATGGTATTATAAGAGTATAATGTTTTGTGAAAGGTGATATGGTTCCAAACAATTATTATGTTTTGTCCTCTTTGTTGAAATTATAGTTTAATTCTTTTACCAGTTTTGATGTCCTTGCCACTCCAGAAATGATGGACATGTGTGACTTCTTCAAGTTGGTTTTTATTCTTTTCGTTTTCTCTTTTTCCTGATTGATATTAATTGACCATTCATTTCATCAGTGTCTTTTTTTTCACTTGATAAAGGAAGACAGCATTAAAATTATATTGTTTTTACATTGTTAGTTTTCTTATCTATTCCAGCAATTTACCTAAACTCTGTCCATGTGGAGTCCACTGATGAGGGGGCTGGGGCAGGTCGGGTGGATACTGGCCGATACCCTGGCTCTTTGGGAATGACCCTTGAACTCTGTGCCGGTATCGTTGACAAGTCTGGGGCTCTCCCTGAGATTGCCCGAGCTGAGATATTAGAAGAATGTGGTTATGATGTTCCGGTCGATCAAATACGGAAAATATCTTCCTGCAGGTTGGTGAACACTCTTAATACCGTACTTCTCCTTCAGATTTATTTCTCTTGGGATAATCAAATAAATTATTACGGTTCTTATAAGGCTAGCAAATGTAATGCCAGGTGCAAACTGCCAACCGAATTCATCTGATTAAGTTGGTACCAGCTAGATTTTTCTTTCATGGATGAGGAAAGGGCTGCCATTTTGGTACAATTCGACTGAATCTGACTGACCTTTAAAAATCAAACATGTTTGGTATTCAAGGTTGCTAATCAAATCAGTTATATTGTGCCAAAATGGTAGCTTTAGCTCCTCCAAGAAGGAAAAACTGGCTGGCCCAGGTTGAATCAAATTACAATGTAATTCAATTGGCTGTGTGCACTCGGTATAGTATATAAAGCGGTTGATTACGAAGATGAACACCATGTAAAAATTTAAGGTTTGAGTCTAAGTGGGGTCTTAAATTACTTTGGCCAACCTTATATTATTTCTCTCAGCCTCATGACCCTTCAGGCCAGGGCCCATGTCCCCCCCCAACCTTTTCTTTTCAAAATGACTTTTAATGAAAAAAGTTAATGGCTTATTTAATGCATAGTAGTAGGACATCAGTCCACTGTTCATATAATGCTATGAAGTACAATTTCCACAGGAATAAATAAATCTCTCTTCGATTTTTTTTACTGCAGATTTTTCTGAACTGCAACAAACTATAATGTTACATTTTCCATCTCACATTTTTAACCTAATACGCCTTGAATAATTTTACTCTTGGTACATCTCCCATTGCAGGCTATAAAACCATTTGTCGTGGTCATAACACATTTGCCTCAAGTCATTTTTTTCCAAGTCTCTAGTTATTGTTATGATGTCATCATAACCAAATCAGTGCACCTGCTGTAACTGCTCAGATAAACAACATCTATGAACATCATAACCACATTCTTTGCCTTTCACTTGTTTTGTATCCTGAGTATAGCAGGGTTTAGTACCATGTAGTAAAATTTAAAATTCAATAGATTGAGATTGAGACATTTCCATTTTCGCTCAAGTCATAAGGCTGGCTTAGGTAAGCACTGTATTTTAAAGTTTTCTGAAAACAATTTTTGAAATAGCTGTTGCAAACAATCCACTTAAGTCCAAATTTTGAGAATTTTCGATTTTTACACCCTCCCAAAGCTCTATCAAAGATGCACCTTTTAATGCCATGGTCAAGGCTTACAATTTTCTTTTTTTATGATTCCTGATAAGAACACAACAAATACTACTAGGGGTTTTTTCTGTCTCTGATATAAAGTGCACAAATGGACTTAAGTAGATTTCTTGTGACACTGATCATGTATTCTTTGATTGTTGATGATTGTGTCATCTTATATTGAAACCAGACTTTCTCATCATCTCATCTTTTATTTGTTTCAGAGGAGGAGTTGGGACTTCAGGCAGCATGATACATATGTACTATGCAGAGGTGACAGACGCCATGAAGGTTGGACCTGGAGGGGGCTTGGTGAGTGAGGGAGAGATGATTGAGGTCGTAGAGTACACAGTGGAACAGGCCCGCAGTCTGATGACGGATGAGACAGTCAACAAAGTCCACGCCCTCCTCTTTGCTCTCTACTGGTTTTTTGACAAAATTTGGCCAGAATTAAGCCAGAAGGCCAAGATATAACAACACTGTTTTTAGTACATGTACATTTCAAGCGTAGTTTTTTTGCATTTACATGCATAAGGTCAGAACGTACACCTTTCAAATCTTTATGGCACTGTTTCTAAGGTGACTGAGTTTGGTTTGGTGGTGTCCCTGGGTAGTGGGCAATTTCCTCTTAATCTGAGCAGTTACAGCAGGTGCACTGATGTGATAATTCACTTGTGTCTTTCTGACTTCAGCTATTGAACACATTCTCATTATAATGATGATATGTGTTTATGAAAGTTTTCTCATGAAGACTTGTAAAGTTGTTTTAAATTTCTTGTGAGTGGTTTTGGGTGTTTGTGTAAACTATTTCTATATTTTTGTGTAAATGTACATATACTAGTGATTTTGTTTAATAGTCCAGTGCCATGAGGATGTATTTTATAACTAAGTGAATATATTTTCTGCATGTAAATGTAAGGATTTATGAAAGAGTGAGCTAGAAGGAAAACAGAGTGTGTGAGAGAGAAAAAAAGAGAGAGAGAGAGAGAGAGAGACCCACAAAGTGACGGTGTTATGCTGTAATAGTTTAATGGAGGAATAGGGTCACCTCTGTTCTAAAGCAATTGCTGAGGTTGATCTGCAGATTCTCAATTTAAAAATCAGGTGTCGGCGTCGGTATGCACTATAAATATAAAAAATAGTAGGCCTACTGTATGCTAACTTAAGTTTCTACTTGCATTGTTTGAATAGAAGCATTTGTGTGTGTGTGTGTGTGTGTGTGTGTGTGTGTGTGTGTGTGTGTGTGTGTGTGTGTGTGTGTGTGTGTGTGTGTGTGTGTGTGTGTCTTGAAACAATTCAAGAAACCAATTACACTTTCAGAGTATAACACTGACTGATTAACACACCATCAATCTAAACTGAAAGAGGAGAGAAAATTACTGAGCTGATGTAGAAATGCAATAAATTGTACAGTGAAAACTTCCAAAGTAAAAGTTAAAGCAACAAACTGATCTCATTTCTCTCAGAAGTAAAAAAAAAAAAAGAAAGAAAAAAAATGTCTGACTGTGAGGCATTTCACCACTCCAAGTAATGCTCCATAGCAATTCACAGTGTGACAGAGTATTGCATGTTATATATTCAGCTCAATTATTAGAAATATGTTTTTATATTTATGTACTACTACAAACATTTTTTTACATTCACTATGATAAATAAAAAAGACAACTGTATGTTGAAACATAAGATTTGGGTTTTCATCTGATTTAGCTTAAATTGTACTGTTCACTTATACTTAAAGGTATTTCATTCTAAAGTCTAAAATTGACATATTAGCGGTCATCTAGAGCATGGTAAATAAGCAAGATTGGGGGAAACAAGACAGAAAGTAAAGAAGTAGGACCTACCAGTTGTGCCCTCTTACCTTCAATGATGTACCTGTCTTAAGCTGTCCTCGTGGTTTTATGCCAAAAAAATTATGAAATTATGCAAACTGAGCACAAAAATGTGAAATGATGTGATTCTGTTAATTTTAATAATCAGAAATTATGCAAAAAATGATCAAATTTTGCTAAATTATGCGGGGTGCATAAAACCACGGGGACAGCTTAAGTGAGCTATGTTATTATTCAACCCGTCATGTGTGCACGATCGGGTCAAGCAATCAGCTGGCACAGTACATCAAAGATTAGTTTTCGCTTAGTAGTACTGTAGAAGTTTAGAAGAAGCTCCTACTCTTTGACTAAGAACAGAGAAAATACTTTGAGTTTGAGCGCTATAGAAAGCTGGCGCGAGCAAGAAAGTGCAAGTGAGAGACCTCGTAGGATCTTTTAGTGTTCTTTGTTCTCTGGGTGTCAACAAGAGGAACATTACTGCTGCATTTTCTGTCCTAATCCTTACTATCGTCATTTCCCTCTACTTCTTTTGCATGTTTGTCACTCTCTTGTGAACTCCTATTGCCGGAGTACCTTGATAGTCGAAGCAGACTTTGTGCTGTTGAAGCTAGAGAGGTGAGCAGAGCAAGTCTGATTCCCCGTTCGGACTTCTCTGTTAGCGTCCACCCCTTGGAACTCCATACGACCTTATGCAGTTTTACCTTACTAAAACTAAAACATTACTGCTGCTTTCTTACTTGTGCTAGCTTTTCATAGTATAAAGCATTGTCTATTTTTTCCATCTAAGGACTGTAGAGCTTTAATTTAAGAGAAACTTTCCATGGTGGCTGATTGGCCAGTGCTCTGGCGTAGTTTGCTCACTCTTTCCTATCAAATATCTATTGTCCCTATCTCTCCTCTTTCTTTTTGTGTATGTTACTCTCTTGTGACACCTTTAATCTTCAGCACTTATATGACCTAATTGTGTTGCAAAAACAATAAAACTCACCCCCCCCCCAAAAAAAAAGAACTTTTCTTATATGTGAAGTAATAAAAAATTCATGTATGTTCTAATTAAACTCGTAGAAATAAACCAGTGGTTAATTGGAAAGATCATTTTTATTAGCAATGTAGCCTACTGGCCTGATCTAGCACCACAGAAACTGGGTGAAAGTTAAGTTAAGTCCGAGCATCAAAAGCATCAAGTCTCAGCAGCATAGATATATCAGATATGTGCAATAGCAAATACCAAGGCACACAAACTCCAGTTCAAAAGAACATATCATAATGACAAAATATACATTGCATCCGGATACATGCAGCACCATTAAGATTTGAAAATTTACAAAAACACAAAAAACGGGGAGATTAAACAGTTGTGTACAAGTACAAAAAATACATTAAAGTGCTAAAAAATCAAAAGGAAGCATATCACATGAGGTTATTTCAGGACCAGAAATAAGAATTGCAAAAGTAAATGTACATAAAACTCTCTCTATTTGTATAGTATTTATGATACATTTTTAAAAAGCAGTCTTATGTCATCATTACAGCAAACACAAAAGAAACTCCCCACATGTTTTTAAAGCACATACACACAAACACATACTATGACACACACACACACACAAACAACGTGAACATATCTTGTTTTACTGTATTTTCTCATTCAGCCATGACCTACTTATGTTGATACTGCAATAAAATTAAAGACTCTAATTTTATTGAATGCATTATTAGAATTAGTAAAGAGCAAATAAAAAAGGACTTTCAGGTTCATTCTATACTCAATTCCAAGCAGTCAAAGGCTTAGGTCTGTTATGCCAACACCTTTCCAGACCACAGAACTGGGGGCTCTTGTAGCCTAGAGGTTAAGGTGTTGGCCTCTCATTCAAAGGTCCCGAGTTCGAATTCGGGTAGCGACCGAAAAATTTTCTTCTCTAAAATTGTCTCCTTTCACCTACTTTCCTGCTCTCTAGCAATGTTCTGTTGTCTGCTTTCATTTCCACTTTCTACCCCCACCCCCTCACCTCCTTTGCCCCCTCCTCTGGGCTCCTGACTCTTTCTGCAGCCTTTCTACTGGTACTCCTTGGCTCCTCCTTACTGCTGTCTTTCTGCCACACCCCTGATCTTCTGGTAGGAAAGATCTACACCTAGCCTTCTCGGACAAAGGCGAAAAATCTCGGAGGGCCCGTGTGCAAGTTGCGCACGTTAAAAATCCCTTGGTGGTCTAAAATCGATAAGAGTAGGCTTCGGCCGCCACCACCCAGGCAAAATTCAAAATTTCCTACCAACTGAAAATATTAGGTGTGTCCCGCGCGCTCATATGACCTTATGCAGTTCCGAGCGCCGTAACACACTTTACAAAAACAAAAAACAAAAAAGACCACAGCACAACTCTTTCCTAAACAACTCTTGCCTAAAGAAAGGTACCAAAAGTCTGATTTTAACCATTTTGAGTTAAGGGTTGTACCTAACAGGACATTCAATGCTGAACATAGTGGTTTTTAATTTTTGAGATACCTCAAGTAGTTTTTGAGATATTGCACATTTTGCGAGGTAGGGTATACAGATTTAATTTTTAGAAAATTAACTTTTAAGTTTAGAACACATGAAAACATTTTAAAAAACCGATGACTCAATTATTTCTAATGTATAAATTCATGGAAAATTCATTTCCAATTCGGCATTTAGTTGACATCAATATCAATTAGAATTCAAAGGTAAAACATAGCAGGGAAGAGAAAACATGCTTCATAATAGATTTTAACACAGTATAAAAGCAGTTTTCATTATCTTTTTTAAAACATACCTTTCCCTCAAAATAAAATATTTAGAAGTCAAATCAATGAAAACTCTTTAAACACATTGTTAAAGTGAAACTATCATTTTTTTAATGGAAACACATTTTGGACAAAAAAGTGATTTTTAGCCCTTTGTTGCATAGGGTCCAATATTTTAGACGTACTTAAATATTGTCAAAACGCCTACAGCGGTCAACGTTTAGTTTCCTATCATTTTGCTTGATCCAGTTTTACGTTTGCATAAACCAAGGGAGGTTATTCTGATTCCCAGTGCTTTCCTTTACAAAAGATGACTACAACACCAGCGAAAAGGTAAGCAACCTTTCTGTCAGATTTTGTAGGGTTCTGTTTGTATTAAAGTAAAAGGCTTATCATAATCTTTTATTCTTCAATACCAAGTGTTATTTGAAATAATTATAATTATACATTTTTTGTTTTACACTGAAAATAATAGCTGATTTTATGCACTGTCCAAAATATTGGACAACATGCATTCACAAGAGGCAGAGGAAACAACCATTTTGGAGCCTCCAATATATTGGACACCATGAACTTAGAAACTGTTGCTAAAAATAGACATGTCCAAAGTATTGGACATCGTGTACTTGGGTTAACGTGTGTTTGTTTATACTCTGAAAAGATTGGTTGTGTTTGGAGTATTTTGATTACGATTTAATTTTTGTAGGTCTCATTGTTTAAAAATTGCATAGACATGTAGGCACTTCAACGCAGCCCCGCGCCGGGGCTGAAATCAGGTCGCGCTGCGCTACAGTAAACCTGTGACGGGAAATTCGACTCTTGGACGGGGGTATCTCGGTAAACGCGTTTTGTTTCGTTCCTTTTGTGACTTTTTATATGGACTTCCGCATATGAAACGAAACCGGAAAAGCTGAGATACAAAACGGCGCCATTTTCATTGTCATCGGTTCTTTCAGGCGTTCAAGAAATATTTCTGACGGAAAATCAGGTAAGTTGAAGCCTAAAATTTTTATACTTTTTTTTAGGGAGGTGTTTTTTAACGAATAGTAGATGTTTCTATATCATTTCATCTTTAAAAATTGAAAGTGACATGAAAATCCATTGTTGTTCAAGCATGATTTTGGCTTCCTCAAAATAGACCCACGTCATGGTCAGGGAGACCTATTTTCGATTGTCCTCCGTCCGGGGATTTTGGCTGCCTTTCAGCAGCCACTTCATTGCGCCTCATTATTCGCGATACTTTGCCAAGCGAAATCGCACGTGCTAGATACTATTACAGCTGCATTTTAATAACTTTTATTCGTTTTTGTAGACATTTACAATGTTTGATATTATGTTTTTGTTATATTTTTAAAAATATTTTTTCGTGCGTATCTCGGTTTCATGTTATGTTCCGCGTCCTGTTGTCCTTCTTTCGGTCGCTCCACCGTCACGATCCCTATTTCCGATTGAAATTGTCTCTACGATTACGATTTTCATTCTATTGGAGCTACTACTAGGCTTATCACATAGAATCTATACGTCTTTTTTCCTTCTGTGCCCACCACAAACATACCATACCAATTAAACAGTTTATAAAATATGTTATTCAGGTCTACCTCGGCACTACCACCACCCCCACCCCCCTAATTTTTTCTTCTTTGAAACCCTTTATTTTAGTCCTGAATTGAGTGAGCTTTCCATATATCATTATCGGCACTTTACAACTTATTATAATGTTGACAAGAACATCTCTTTCTCAAACTGACATTCAAGAATTTTGAAAATTTTAATAGATATGAATTTAACCAGTTTCTACGATAAATATTTTTTAAGAAAATGGGCACTTAGTCTGAGGTAAGCTTGAATAGCCTGCTTCAAAGTCTCGCTTCAGCAGCCTGTACGTCTGTGATTTCAAATGGTGTTGTGGTATTCCACGTTTTAAATACAAACTCGAATTCCAAGTCCAAGAAAAAAGACAAGAAAAAAGACTTCGGCAGAACTGTTGCAGTGATTGAATGTTTAGCTGGACAAGATGCCCCTGGTAGAAAGACTTTGCAACTTAAGTGCAGGGACAAGTACAAAAAATACTGCAGCTTCCGAAATAACTTTGGGTGTCCAAAGAATTGGGATCAACTGTGCAATTTCCTCAGGAGTGACTTTCACAGGTCCACACCTGCTTTGAGCCCAACCCTGGTGACAGGTGCACCATTGGTCCATGACCATGCCTATGCCTTTGGGGTCGACGCAATGCCTGAAGCTCCCCCAGTAACACGTGAGGCAGCTGAGATAAAGTCCCCACTCAAAAGGAAAGCTCCATTGTCACTGCCGGAGTCTTGTCCTTCTCCAAAACAGTTGAGGGTTGACTGCTGAAATTGTGTCAACAGTAGGCGAGAGTTGCAGGTAGTGGTATCACGATTACGACTGCAGAAGGTAGTTGTTAACAACCTTAGGAGAGAACTGCGGGAGGTGAAGAGAATTTACAATAAAAGAGCTATTGACCAGCGATACAGGCGCCGCATTGATCGGACTCAAAATTTAAAAGAAGAGATCCAGAGTTTAAGAAAGAATCACCATAAGGAGGAGACAGCAGCTGCCCTCCAAGCTTCCGGGGAAAAAAGGGCTGCTCAATGAGAAGCAGTCTTATGAAGGAGAAATGGCAGCTGGAGCGTAAGGTTGCAGAGCTAACCCAAAAAATCTCTGCCCTCACCTCGTAAATTGAGAGGATGGACGAGGAGTCCAAGTCCTTCCACCTGCAGCTGGAGGATTTTGAAAGTCAAGATGTGGTTACAAGAGACAAAAATGGGTACTTGCCACCAGTGCGAGAGTGTGTTTACTTTATGCTATCTCGTCAAGTGCCTGTAACTGCTTGCGGACCAACTCTGGGGCAAGTCGCAGAATGTCTGTTTTCAAAGAGACTAAGGGAAGTTCCAAGTGCGTCGACATGTGCCCAGATGGTGTATGAAATGGCCATCATTGCCTCAATTCAAACAGGCTCGCAGCTGATGAGTTCCAGCAATGTTTGCTTGTCATGGGATGCCACAAGCGTCGATGGGTCCCATGTCAATGAAATCCACGTGACAACAGGGGCTGGGCAGCTCATCATCGATGTCAGAAAGATCGCTGGTAGTAAGGCTTCGGGCTATGCCCACCATATACTGACTGCATTTTCAAGCATGGCAGCAGTATACTGCAAGTTTCATAAAGATTCTGACCCCAGTGTCAACGAAGCCAGCATTCAATCGCAGCTGCGTAAGGCAATTTCATGCACCCTCACAGACCGTGCTTCTGTCAACTCTGCAGTGATGAGTCTCCTGTCGCAGGATCTCGAGTGTGAGCTCATAGAGCTCCACTGCAATGTCCACTCACTGAACAGTTTTGCCAAAAAGTGTCAGGAGGCGATATCACTTCTGGCCAGGGAGCAGAACATAATAGGCAAATGTTACGGCAGTGAAGGTTCTGTTGCAAACCTCATTCAGGCCATGTCCAAACTTCGTTTTAAGGCAGGCACAGGATATCCTCAAGGATTTAAGTCTTTTCTCCTGGAAAATAAATTACCCCTAGGCACTTTTGCCTGATACGTCGGAAACAGGCTTCTCGTGCTAATGCATTCAGCTGGGATTTTGCTTTGTCACATGCAAAAACTGAAAATGTACTTGACAACCAGAAGCACTGGGAGTGAAAGATTGAGATCTTCTGTGTTGGCCGATGTGGGACATCAACAAATCAAATTGTTGATCATGTTTGGGGCCTTGCTGTTGTAGAAAAATTTATTTCTGGTCCCTGGATGACTAGGTTCTACTCCAGCAAACAATCCAACCTGAGTATGAGCTCGATATTGAAGGAGTCCAAAGCAAAACATCAGTTTTGGTCTGAGCAACCTGGCGAAATGTTTCGCCTCTCCACAGATGTGTTTAGCAGTCCTATATCAAATGGAGATCCTGTAGTGGAAAGCATCGTGACTACCACGCTTACTGACTACAGAATAAAAGTAGTTAAAGTGCTGATTCGTGGAATCCTGGAGGTGTACGAAACACAACTCACTGAGTACACCGATGGACGTCTCTCGGCTCCAAATCTAACAGCTGATGAGTTGCTTTGAGCACAGGCCGCCCCTATCCATAACATGGAATATGAGAGAGCTTTAGCACTTTTAGATGGAATCTGCTGACGTGCACCAAATGCTAAACCAGATTTCTTAAGAGGCAACGTCCAGTGCAGTTTTAACAACACTCTCTTGTGGCTTAATAATCAGTCACAGAAGGAACAGATAATCAAATTTTCTGTCACCGAAGCGTACAAGGCGAGACGAGTGGCAAGGATCGAAGACAAAGAGGTGGAATTGAGAGGTAGGAGTCAGGAGGAAAGAAGTAGCTCAGAAGAGAGATAAAGTTGAAAGAAAAGCTATGGCACGGAAGATAAATAAAATAGTGAACGGCGAAGATTTTGAAAAGCCAGGAGAAATATCGGCGGAAGTGGATTCCTTTATTACAAGTGTTCAGAATTCCCGAAGCTCCCTAAGTGGGGTACTTTTTACCCATGTCTGGGAAGAGGAGGATGGAACAGACCGAGCCTACTTTGGATGTGTGAAACTGGTGAAGCCACCAGGAAAAACTGTGAAGATGAAATCGACCGTCACCTCCTGGAGGCAGAGTGAGCAGGAAATAGATGGAGAGGACTACTCTGTTCCTGTGGGAGACTTCTTTGCAGACATGGTGTTCGGTGACCTGATCCTTTGTTGAGGTTAGTCTTTCTATACTTTTCATTGTTGTGTTGTGATTATTTGGGTTCCACAGGCATCACCAAGCAGGCACTTGTTATGTCTCTTGTGAATAGATGTTTGAAGAAACTGTGATGGCTGAAAGAGTGGCCTCAATTTTGTTCTGCTGTGAAATAGATTTCTATAAATGATATATTTAGAATTGTCTCAAAGGGACAATTAAAATGTGTCATACGTCTATATTGGGCCTGAAATTCAGGGAAGCTAATATTAATGGCCCGAAAATTTGCATGTTACGCAATCACACTTAATGTTATGCAATAGTCTTCTGCTGGTGACCAGAATCATACAAAACAGAGCTTATAATCTTCTTCGAAAGATTATGAACAAAGATGAATCGTTTGTCAATATTTAATAAGAAAAGAATCAATGTACATGATTCTGCTCATATATTACACAATCACAGGTAATGTTACATCATTTTCAATAACACAGCACATCATTGGGAACGATTTTTTTGTTGTTGTCATCATGAACTTTTAAAAACGTAGACATCTTACCGTCAGGGACCTGAGAAGAAATTATTCCAAGCCAGAAACACTTTGACAACGAAAAGAGAATGTGCAAATTAACAGAATCTGGTTTCACTTTTCCTGTTGAGAAAGCAGGTGAGAATTACGTACTTTTAAAAAAAAGAAGCATAACTTTTGAACCAGTTGTCGTAAAAACAAAATTCAAAAATGATCAGCTTCAAAAGAGCTATCAAATTGACCTATTTCTATGTGTACTTGGAGACTTTTCAATTTTTCATCAAAGTGCCCAACGTGTGTTTGTTTATACTCTGAAAAGATTGGTCGTGTTTGGAGTATTTTGATTACGATTTAATTTTTGTAGGTCTTATTTTTGTTTGATTGCATAGCCATTAGTTAGGAAGTGTTCAAAGCAGAGCTGCAGTCCCAGACCCCTGTCGTCTAAGTTAGACATTATGGAGGGGGGGGGGGGTTGAGAATGACAATAACAATCAAATATTACTTCATTTACTTGTGTACAGATGTTTTCAATATTTATCAATGTTCCAGGATGAAACCTTAATATGACACGGCGGCCGCTACGCAACTCATCCTAGAAGACGATGACATACCTGATGACAGTGATGATGAACGTTTATCGGATGATGGTGATGATGAATTTCTTCCAGGAAGTCCTGGCTCCGGCGGTGATATCGATGAAGAATACATGGAAGATGAATCTGCAAATATGGAGATTGACAGACCCTCAACCTCTGGCGCAGGACCCTAATCTGGAGCAGCCCCACCAACCTCCCGGACAAGCAGCGAGACTACGAGGTTTGTATTTTTTTGTTATTTACAGTATTTTTATGTTTAGATTAGGCCTAGACGGCACAAGGAAAATAAGGATACTGTGGAGACTGGAAAACGCTCCCACTCCACTGCGTCGACCCTCAATCTGTTTGCTAACAAGCAGCAGAACAAAGTTTGGAATTTTTGTTTTGTTTTGTTGAGTAAATATAGCTCACTCTCTTCGCTCGTTTTTTCTCCTATGCCGCAGCCCTGGTTGTGATGTTCCACGCTTTTTACTCCTACTGCAGTCCTGGTTGTGATATTCCATGCTTTTTTTCTCCTATGCCGCAACCCTGGTTGTGATGTTCCATGCTTTTTTCTCCTATGCTGCAGCCCTGGTTGTGATGCTCCATGCTTTTTTTCTCGAATACCGCAGTCCTGGTTGTGATATTCCATGCTTTTTTTCTGTTTCATTTGCACATCAACAAATTAGAAACATTGTTTTTTTCTTCTTTTTTTCCAAAGACGTACCTGGCATTAGGTAAAAAAAGACCTCCCAGAACACAACAATCCAGAGAGTCAACTCACACCAAGAGGTCTGGCTGAAGAAGGAAAGACGCCCCTCCAGAAGTTCAATGTTTAATTCAGAGATGATATTTGGGACAAACTTACCTTTGAGTCAAACTGACTAAGAATTGGATGTAGGCACGTTAAAGTCATCCCTATAACCGTCCAAGAAATGAGAACATTTATTGGCATTTGTCTGTATATGTGCATAGTAGATTTGCCTTTTAGACGCTAGTACTGATCTCCGAATACGAGACAGGACATTGTCGCAGACAGCATGACTGTTAACCGGTTTGAGAAGATTTTCTCTCTTCTTCATTCCAATGATAACACCATGCAAAAACAGAGGGGTGAAGAAGGATATGACAGATTGCATAAGATTGGCCAATTATAGCAAAGCTGAATTATAACTTCAGAAAGAATGCAGAATGTGAGATACATGAGTCAGTGGATGAACAAATCATTCCCTTCAAAGGAAGGCACTCACTCAAAATCTATATGATGAAGAAACCCCAAAAAAGGGGTTACAAGCTATGGGTACTTGCCGGAACATCCGCATATGTGCACAAATTTAGATTTGCGGGTAATAATCTTTCTGATGACTATCCGGCCAACCGTGTGGGTGATGAAAGTGAGAGTGGAACACCTGTCAGACAGTCTTCCAGAACAGGGGCAAACACCTCTTGTTCACTGCAGTCAAGTGATCAAACGCTGAATATATTGGTAAATCTGAGGAAATCGTCATGCTCCTTATGCAAGTTCAGCCAACAGGATCATATGTCTATTTTGACAACTTTTTTGCCTCTCCTGATCTCTTGACTCAATTGAAGGAAGTGGGTATCCATGCCACATCCACACTAAGGACAAACAGAGCAAGGGCTTGCCCTTTGCTCTGTATGAAGGACTTTAAGAAGAAGTGGAGAGGGGCCTTTGACTTTAGGACAGACACAGATAGCTCCGTCCTTATCTGTCAATGGTGTGACAACAATGTAGTTTTTGTTGCTTCAAATGTGCACTGCGCCGAACCAACTCACAAGGTAAAGAGGTGGGATGGGAAGGCTAAAAAACATATATTGATGTTCCCTGCTCATTAAAAGCTACAATCAGAATATGGGTGGGGTTGATAAATGTGGCATGCTCTTGGCCCTTTACAGAAATTGTATGAAATCAAAAAAGTGGTATAAACGCATTTTGATGCATCTGACAGATTTGTGTGTAACCAATGCTTGGCTGTTGTACAGGGCTTTGATTGCTCTATGCAACTGGCTGCATTCAAGCTATAACTTGCTAGGGGACTTATCCTTGCCAACAGAGCATCTCAGAATAAAGAGATGCCTCCTGAGATTCCTGTGAAATCGGCAAAGGATGTGTTGCGTGCTCTGAGGTACGACAGAGTGGATCACTTTCCAAAAAGAATGAATGTGAAGGACGGTCAGAGGTGCAAAAGGCTTCAGTGCAAAAGAAAGAATGTGTACATGTGCAGAAAGTGCAGTGTGTATCTGTGCACTTCGAGCAAGGATGAGACTGAGGACGGTTTTTACCTTTTCCATCATGAATAGAAAACCGTAGTAGTAGTACACATTGTTGTTCTCAGTCTGTTCATGTGCATTTGTTGATAAAGTAAAGAGAAAGAGTGTGTGAATGTGTAGAAAGAAAATGCAGAGTAGTAAGGTGTAGAAAAGGAAGTGTGTATCTGCTTATCTCAAACAAGGATGAGAATGAAAAATGACAATTTTTACCTTACCGATCTTGAAGATAACAAGTGTGTTTTGTTGATAAAAATGAAATAAATTGTAATTTTATCAACAGTTTGATTTTTCTTTTTGATTGGGAGGTTCAGATGTTCTATTTGTTGTTTCAAATGAGTTTATTTGAATATGTAGCAATAGGTAACCACAACACATTGCGTCCAATACTTTGGACACCTGACTAGGAAGGAAATCCTCTCAAGTTCATGGCGTCCAATATAAAATTGGACAACTTTTTACAGGCTCCATGATTATAATTTGTCAAAAATGACTTTAAGGATGGTACTGTAATGCCAAAGGCAGGTCACATACCAAATTTCAGTTTTCTAGGTAATCTCCTTCATACCTCATGCAACAAAGGGTTAGTCATTATCCGCCTGTAGCTCAAAATGGTCTGTGGCGACTTTCGGTACCTTTCTTTAGGCACACACTCATATAACTAGAATTTCTGACTTTTTTAATCCATAAAATTCAATGATAAATGAAGGCCTCATAGAGTCAAAAATGAGTCAGACAGCTGTTGACCCCAACTTTGGAAAATGTGAGAGACATTTAGACTCAAGAGTTAGACCCTACGGTACAAAATTTCCAGAACTTATTGGACGGCAATGAAAAAACATCCTTGAGGAAATTCAGTTGATAATAAAGTTCAATGCAAATGTCAGTCACCAAACAAAGTCGGAAACATTCAAGGTGTTTGGCTTTCGGAAAAACAGATGCAGTAGCTCTCCTACGACAAACGAGCAGACCGCAACACAACCATCTGCGAGTTAAGTCCCTGTCGGACACCGCCCTCGGGTATTACATAATCGTCGGCACATCTCTCAGGCCCCGCTTCTTCTAGGTTATTGTTGCTGCGCAGAAGGTCGGACAAAGCCCACAATCCGGTGTGCTTGCTCTTGCCTTGATGAGCAAAGACAAACGTGTTGTCCAAGTGTGTTTGGCACTGTCTTCTCAGGGACTCTTGGTCTGAGGGACTCGCTGTGTTAGGCCAGAACCAGAGGTTGGGGTGTTCTGTGTCAGCCTCGCACAGAGACTTCAGCCAAGAGAGCTCTTTGTCTGAACTCAGCACTACAAAGAAACCTGGAAAACAATTCAATAATAGATAGTTCTTCATGAGCTTGAAAATAAGAGAGGCATCTGATCATATCATTGATTATAATCAATGTTCCTGCAATAAAAGGGAAATGACCCTATAAAAAAAATAATTTGATGAGTTACAGTTACAACTTACGAAGTTTGAAATAATTTAAAATCCCTCCAGGGGTCTAAATCGCTGGTCAATTATCTGAAAAATCTTGCTCAGGGCCAGTTAACTGAAAGATTTCCGATCATGGCCTGAATACAGTGTTACATATTTTGCTTCATTTTGCGCAAGTTTACCTCGGTTTTTCAGACCAGTGTCTTATCAATTAATAGTAATTTACTTCTATTTTTCAAGGAGTCTGTATATAATACTTTGACAGTCATGCCCTATAGAAAATGCCTTCTATGAGTAAACCTGAAGCCAAACTAGTAGCACACAAGAGGGTTTTACTTCCATAAAGTTGTAGTGTGCACAATGGGCTCACATGATAAAGTAAGACGTAGGAAAATTGCAACGAAAGCTACTTTTTTTTCCTGTTATTTCAGTTATTTTCATTAAAAAGGCAAGATGAACACTTGTCATTCTCAGTGTTTGTTTTCTGTTTAATCCCATTTTAGCTATGATGTTTATTTAGTGCCTACATCTTGGAAATTCAACTTCTCACAACCCCCCCCCCCCCCTCTCCCCTCCCCCACCTGGTATGTCTACAAAAGAAATTTGACTTTCTTGTAGTTTTATAAGATATGAGAAAATAAAAACCTTGGGCTTAGTGTGAAAGAACAAGCTACGGGATTGGAGAGCCATGAAAACTCTTAAAATAACCCAAGTCCTGGAATGCCAGGATGGTAATTTGAACTGCACGCTTACCAATCTACTGAGTGACCTACTGGCACACCAAGAACAACTAAATGTGTTTCCAATTCTAGACCAGGAAAGAAAATGGCGATGACTATTTCTCAACAGGAATGCACAAAACCACAACAATGGAAAGTCCTAGACCATGAAAAAAAAAAGATTAAATGGTAGTGACTATTTCTACAGAATAATGCAAAAGAACTATTATAGACTATAACAACGAAAGCTATTTTCAAGCAGAGATAAAATAAAGCATTTCTGTATTTTTTTCTTTTGCCTTTGATGTGGACTTTTGCACAATGCCATACTAAACATGACTGAGCATTCTCCCAGATCCGTTCAAAGACATGACTTCCCCTTTTTAAGAGTTTAGTTTAGTGTAATAAGAGTTTTATGGCACTTGCAACAAAGGTCATATTAATGCTGGAGATTAGTAGTGTTACTGGTGACAAACAAATAAAAGAAGGAGGAGAAATAAGTATGATAGATATTTGATAAGAAAGAAGGAGCAAACCACACCAGAGCACCCATCAACCATCCATCCCTTTATGAGAGTTTACCTGTAACTAAAGCCCAGTGTGCTTTGTGTCCTCTCCGCAGGCATGGGCTGTGGTTTTTGTCTGCATCATATCTTGACAAGTTGAGGAAGATCATCACCACTTCTGTTGTTCATTTCATAACATCATTAGTGTTGCTGTTTTATGTTTGTTTCTTGTTAGAGTAAAGAGGAGCACACCGTCACAATAGTGCTCATTTAAGTAAAATAGACAGACAGGAACAACAGAGGGGGGGTAAAGAAGTTAGATCTATAGTTGTGCCCTCCAACTACCCATGCTGTATTTTATGGTCTTTTGAATGAATACAAAAAAGTACAGTGGAAACCTGATATAACAGGGACGGTGGGAGTAGAGAAAATGTCCTGTTATATCCGATACCCTGTTAAATCAGAAAAGCAAGGAAAGTAAGCATTTGTGGACTAATCCAGCTGTACTTATTCATGGGCTGTTTCCCTTCCGACAAGTACCCAATAACAGAGGTTTTGGCACTCACTTTCTCCTTGCCCCCTTAAACCACATCAGAAGAGCTTGGTCCACAGCATCTGCATCGGGTAGTCTCATCTTCTTTCGATCCAGAGCAAACTTTCCATTGGAGTATGCTGCCACTATTTTCTCTCTATCCTATAATATGGTGTGAATTGACCCTTGTGGAAAGTCGAACTGACGACAAATCTCTGCCAGTGGAGCTTGCTTTTTGTCAACAGCCGGGATTATTTCGTATTTTTTGTCAATTGAAAGGCATTTTCTCTTGCGCTTGATATCGTTGGTGACACATTACGCCTGCGTGTTGCTAGGTTTCAGGCTAGATCGAGGTCTACAGCACACCTAGCCCTCCCTTGCTTCACACGCTGCGTGTGCTTGCAGTGGCATGGCTTGCGTGGGCTTGCTCCACCACTGCGTTACTCTCTCTCTCTCTCTCTCCACATTGTTATCGAGCCTTTGTCCCTGCTATAACCGGTTGGGCCCCGATGAGGCCCTGTTATTGCCGATAACTTTTAATAGAGACAAAGAGTTCGAAAAAAAAGGGGATTTCAAAAATCCCTGTTATTACCGGGCCTGTTATATTATGGTTTCCACTGTAGTTTCACAGAAAAATCCATTCACAGCAAGGAAAACGGTCCAACACATCCTATTGCTCAACACGTATCAAAATAGGAAATCTTTGTTCACGGCTCGTTCCTCTGCTTGATAGGTCTGAGCAGAAACTATTTTCCTAGTCTTTCCCCATCACCCATCTGTTCAAGTTCTTTGAGCACTTTTTTTCCTTTTTTGGCCCTCTTTTGCCTTCTTTTTTCCAGAGAGAGCAAGATGTTCAAGGCCTCTAAGTCTATTCAAGTATCCCAGAAACAGCATTCATCTCTTTTTAATTGCTTTTATAAAAAATAATTGTAAAAAAACCAACATCCAACTTTTCGTCACGAAACAGCAGCTGTAAAATCTCTTTTCTGCTATGAGCAGGGAGCCATAAAAAATTACCAAATGTTAAAACAGACCCCCCCCCCCCCCCTTCAAAATAAAGACCATATTTGCAGTTCCCATTTATTTTATGAGAAGAAAGGCAAAAGAATCTAGACACCACCAATTCATTCCAAGAATTTTCAAATGCTAAAACATGGGATCTTGACTACCACTGCAGACAGAGAGACATTGTTTCAAATAGGACACCGCGCTGTTCAAATAGTATTCAAGTCATGAGTATGATCATTACTTTGCAACCGTCATAATAAAAGTGACATGACATGAAGTAAACAAAGACACAAAACGATATGAACAACTACAAAAGACCAGCCAATAGGCACTTCAATCAAGAAAAATAACAGAAACATTCTATCAATAGTATTTTTAGTCACAGTAGTCTGAGGACCAATCTGTATTAATACAATCAGTTCAACAAGTCAACAGTTATTAATCATATACGTGGTGGAATCAGGTGCTCAATTTTTGGGCATATATGGGGTTATTGGTACAGCGGAATCCACTTAGTCTGAAATAACGAGAAGTCTGTTTTAAGGACGCTTTTCTAAAACCCCGTTTTTTTCCCTTCTTTATATTTGTAAATAAAATACTAATGTTACGCAATCAGACAAACACACGGGTCAGTTATACCGGAATATAGCTGCTGCTGTGCACAGCGCATGCCACATAGGCCATTGATTCATGTAAAAACTCGCCAGTTGAGAAACTTGTTGGTTATCTTGCGAAACAAAGAATGGGAGAGCCCACGAGTGCCAACAATAAAGGATGGATCGAATGAGTGGGGAGAATGTGGCATGTAGAGACAAGCAGAATGCATCATGTGACAGGCCAGCCTAGTCAGGATTATCTAGGCCTACCGTGTCTCTCACTTCTCCGAAGCGGGGATGGAGAGGTCATAGTGCTGTACTGTGATGGACGGTGCGAATGTGTGACGTGGGCGGAGTATTCCACTGTATCATCTTAACTCACTTGCGACTGGGCCCTTTCACCAGTCACAAGCATTGAAGACTGGCGTTTTTGGGGGTATTTCAACCACAACTCTCAGAATTACCCTATTGGAATTATTTTTTGACACAGTAAAGTAACATTCAAGCTTAATCTAATACAAAAACTAAAGTTGTCTAAGTCTAATACTTTAATTTGTATGATTTTTTTTAAATTGGCATGAATTTGATTTTCCGAAAAATTTCCAGAGACGTGACAAGTAGAATGAAATTCACTACAACCACAAAAATAAAAGTTCAAAGTGTTCTGGTTTGATTTGTATACATGTGCAAGTGTTTGGTGAAAATATAAAAGCTGGTCTGTGCATTGATTCAGACCCATAAACTGAATTACATGAGACAGATGTACGGCACGACGTTGTGATTTCGTTGCGCGAAAAACAACACCGGTACTAGTGCTAGATCTAGCCCTAGAACTACAACTCGGGCCGTGTTCGGGTACATATCCAGGATCCTAACTATTAGACACATCATATTCTGAGACACTAGATCTAGCAAAACGTACAGAAGTATAGAAAACGGCGAAATTATGTGATTCTTGTTCATGCGAATTCTTCGACCGTTACTACGACGCGACTGTCGGATTACTATCAGCTGTATAGAAAAAAACAAAGCACGAGTTCCGGTCTGTTCAACCCCAGTTGGGGTCACTGTCCTTCACCTTCAATAACTTAAAAACTACCTGCCCCAGAGATACGAAACGAAGTCTAAGTAGCTCAGGCTTGGCCAAACAAGGGTACGAGGCGGGTCTCGCGATCCGTGCGTGATTTGTAGAGCGAAAAAAAAATTCCAAAGTTGGTCACGCAGGGCTTGTGAGACCCGACGCGAGCGTCACGGCGGGGGTCACGCAACTGTTGTGTGAGCCGTCTGAAGTGAGTTAAAGCCTGTTCTTTTTACCTTGCTTTAGGTGAAAAAATATCCATAATGAATAGAAGTCGAAATATTTGCAATTGAAGGAGATCAGGGTCACCTGGTTTCAGAGGTAAATTTAGCAAGAAAATGGATGCCAAAGTCTGGTATTTCCCATAGCTTGAGAGTCCTTGGAAACTGAAAATTTACATTTCTTGTGCCTTTAATCAATGTTTTTCAATACAATCCACATAGAAAGTAGAGCCAAAATAAGAAAATTACCAAAAATTGCCCAACGGCCAGAAAAATGCCAATTTGTTTGATTACATTATTTTGACGAGGGCCTGATTTCACCACGATGCATCACATCTTATATTCCTCCTCCCTGAGGGACCAAAGAGTCAACTTCTTCCCAAAGAGCCAGAGACAGAACACACACATTCTACAAAAATATTTCAACTCTTACGCTGCAGCTACACACACCACTATTATGGTAACAGGCAGACGGGGGCAAGCCCGCAAACAACACAGCAAACAACAACAGCAACAACAATAATGATTATATCAAATGACAAAGGATACGGCATAAGAATGAGACCTCCTCCTGTCAGGGCAGCCATGACACACTCAGACCTGTGATCTCCGTTCAGCTCGACGTGTTCATTTTGGGACGGTAGGAAATGAGAAGCCAGTTCACACATGGACGAAGCTGAGGTGAGGAAAAATTCAACTTGAAAGAGCTGATAGCCTGGTACCCTATCTTATAAAAATTTCCCATGACATTAGTTGAGTTTTAGTTTGAGTAATGAAAAGCACATTGACGCAATATCGTTCATTCAGAGACAAAATAAGATATGTATAAAGAAACAACAGAGGGAAAGAAAAGTTGTGCAGGACCTACCAGTGGCACTCTACAACCACCCATTTTCTATGATATTACACCAAAACAACATGAGATGATTCGACAAAGGAATATATATATATATATTAATTTGTTAAATACCTGTCATTAAACACAATAAATGTTGTTCAGTACAAGAAAAAGCTAAAGATGAAAATAAAAAAATAGATTAGACTAAGACAGAAGCTGAAGTAAAAAGTAGCACGCATAAAACCACCTTAACAATGTTTATGGTGTCACTTTTTGCCTGATTCTGTTACTTTTGGTTAGCGTGAATTAGCAGCCTGCCAGAGCTCCCTGGCTCGGGGTCACAGGGTCAATGAGCCCCGAAGCGACTTTGACGGTGTCACTTAAGAAGTTCGCATTTTTGTCTACATTTGAAACTATATAATTTCTTTCCCATCCCACACAGCAACCCATTACACTGAAGTATTAAAAGCTCAAAGTTTTGAGATTTATTCAGCGTTAGAATGGTTAATTTCTGTGCCTTAGTTTTTGTTCCAGACAAGTGTTTGTAGAGTACCCAATTTGTCCTATTTCAGTTACTTACTTAAGAATAAATGATTGTTTATTTAAAACAGCATAACAGATCTCTCCAAAATATGCGTTAAACTGACTACAAATATCATGTCTTTTACCATGAGAAATGCACCTGAAGCACTCATTTCTGCCACTGCGCAGCGCCCTGTACTTTGAGCTCCGGTTGCCATGTCTTGCTCAAGGACACACCCCAGTGACCATCCATCTAAACCTCGTGTCACCAACACTTGCTGAACATTACTTGCATCTGAACTCACTACTCACTTAGCCACTGGGCCCCCAACTTTGGCAGTTGGTGGATGGCAGTTTAACTAATTATCTCCAGAGGGGGTTTTCTCACTGTGCCTGAGACCTCTTTAGTCATGAAACCTGAAAGTGACATAAAGATCACTAAATTGATCATAAAATCGAAACAAATGAACTTATTTTAACCCTATTCGAACGCCCTGGGGTCATTTTGAACCCCCGGGGTTGCACTCTTCACATTTTAGAATACTTCTAGTATGAAGATCTCTTTGAAACTTTCAGACTGCTATGCAAAGCGTACGGATCGGATTTACGAGTAAATCTCCTCTTTGGAAAGTGGTTGCACAGAGTTCCCAACATCGTATCGATACAATTCTAAAATAAGACGTACGGATAGGGTTAATAATTCTTCATCTAATAAAAGAACTCCCGCAGTAAGAGAGACCTGTTTTTGGCATTTGCTGAAAGTTAATATAACGTCGGTGTCGTCAAAAAGGAATTTGTCGGAGCCAGCAGATCACCGGCACAATATTTCCTACCGCAAACTGCTGTGAGCCGCTTCTCGGAGATAAGGAGTTAAAGTGGCCATCATTTGTTTATATTTACTTCTCTTCCTGCATAGACAAAACCTGGCAGTACATTGGGCTGGCACTATAACGGTGGATGGTATAACGGTTCGATAGTTGCTATCAAAGATTTTCTAAAGCTGTTAAGTCAAACCTGAGAACATTTCTCCTTGTTTGCTGTACCCCAAGTTCTGAGCATGAGTCAGGATTTCCTCTGTGGTGACTCTGTGCCCTCCTGTTAGGTCTGATGCCATAGCCAGAGCAACCATGCCACACCTGCATCAAAGATGGACCCACTTTAACATTTTACCTGAGAAGCAAAGAACCGTCTAAAATGTCCAAGACAGCCAACTAATGTTGAGGAGAAAAGTAGTTGTCTTACACAGGTGGATACCTTGAACAGTGTCATTGTTATATATGTATACATAGAAAGATAGATAGACAGACAGACAGACAGACAGACAGACAGACAGACAGACAGACAGACAGACAGACAGACAGACAGACAGACAGACAGACAGACAGACTACCTGTATTACCTGTCCTGGGCAACAACGTCATTGCACACCGGACAGGTCCATAAGTGCTCAGTTCCCCCGAGCACCAAAGCCCGCAAGGTATCCATACTGATTGTTCCGGTGGCTGTCTGATTACGGCGACGTCTTTCCTTTCCAGATAATCGTTCCTTTCTTCCTTCTCCCCTCTCTATCCCCATTTCCCATATCCTAATGATTGCGTGGTGTTCTGCTGTCTCCCTGTCTTCTTCATCCCGCAACTTTTTCTCCAGGGTCTTCAACACTACTCCTTTGTCAAATTTCACCTCACCATCACCCATGGCACTGCCTATCAGCCTATCAGATAGATAGATAGAAAAGACATAGAATGGGGGTAGGAAGTGATCGTTTGTACAAGTGATTGTCATGGACAGATATACGTTAGAGCAGGTTTGACTGTATTTAGAAACGTTACAGTGCTTATCAGCATCTATAAATCAAGTTGGTCAATATTTCTCTAACGAACACTAATAAAAAAGACGTGCACATCTACTTTACAGTCCATCTTTAATAAAAAAAATAAAAAAAACAATTATAATTTTTATAGTGAATCCTAAACATCTAAAGGTATGTGACTGGATAACAGCAAAAAATGAAAAAACATATCCAACAAATAATCTCAAATCCTATCCACAGGATATCAGTCTGAACTTGTTAAAAACCCATTAACCTACAAGCACTAATTATTTATCTTTACACTAACTAATTATCTTTGTTTTAAGGTACCCAGAGTATGCAAATGAAGAGAACAGCATTCTACATCGATATCCTTAAAAAAACAAGTTTGAGTAACCAATATTTCAAATTCTTGGTTAACCCTATCCGTACATTGTGTTTTACCATCGCATCCATACGACGTGCGGAACTCTGTGCCACCACTTTCCAAAGAGGAAATTTACTCGTTAATCCGATCCGTACACTTTGCATAGCCGTCAGTCAAAACAATTTTTTGAGAAATACTGAAAGTTTCAAAGAGATCTTCCTACCAGAAGTATTCCAAAATCTGAAGAATACAACCCCAAGGCGTACGGATAGGGTTAAATAGATCAAATGGCAAAACAATTAAACGTAACTCTTACAATGGTCCACTCTGCATGACAGGCACCACAGGCTGGTAACATGAAATAAAGGTAAAACTTTTGCTGTCATTTTCTTCTGATAATCTGAAAGAAAAAAGAAAAGAAAATTTCATACTATCTGATAAAACAGCTAGAGGCCTATATTGTTTTACAATGAAGTTATATGTAAATGATACAAAGAACAGGGATAAAAGGAAGAAAATACGCCTTGACAAGTATCAATCCGCATCAAAAGGATCCGTTTTAAGGAACAGTATTGGAAAAAGCATTTAGCTAAAGGTGAAACAAAAACCCGGACTCACCCTCTACTTCGTAAAAACGAGCTCAGAGCTTTCCTACTCTCTTGAATAGAAGATGTGTAAATCTGTTCCAGTACTATTCCTCCTCTGTCTTTCCCCAAATTCTCGGTGGGTGTGCTTCTTTGTGCTGATACTGGAGGGGGTGGTGGTGGGGGTAGCCCAGGGGGTGGGGGTGGGAGTGGGGGAGGAACTGGTGGAGGTGGCAGCATCTCAACCACAAATGATGCTGGTGACGTGAAAGTAAGTTGCAATGCAGAGATAAAATTATGATGGGCAGGGCAGCAGTTGAGTTTTCAATTGAAGAGCCAGATGAGAAATCGGAAACAGACAAGATTTTGTCGACTCATCCTTTTCATTTCTTGGGAATGGACAATACACTTGGCAGATCAATCATCCAGGCCTGAAAAGAGAAAAAGCAGAAAATAAGCATTTATGGAATAGCTCAAATATTTAAAAGAAAATGATGCTACCAGTCTTGATTCCTATTTGCTATACTGTAAAACAAGTTTTTGACAAGACCCAATAGATTTTTGGTTTTATAGACCTGTCCGCAGCCCATTCTACAAAGATGCAAACACTTATACCACACACACAAACAGAATTTGTGCTGGCCACCCGTCTGACCTCTCCCAACCCAGGCACACAGTCAAACAATGTTGTGCACATGACACATGTGTTGGTGTGAAAGAAAGCTTCTGATTTGTTATACAAGATGGCTGTGTGTTCCTGATAGATTGACCAAAGTGTACTCAGTATGATATGCAAGACATTGTAAGTGTGTAATAATTCACAATGCAGGACGACTGACGGTCCCTCAGAATAGAATAAAGCAAAATAACGTTCACTACCGGAGAGTTAAGTTAATTCTGCAAGCAACTTCCTTGAGTTCAAGTTTACTCATAATTTAAGTATTTGTTAAGCCGTGATATAAAAAAAAAGGAGAATCCTTCTCCTTTCATTTTCAATGAGTCCGAGTTTTCGTTCAGGCTGAGATTGTTGACAACAAGTATCGCTTCAGGGACCAAGTAAGGGTATTGAGTAGACCATAATATTCGCCAACCAGATTTGAGCGACGCTGCCTGCTCCATTCTGAACACCTGACAGTGCATACTAGAGTTTACTACTATCTCTGTGGAACACTGCTGCTTATTGCAGATTAAGGCTTAACAGGACCCCCGCATGGACGTGAAATCCCTGTTATAAAACCGAACCCTGTTACAGAAGGAAATCAAGTTTACACATTCTCTAAATACCGGTAATGAGTAACGATTGGGATCACTTTTTATAACTAGGTACCAGAAACTAAATTTTCAAAGTAGCTGTATGCCAAATTTATCAGTTCCGTTTGAAAGGCCTATATCCACTGAGCATTTTGGTACCATTCTTTAACATCTCAGTCAATTTTTAAGAAAATGGTAGATGTTTAAAATTTGATCAAATTTGTTAAACTCAGTCACTGGCTGCAACCCCATGTTTGACAGACAATAAAAGAGTACCAAGAGCACTAAACATCTCCACATTAACAGAGTACAATCACTATAACAAATATATTCATGAAGCCTAATTTTTTTCAAGACTGTGAGATCATTACAAATCAGTATTTTATCGCTTCAAACACGATGATCTGTTGTTATTTCGACAAAAACACTGAACGTTGACCCCGCCGGCGCTGCACCAGGCCCCGCGGCGAGCGAGTCAGCTTATACTGTCGTGTACCCCGCGAGCGAGGTCACATACTTTCTGAGTCTCACAGAAGGATTGATGAAAAATAATTCCAAATTGATTACTTTATTCTAATAGAAAATGAGCTGATCTTTTATTTGACATATTTTTAAAGCCGGTATTTTACATATTATGTGTAAAAAGTGATCTTTAAACATTTTGACGGTATTTTTAAAAGCTTTCTATTTAGACGCCAAAGGTCAAATACATACCACGGGAAGGCCCGTTTAAAGCTCCACAGTTCTCCGCCAATGAAAAGACGGTATTTAATCATCCCTCGTTCCGTGAAGCATTTGAATGCACCCGTGTCAATTTTTCAACCGGCCGACCACGCATTCCGACTGAGAGGGGCTTCGCTTTCGTCGGCATACTCCAGCTCCTACTAATCGGACATAAAAACAGCTTACATCATTGTAACGAGGAAAATCAGAACTTTCACAAGGTGTACGGCATTTGGTGTTTTATAGCGAAAGAGCAAAGAAACAGCGATCGGAATTACCCAGATTTCACCAATACCACGCGGTCGGAAGGCCGCAAGTGCTCACGAGGCCGTGTTTACGCTACCTAATATAACCCATAACCAATTTATCAGTCACTGCTCCTTTCTTTTCTAGTGATTTTTTTCTCTCTGTCTTTAACTTCTTTTTTTCTAAATCTAGTAGGCCTTCTATCTTAATCTCACAGAGGCTGACTTGACATAATTTGAGACACACAGGTAATAATAATAATAGGTCTCATAATAATAATAACAATAACTATTTGTGATCAAAATAGGAACTTTACATCTTGGAAAGGAGCCCAATAGGTCTGGGGTAGATCTAGCACCCAGGCCAATGCCTACTTTTCACTTAATCATTTGTTCCTGTAACAAGTCTTGCCACCCAACAAGGAGACTATATCATTGACAGTCAAACCTGTGAGAAACGGTCACCCATAGTCTAGGAGAAAAGTGGCCGTATAACACGTCTTAGGCGGGACTGATCAAAATGAAAGAAAGCAAACCATTCTCTTCTGAGGTCCAAACCGGGGTTTATCTCAGGCTTTAGACTGCCGTAAGGCTAATCCAAAAGGGTTTTCGCTTTCTTTTGAAAAAGGGGGTGGTTGGTGTAAGAAGAGTTTTTTTTTGTGTTGATTTGTTGGTTTGCTTTTTGCTTAGCTTTCTTTTCGTTGCTGATTTTGTGCAAAGGTAAAATTTATAGGAAGTGCCTTTTGCAACGCCGCGTTGCGATTTAATTAGCGCCAGTGCTAAATAAAACGCCGCGTTGCGATTAGTGCCAGTGCTAAATAAAACGCCGTGTTGCCATGTGTAAAATATTAAGCTTAATCTGCACTTCGTTATCGGAAGTTCTGATGGCCGAAGTGACAGCGCGTCTGCGCTTGAAGTCAAACCATTATTTTTTTAGCGGGGGTTCGATCCCGGTCCTGGACGGTTTGTTTGTTGTTTGGTTATTTTTGTTGTTTTCCTCTTCTCAACGGACCAACAATTTGTTCCCATAATTATATCTTGTTGCTTTGTAGGTTTTTTTATGTAGTGATGAAGCATGCACATTCTGGTTTTGTCCCCAAGAGGAGCTCTGTACAAAGTAGGCCTTAGTATAGCCTATACTTTTCCTTTTACACATTTAGGCCTGGTTAAAGTTCAGTGTGGCTTTCCTTGGTGGTCTGTGAGTCTAATTTTTTTTTAAAAATAAAATTTTAGGCTCAGGAGAAGGAAAAAAAACAACCTTCCAGGACCGGGATTCGATGCCACGCTTGGAAGCCCTGAACATTAGACTTAGAGAATGTAGACAATAGACAGCTTGTATACGTTCTCTAGGCCTAACTTAAAGTTTGAGTTGCACTGTCTTGTTATTAATCCAAGCGTCTTTCGACTTACGAAGTGACTATTCGGACTCGTGTCCGAATATGAAAAATTGTTATTCGGACTCTGATTCTTGTCCAGCATGACATCACTTCCGACTTCCTGTGACTCGTGACTCCCTGTCCTGCCTCACTCGTGACTCGCCTCAGGTTGGGAAGAGACCGGGATTACTTCGGACAAAAAGGCGTTTTGTGCAGGAGCTGAGTTTTTATCTTAAGATGAATTTGAGGCCGGCCTGAAAAGTTATAGCGCTTCTAATAAATGTTTATATGTCAAGAGGTCATCAGAAGCAATTAAAGATGGCTCGTTAGCGTGTGTCAGGGTCGGACGGGTGCCCTGCACACGTGTGGCTGTGTGCATGTCAGGGAGGGCACTATCGGTCCGGGCGTTGAACGTCGCATACGCGTCAGTCTTTTTCCCCATGGCAACTGATCATTATTTGTACAATAATAAGCTAATCTTGACGTAGATCTACATAATGAATTGTGCGCTGGTCTATGGAATCAAAAGTTGCCGTATGCTCAGCTCTACACAGCAACACAACTTTTTTTTGGTAAACAATCGAGATGACACAGGCTTGTGTATTTGAACGAATCAGTCTTTTTTTTTTTACACAGCTCATAATATGCAGGTGCCAGGTGGTCGGCTAATCTTCAATTTTACCTTTTTCTACAACAAAGAAAGTGGGAAACATGGATGGGGGGTGGGTGGGGTGGGGGGGCGTATCAATGAGGCGGCGGGCATCGGATCGGCAGAAAAGGTGCGGGGGAAACTAAAAAATGGCGGAAAATTGGAAGCACTGAACGTTAGATCTATAGAACGAAGACACTTCCTTTTTTCCGGACCTGAGTCCAAATAACATTTTTTCATATTCGGACTCGAGTCCAAATAACGACGGCCTTCGACTTAAACTTGCTCAAACTCTAACTCAAATGATTTATGATTATGAGAGATGAACAAGACGTCTACTTTTGTGCAAACCATGTCAGAAACAATTGTTAGATCTAATCTAGTCTAGATCTAGATCTAGATAGATTCTAGATCTACCCAATAATTAACAATATTGATCGGAATAAGACAACATCATAAAAAAAGGAGTCAAATCCTAGGACGTTTTATCAAAGGAAGTGGCTATTCTCATCTGTAGCTGTATTATTAGTGTTATTCATCAGTTCATGCTCTATCATCATCATCATCACTCTGCGCCCCTCGGGGACTCATGCATGCAGGTCTAGATTCATTTGTCAGTGCGATCACTTATCATTTCATTCCGTTCTACATCCCCGTCTTGTGTTTTCCATTTCATTTCAGTTGATGTCGTCATCACTTGTAACCCCGTTGAATCATTAAAAGTTCATTGATGTTATCCGACAAGTGATGAGTCATTCTTTATGACGACATCAACTTTTGAAGATATTCTCCGCACAAGTCAAACCTTCGAAATCGTTAGCGCTTCCGTTTATACCTGAATCCGCTATTTTCCTGCACGTATATCCGCTGTCCGTCGCTTCGCCACCGCCGAAATACTGAGTGCCGAGGTGCGCTTGTCGCCGACTCCACAAACCGTGCCTTACCCTCCACAATGGTCATTGTCTCTTGCCCTGCGCCTGGCTGCACGTATACAACGCCGGACGAGGACCCCTCCGTGGTCTCTGCTTTGCTGAACATACATGCTTTCTCCCATCAAAATCAAACTGCAGCTTCCTCAAGAGGGCTTTGCTGAACATACATGCTTTCTCCCATCAAAATCAAACTGCAGCTTCCTCAAGAGGGCCGAAACTCGAGAGGCCAAGGATTGATATTGGCGTCAACCAAGAAACGTGGAATGCCTTTGGCCGGAGATGGGAAGCCTTCAGGAATGGATCTGCCATCAGCGACTCTTCCGCACCAACCCAACTCTTCCAATGTGCCAGCGAAACTCTGGGTGACCTACTGCTCGCTGTCATTCCTACAGCCAAAGGAGTTCTACGAGCTGAGCTAATGCAGATGAAGCAAAGCCCGGACGAAAACTTCCGTACGTTTGCTGCTAGGGTGAAGGGCAAAGCGGAGACCTGTGCATTCACAGTCTTCAGTCAGTGCCAGTGTGGCAAGTCCGTCTATGCTGACTACACAGAGGACGCCTCCCGAGACGTCTTACTGGCAGGAATTGCCGACATTGATATTCGTCGAGAAGCCCTCAGTGCAGATGGCATCCAGTCCAAGTCGGTGAATGATGTCATCGCTTTCGTTGAAAGCCGAGAGATGGCCCGCAATGCCACCCCACTGTCCACGTTCTCTGCAATGTCTAGCTTCAAGAAGAGCATGGCCCAGGCACCAGCAACAGACGAGCGGACACAGACCATCCCATGCCCTGACTGCGGACAGAAGTTCCGCCCCTACAAACAGAAAAGTGGCGTGTGGAACACGAAGCCCCACAAACTATGCCTAGACTGCTGGCGTGGGAAGCGGCGCCGCCCTGCACAGCCCCGGGAGAAACCTACCGGATTGAACACCTTGGTCTCTATGGGTGATCAGATCTCCCAGGTGTCGGCCGTCACCCTGCAACACAAGATCCTCACCAAGGGCGAGTGGCGGCGGGCCCAGTTCTCAAAACACCCTACAGTACAGTTTGAACTTGGGATCCATCAGCGTAAAGCCATCCGGACTACCACAGTGGTAGGGCTAGCAGACACCGGGGCCCAGTCCAACCTGTGGGGTCTGCAGGACTTCCAGAGAGCGGGTTTTGTTGTCAAGGATCTTCACACTGTCCGCATGGATATCAGGGCCGCCAACAAAAACCCAATTAACATCATCGGTGCGTTCCCTGGGCACTTTTCAGGGCAATCCCCATCTGGACAAAGAATTACCAGCCAGTCAATGGTGTACGTCAGCGATTCGGTCTCTGGCTTCTTCCTGTCATATGACACTATGATAGACCTTGGGATCATTGACAAACACTTCCCAACAATCGGAGGCTGCGATAGCGACAGTGCCACGGACTTCCGTGACAGCCCCATTTCCAGTGGTCAGCACCAGTGCAGCAATAAAGTCAACCATGCTAGGTCCCTCAACGCTGGCTGCACAGATCAGCAGGTCACGGAAGGTTCACCTTCCTGCAGCTGCCCCCAGAGGTCATCCGTTCCCGATCGTCCCCCATCGCTCCCATTCGCTCCCATTCGCTCCCACCGCGGACAACAACGAGAAAATGCGGGAATGGTTATTAAAGATGTATGCAAACTCCACATTTAATACCTGCCCCCATCGTCCCCTTCCCTGCATGACAGGTCCTCCCATTGAGATCCATATTGATGATTCAGCCACCCCACGCACATGTTACACTGCAGCACCAGTCCCAATGCACTGGCAAAGGCGTGTGTATGAGGACCTCCTACGTGACGAGGCCCTGGGCGTCATTGAGAGGGTCCCCTACGGTGAACCAGTGACTTGGTGTCATCGCATGGTCGTTACCAGGAAACACGATGGGTCCCCGAGGCGTACAGTGGACCTCTCTCCACTCAACAAATTCTGTAAACGGGAGACCTTTGCCGCTGAGGCCCCGTTCCTCCTAGCTCGACGTGTGCCAGGGAACACATGGAAGACAGTTACAGATGCATGGAATGGGTACCACAGTGTTCCATTGAGAGAATCTGACCGCCACTTGACCACCTTTATTACACCTTTTGGCCGGTGGCGGTATACCCGTGCCCCTCAGGGCTACCTGTCATCAGGTGACGGGTACAATCGCCGCTTCGAGAATAGAGGTGGCCATTATCATGTAGAAACGATGGCGGTGATCTTGTAGTTCCGTTCGTTTAAGTCCACGACCCATTTGTTTACATCCAGAGAAGAAATCCAGAAGTCTTGATGACCAAATACTCTTTGAAATAGGCTGCACAAAGAGCAGGGGATGCAACCTAACTTTAAAACATCACATTAGGAAAACATTCACGGGGGCATGCCCCCCTGAACCCCCCAACCTCCATATTTTTATTAGGTCAGGGGGGCCCCCCTGAAACCCCCCATCTCTTGACTTTAACTTTAACGAACGAAACTACAAAATCGCCACGATGGCTACTACTAGATTTACTACATCTAGAATCTAGAATCTAGATATAGATCTAGAGTCTAGATCTAGATATCTAGATCTAGATTCTAGATCTAGATATAGAGAATCTAGATCAAATTCTAGATCTAGATATAGATCAAATTCTAGATCTAGATATAGATCTAGATACTAGATATAGATTCTAGATTACAGAATCTTTGCCTCACTTACGCCTTTACTTTTGAACACCCAACACCATGGAGAGTCAGGTAGCCTAAGGTAAGCTAGTAATAAACTAGACTTTTTGAATAGTACCGACTGATCTGAATTATAAGGGAGCATAGCTTGTTGGTAAATTTAATAGATTTTATTTTATATTTTTTAGCGTTAAAAAAGGTTAACAATTCATAAAATATTCATTTTTTAATATTTTTATTATATTAAAGAAATATTTAAAATAGATATTCATTAAAAAAATTTTTTATCAACTTATAATATATATATAATATATAAAAACAATGACAATGTTTACAACTAAACCAACCAGTACAAAGTGGGCAACAGTTTGATAAACATTGAAGTTCGCTGTCTGTTGATATTTTTATTCTCCACGCAAGCTTGATGAGTGAAGTCCAAATTTAGATTTCTAGATCTAGTCGGGTTTGTTTCTCTGTGTCCTGTGTAACTGTCTAAATTAAGGATCCTGGCTTAAAATTCAGTTGGATTTTTCCTCTTGTGTTCCTGGTCTCTCACCAATATTTATTGTTATTCTCACCCTGGGTGAGAATAAAATGAATATTATTCTCACCCAGTCTGAGATGAGAATGCAATAGGTTTTTAGGTCTACCTGGGTGTTGAGAACGGATGATAGGAGATAATTTGTGAATTGTAAGAGCATGACCATTCGTGACCTGCCCCAGAGCGCTGGCCGATTTTTCTAGGTTCCCGCAGGGATTGTTATTGCTGCACTTTTTAAAAAATCTTGAGTTGAGATTGAGAGTATGCACATGTTGGGCGCGATCCATCCATCGCGCAGCGCATTTGGTTGATCGAGGAAACGCGCGACAATCCACCGATTGTTGCGCATTCTTTTGATCAGCGGATCGCGCAGCGCTTTTTGTCGATCCGTGAAATATATACTTGCTGCGCATTCTGTCGATAAACTATGATGATGAAGTGAATAAAACAGAAAGAAAATTGGTTTACTGAGCATGTCAGTCTTTGAGTTTGAGCGTCCTGTTGTTTTGCCTCGAAGAAGAGTTGTGTTGAACTAAAGGTGTTGACGGTTGAGAGAGGCAGATACATTGACACGACGTTAAATCGAGCTCTTGCACTCAGTATTTGGACGGATGTGATTGGCTGAGTACTTCACGTGGTATTCCAAATATGGTCAAGATTTAATGGCTTGTGATAAATTGTTATGTGTTGATTAAAAATTTATTGATATTATATTATACAAGTATTGTTTTCTTTATTGTTTCCTTGAACAAGAGCACCTCGAACACAACCAACCTCTCCATATTGAATAAGTGTTTGGAGTGATACTCACCTTCCATTCAGTTTCGGTTTGACTTTGGAGAGTGAAACTAAATTACACTCTGGACGACAACAAAACTTAGGGGTAAGGTAAGATCTATAGAATGTGCAACCAAACGGATCGACAAAAAGCGCTGCGTGATCCACTGATCAACAGAATGCACAACAATCGATGGATTGTCGCGAGTTTCCTCGATCAACCAAATGCGCTGCGCGATTGATGGATCGCGCAAATCGACAAATCGCTCCCAACACACGATCTTCACCAAAACCCTAGACAAGTGTAAATATAAATTTTCTAAATTCAAAAAGGAATTCTCTTGCCAGAGTAATATGTTTTTAACTTAAAAATAATAGCCTTAACTGAAAGCTGTTTAATGAAATAAAATAGTAATAGTTTGTCATTCGTAACGTTAGAATTGGCATTTGTTTACAACACAAAAAAAACATGTTTAATTGTTTTCCCTAGCTGAACCCACAATTATTTTTAAGGAACGCAGTGCCTTGACCCTAGGCTTATTTTTTTCTTAATTTTGATTGGTTAAACCATTCAAGAGTAAACTTTTCCATTAGGCCTACAGAACCAATAAATTAATACCAGTAGCAACAAAAGGTGACGCTATTTGGTCAAAAGATAAGGTTTTTCCCCAAATCGACTATAGTCGCCTCCCACGCCCGAGAGCTGGCCCACCCGTTCTCGAGTTCTAAAGTCGCCTCGCGCACTCAACGGAGTGAGAGAGGGAGGGAGGCGAGATTTGTTGCCTGGAGCACTCAGTGACAGGGTTCCTATGATGCTCGAAACGGAAAAAATGGGGTGAGAATAGTAGGCTGTCGTTATTCTCACCCGGGGTGAGAATAGTATGAAATTTTATTCTCACCCCGGGTGAGAACAATATCCAGTTTATCCTCACCCCGGGTGAGAATAATTGTATTATTATTCGTCCTGTGAGTTTAAATAATAAACGGCGTGTCGCGGACCCATACTCATTACTACCAATAGCCACCAATGGCGATAGTTCATTAGATTCTAATAGATCTATACTATCCAAAGATCGTACACGAAAAAAAGAAGATTTGGTGCTGAGTAGAGAAGTGGGGTTTGTAATGAATACCAAACAAGTGAAACATGCTTTACCCACCTAGATCGGATCATTGGCTAGATCTAGTCCTGGCCCTGGGCAGTTCTGGTATCGGAATTGAATTGATACTTTCGAAAAGGATCGATACATGGAGACTAATTATTCCCAGGCAATTCACTAATCCAAGGCCAAGCTCGCTCTCTCTCTCTCTCATACCCTTTACATGTGTAAACAAAGACTGGGGTCTTGAAATCAAATCACACTTACGTTATATTTTATTGATAGTTTATATGCCTATGTTGCTGATTAATGTGGTATCATGTTTAAAAATAATAGTAAGTTTTATGTGTCACATTAAGTTCAGATTTGTTCTTGTACCTCTCATTTTTAACATTAACCCTAGAAGCGCTCAGCATTTCACCGGAAGTATCCCGCCAAAAATGCCCCGCCGCCAGGGCCGATCAGTTGTAAACATGGTGGTTTGGCGGGGGATATCAGCTGAGATACCCGAGATGTGTACCTGCTACTGAAAAATGACCATTTATGGCTCAACAGAGATGATAAAAGGCACATAATATAAATATAAAGCAAGTGGCTGTTCACCGGCGTTGCGCCAGTCAATAGATAGGAAGCTATTCTCCGGTGTCACGCCGCCGGTCTATTGTATTTGTCAGCTCAGATCTTGAGATATAATAACTAGATTTCTGGACCTAGTAAGCCTACCTTTCATTATATTTTATCTATGATAATTGTCTAATGTAACTTTATTCATTTATTTGGGTCGTCAATTTGCTTATTTTAAAATAATGATTTTGTTTTTTTAAACGAACAAAATTGATTTTGTAACTAAAATCCAGTCTAGTCATATAGTATAGCTTGCTGTTTAACTTATTCTCTTATTGTTATAATTTTCTATAAATTTAACTAATATTTCGCGACTTCGGTGCTTCCTTGTCGTATCTCCGTTTTTGTAAAAAGTGAAAATGTAACTTCTTCTTATGCTCACTCTTTGTTATGAACTCACGTCACTTGTGGTGAACTCGTTTCTTCTAGCACCTAACATAATTCTAAATTGGAGGAATTGAGGCAGTTTGTGTCTGAAAACCTATCGTCTGTATCAATGGAATTGGCACGAAGTGGTGAAGTTATGGGAATTTTTTCCCAAGACAAACAGATGAGGGAGGTATGTATTTGCAAATCTGCGCTGACAAATTATTAGTAACAGACCGGCGGCGCGATGCCGGAGAATAGCTTCTGATCTATTGACCGGCGTGACGCCGTAGAATAGCCACTTGCAAATATAAAACCATATATCTTTTCTTAAAGCTGATAGTATGAGCCATTCAAATATGATAAGCGATCAAATGTTGTTGTTGTTGTTGTTTTCAAATCCCTTTAGCAGCGAGCATTTCACTCTTAGCAGCACAATGCCTCCCTCAAGTATCCACATGTCCTTGTCATCTGGTCAACGCCAGAGTAGAGCAGGCTTTGTAAAAAAAAGAACTGTCATGTTTTGGCAGTGAAGGAGAAGATGTTAAATGTGCTACTCCCTTGTCCCCACAGTAAAGATGTGACATCATCGGTTCCCACATGGGGTTAATTCTGTATGTGCTTTGTGAGACCAAATAAATACAAACAAAGCGCAAAACAATTAGTACATTAGCATGGCGAAACAAGGGATAACACATAGCGTGTAGTTACTCAGCTGGATCACGTCACTTTATCGATCGATATCTTGGCCTAGAGACGCTCTACGAGGTCAAGATAACTTGCAAAGTCATTGGTTCATATTTATAACTTTGACCTGTAATTTACTACGTCATTTTCCATATAAGGAATACTAGAATTTTCCATTGAAAAAGGTCAGTGTCTATGTCCCTTATATAGGGCCGGCGCGCTTCCCGGGTAGCCCATCTCACGCCCTTTATATAGGGCCTGCACACTTCCAGGGTTAACATTTTCTTGCGTTTGGCCTCTAATCTATCTCTAAAATCATGAGTTTAAATCACATTTTGTTTCAGTCATTAACTGGAGATTTACGAGTTGCCATTTGCTGTTCATTATTTGATTAAATTGTTCATTTATTTTAATCACTTTTGTTTCGATTTGTTTTGGTTAAAAAAATGCAAAATGTTGTTCTTTGGATTGTTTTTTTGTTGCCCCTACCTATATACCCTATCCTGCTATTAATGTGTTGATTTTGGGTGCCTGGTGTGTGTATTGGTAAAGAAAAATATTTGTATCAATCATGTACAAGTAGGCCTACTAGGTATCGGAATCGGTATCGAATCGATTCCTTGAAAAAGTATCACGTATCACATCAATTTCTAAATAGTGGTGTATGTCCCAACACTAGCTAGATCTACTGATAAAACATCGATACTGAATATTTAAATCAGTATTGATATCCAGTACTCTGTGTGGATGATGCCAAGTCTAAACCAATTTGGTCAAAACTTGTATCCCCAAACGGGACCCAGATTCTTAAGTAGTACCAAAAAAACAACCTAAGAGTTTATCGTGCTATTAGACTGCAAGCCCTTTTATTTGTTTTATGCCCATTTTTTGTGGAGTTTATTTTTTCAATATGTTATTGTCGGAACTGTTAATTCAAATGAAATTTTGAGAGTTGGATTATTATTATATATATATTATATCACTGCTCTGACAGTTTAAAGGAAAAGAGATTTGAAGTTTTATTTTTATGCGCTTTCATCATAATCCTAACTTTTTTCCTCCCCATCTCCCCCCTTAGCAGGTCAGAACCATAGAGAGTTTATTTTTCTCTGCTGCTATTATTGGTTTCTTCTCTACTTCATTACTGTGATGACTTAAATTTTCACAAGAACTGAAAGAATGGTTTTGGATTAGAGTAGCCTATTAGTGCCAGGTTTTTTTGTTTTTTTATCATAAGTGCAGTTTAAATGCTTTTGTCACATCTGGTGTATAATGATAATCTTTTATTCATATTCCAATGTCAAAATGTGTATTTTTTCAGACCGCAATTCAACAAAGTGTTAGAAGAACTTGCTCATTTGATATAGAACTGCAGTGATGAGCTCAAACGAAGAACCAGGCAGTTCGAAGGTAGGAGTTACCGGCAGTAAGATTTTTTCCACAACCTTTTTCAAGGGAATTTTGGGGGCTCTTTGGAAATTGCCTTCCCATTTGTTTACGTAAGAAACAGAAGTGATTGATAAGGACTAAAGTGGCCATATAGGCTAAGTGAACCCTACCACATTAGCCAGTAATATTTTTCTGCTTTTTGTGTATTAAAAATGTATCTTGGCCGGATTGAACTCTGGTGGACCCACCATGTTTACCTGTGTATTAATGTGCACTACAGAAATCGATGTACAGTAAAGTGGGAAGACATGGAATAACATCAAGAGGCTAGCCCAGGATAGAGAAAGGTGTTTGTCCGTGGCCTATACCCTGGTGCAGGGTGAGAAAGGCAATGATGATGATGAATGGGCACTAGCCATAACAGTGGGGGGGTTTCAGGGTGGCTTGCAGAAGTGAAACAATGTACTGTGTGTGCCTCTGTCAAGTCTGTTGTGCTGTGTGAAAAAATGTGGGGAGAGGCGGGGCCTTGTCGAGTCCTGAGACAGTTTGGTTGCCTGTGTGCGCTGTATGTCAATTTGGTGGTACGTAACACAGGATATTTGAACAACAGTTGCGCTGCCGGAGTGGGTGGTAGGCGGGTGCTCTGGTGTGGTTTGCTCTTTCTTTCCTATCAAACATCTATTGTCCTTATCTCCCCTTCTTCTTTTTTATGTTTGTTACTCTCCTGTAACACCTCTAATTTTCTGGCGCTCATATGACCTGATGCAGTTGCGGGCACCGTAAAACCTCTACTAAAACTAAACTTCGTAGCTGGAAAGTTTTGACAAAACACAAACTTTTCAGTTTCCAAAAACCTGAGTTGCCTGTGCACGCAGTGCTTATCCATTTCATTGTATACATTTGGGCGAGAAAACTGTTTCACAACTAAAGTTGTCCTGTGCGCCCCTAGCCTAAGCAAAGCATTTTTGTTAACCCAACAATGTCTGGGTGCAAGACTTTGACAAACACCAAACTGCGAAATGGCATTTGTCAGAGTCTTGCATCCAGCTATCAACATGTGCATACTGTTCATTTCAATTGTATTTTTCCCCCCTCAAGGACAAGGTGGAGAATGACAAGAGTGTTGGTAAGTCTCCTGTAGTCTGTCTCTTAATCAGTTTTCACCCGTAGATTTTAGAACATGCTACAAAATTGTCCTTGGGCTTTTCCTTAATGAGAAATTACCAAAGACAGATCTATTATGAGATGAATCCGGAGCCTGTGAATGAATAACTCTAGTGGGTATTTATCCAGTGCTGAACACTGTGTTGTATATAGGCCTATTTCATATTTTGACACAAATTTGTATTTGCCAGTGACTTCTTTCCCAGTGATGCTGTGACTCTTTTCTCTGAACTCACCTACAGAAAAGTCAGTTTGCAGCATCTAACCATATGTTTGTGTACATGCATGCTTGTCTGTGTGTGTGCGTGCGTGTGCCAACAATGGGAACAAAAATAAGTATTATAGAATGTACAAAGGGCAATGTTGGCAACTGTACTGTGCTAATGTTTACACTCGTGGGCTTATCATTGAATTGAATTCTAAAACTTCACTAAAACATGTGCCAATTAAAAAAACTTGTTGTCACGGTAGCCACAGTTTCGTACTTTACTTTTTTAAAGTCATGGACTGGAAGCGCCCCATATGCCATGTGCTTTTGGTTAATGTTACTCACTTTGAAGATCAACATTAAAGGTCAGAAACTGCACCTGGGCTCATTTTATTGCTTGGTGTCGTGTTTGTTCATCTTGCCCGTCTACAGTTGTATATACTAACATTACACTTGTGGACTCATAACTTCATATTTGCTTGACTGATGGTTTATTGTTAAGTGTTGTTGAATGGGAAATCTAACAACAATAATCAACCAATAGTTGAACAGAAATACAGTTATGAGTCAACAAGCGTTCAAAATTGGTACCCTTACGATTTTCAGTCTGTGACTACCATCGTTTTTCCCTGGTAGTTTTCATGTGTGTTTACTTGCACATATATATTACTATAGAATATTGGACATATGTTTTTTTCATATTCTTCTCTTATTCATAATTGTAAAGGAGCAGAGGCACCTGAAGGAGCTGCCAAACAAGATGACGGCACAGATGACAACGTGAGTATTTTGGCAGAGGCCATTGGTCATTGCATAGGTTTAATGACCTGTTCAACACTGTTAGATTAATCTAAGAGCCATTTGCTCCGAATGTAATGTCATCTCTGACAGGACCAAATCAAATCAGTGGAGAGCATGAAAAAAACTTCCCAAAGCAACCCAAGTTCAGAACGCCCTGTTGGGGACTGGAACCTGGGGCATCTGCTTCATAGTCCAGCGCAGTACCATCTTTTATGTTATTGCATCTAGAGATGCATAGTTATGCAGTTGCTTTAGTGTGTATTTGAAGAATTTCTGAATGAAGTTTTTGATTAAAAAATAATGCCAAAGTTATCATCTGATCATTCCTACCTGAACCAGGAGTTTGCCAACACTTTAACTCGAGGCAACAAAGCCCTTTGCTGTTTGTTGTGACAAATGTTGAGGGACAACTTTTTTTTTCTGCACAACAAACATGGACTGTTGGAAGTTTATTCATTCAAACATTTCTTTTTGTCATTGTTTTTCATTTTTTTCTCTCTCTATGTCTATATGAAAATGACTTTTTTTCCATCTTGTGTTCCGATGTATGCTTCTATGCTTACTCTTATGTCTGTCTCTCTGCATGTTGCAATATTTGCTTGTGTCTTTATTTGTCTTTTACTGTGTGGAAGTGTGGGCAAATACTCAAAACATGTTTCTTCTTTTTTCAGCCTGCTGAGAAAGACAGCAGTAAGTATTGATCCTGTATTTTGATTAGAGTTATGTTTTATCATTCTGCAGGCTTCTTTTACCTACTTAAAGAAATCCCTTTTACTTCTGTGACAAGAAGTATACCTCTGTCATTGTGAATAGACAATAAATGTTCTCTCGACAACGTAATATGCTGTTGAGGAACTCATTCTATACTATACTGGGTTTCTCATCAATACTCGCTCACACCTCAGTGTGTGGTAATGTAAAATTAGCAGAAAACTCAAAGCAGCTCAGGTGCTTTACTCATGTATGCTCAGGGGAAGGGGGCACGGCTCAAATGGTCAAATTAATCATTATAGAAAACTGAGAAAGTGCTGGTCAGTATACATTAAATAATAGTCCCTTAGAAACTGCCTATATAGCCTACCAAAAGCTTAAGAACACAATTCTTAAATAAGAAACACTGTCATTATCATGTGTACAAATCAACTTCCACCTTAAAAAACCTCCTGTTGACTAACCCTAAGATTTGTTGGGGTTAACGAAGAAGGAAAAGACTGTGCTGGCCTTTGACAGTGAATTGGGGAGTCTCATCAAGTGTCCTCTTTGCTTTTTCAGTGGATATGTTCAGTCTGTCGGAGTACCTAGCCCGAAGCCTTGGCCTTCGTGAGAAGCCGGAGAGTCGCCTGGTGGAAATTAGCCTCGCTGGCATTGCCAAATTCCTTGCAAGTGAGGAGTGCAAAAATGTTGTGACAATGGCTGGAGCTGGTATTTCAACCTGTAAGTAATACGAAAAGTAAATGGGACCATGCAAATGAATTAAAGATATGTTTCGACGAACTGATTTGGTTGTTAAGATTTTGGAAGTGGGCTCTTGTGGCCTAGAGGTTAAGGTGTTGGCCTCTCATTCAAAGGTCCCAGGTTCAAATCTGGGTGGCGACCGAAAAAATGTTTTCTCTTAAATTGTCTCCTTTCACCTTCTTTCCTGCTCTCTAGCAATGTACTGTCGTCTGCTTTCGTCTCCTCTTTCTGCCCCCACCCACTCACCTCCTTTGCCCCCTCCTCTGGGCTCCTGACTCTTTCTGCAGCCTTTCTACTGCTACTCCTTGGCTCCTTCTTACTGCTGTCTTTCAGCCACACCCCTCATCTTCTGGTAGAAAAGATCTACACCTAGCCTCCTCGGACAAGGGCGAAAAATCTCGGAGGGCACGTGTGCAAGTTGCCCATGTTGAAGATCCCTTGGTGGTCTAAAATCGATAAGAGTAGGCTTCAGCCGCCACCCTTGCAAAATACAAAATTTCCTACCAACTGAAAATATTCGGTGTGTCCCGCGCGCTCATACGACCTCATGCAGTTGCGAGCGCCGTAAAACACTTACCAGAAAAAACTACAAGATTTTGGGCTCACTGTCATAAGGGCACAACTAGATCCTCTTTTTCTCTTCTTCCTTTTCCTGTATCTTCTATTCCATTCATTGCTGGATCGAAAAAAAACAAAAAACAGCAGTATTTTTTCGTGGCAACATAATGCAATCCTGCAGATTCTTAATTTTAAAATGTTGTAGATTTACATGTACATATGTTGTATGAACATGCGATATTACTTGATTTTTATTGCAAATTCTTTTGATTGATTAATAAATGGATAAGGCTTACAATCTCATAAAAGTGGATGGTTGGCGGGTGCTCTGGTGTGGTTTGCTCCTTCTTTCCTGTCAAACATCTATCATCCTGATCTCTCCTCCTTCTTTTTTGTGTTTGTTACTCTCTTGTTCTTGTAACTCCTCAGAACTTCACCACTTATATGACCTTATTGTGTTGCAAGTGCCGTATGACCCTTATTAAAACTAAAAATCCTAAACCTTCATTTTAACTGTTTTGTGTTAGACTCCATCAAACATCACTTTTCAAAATGGCACATGGCTGAGTCTTACACTTAACAGTCGATTTGTGCTTTCACACTAAGATGGATAACCTTACTCAGACACACGCTGTCACAGACTTGGACTGTCTCTCAAAGCCCACACATACATATAATATTGCCGTTTGATAATCCTTCTTGACTTCTTTTTCCTTTACAATCAAACAAGCTCTTTCTGTAAAGTTTTGGAGATAAAAGTTGAGAAGTGGATCACAACAATGAGGGGGGGTTAAGAGTTTTACGGCACTTGCAACGCTGTTATGTCATACAAGTTCTGAAAATAAGAGGTGTTACAAAAGAATAACAAACACTAAAAATAAGGAGAGATAAGAATGCTAGAAGTTTGATTACATATAAGGAGCAAACAACAATAGAACATCTGCCAATTACCCACTTACCCGCCACAACTTTGTGCAATGTCACAGTTTTGATTTTGTTCGATGAATCTAATGTAAGCCCATTTGTGATGACTCTAATCTCCTCAGCTGCCGGCATCCCAGATTTTCGCTCTCCCGGCACAGGACTGTATGACAATCTGGCATCATACAATCTGCCTCACCCACAAGCTATTTTTGATATCAGCTTTTTTAGGGTGAGCTTTACTTTATGCTCTAAATACTGTACGGTATAGATAAAGTATAGCCCCTCTTTTAGAAGGGCTTGACCTAATGAGCAACATCCGGGGTTACAGTTGGGGGGTCATAGTGGGGTTTCACCTTTGGTGTACTGGAACCGGAAACAATGGACTGTGAGCATTGTGATGCACAAAGACGCTTTGTTCTACTTTACGGTGACCTATTTTCCTCCCTTTTAACTGATTCCGTCCATGATTTTTTCAGGCTCTGGACAGAATTACTTTTCCCTGTTCAGTTTTAGACCTGGGGTGCATCTATTTAATGCATTACTGTGAAGTTCTAAGTTTCTCTAATATGTATTGTCATATACCAAACTGATGGGAATAAATAGAAGAATCTGTTTCTATCAATAACAATGACCTATAATCTGTTTGTATTGCATTTTCCTTCTGACAAAAACGAATGAGAAAAAAAAATTGCGCAAGAGCTCTTCGAAAATTTCGACTTACCGCATTTTCTCAGCTCTACAAGTCCTTATAATCCATAGGAATCAACGCAACATTGTAGCGATATCACCCTAGCACACATTTATGCAAGAATTTCACAAATTTAGTTGAATATCTTTCTTTGAAGAGCCTTTTTATTATACCAGACTCCGTGTTGTTTACCCTTAGATCTAGCCTACATCGCAACAACAAAACAAGGATTTTTGCAAGAATTTCGCGGAGTTTCGATTGATATTGGCGCTCAGAGTTTGAGGTCAGCTTTGTTTACAAGTTTTACTTCCTTTCGACAACTTAAAAAGTAGGAACTATGTTAAAAAGTGCACCTTTGTTTCGGATTTCGTTGAGCCGCTCACAGCGGCCAAATGGACGCGGCGGAAAAACTCAGAGCCGCTGTCAGCGGCCGAATGGACGAAATCAGTTAACTTCTTCTCTCCATGTCGTTTGCCACTAGACTGGCGCTGCATCTACAGCAATGTTAAGTTTGCCCTCGTAAATAACAATATGATTTTTTTTTTTAGATATTCTTCAAAAAGTGTTGTTCTGTTTTATAAGTGAATTTCTTGTTAAAGGTTTGGTGTGGAAAATGTTTTTTGTTGATAAATGTAGGGTCCCCTAATGTTGTTTTTTTCAAATCTTTTTTTTTCCTAAAAGATTTGGTTATCTTTTTGTTCATTTCTCTTTAATTTTGTTTTCTCAGACTTTAACGATATGCAACAATTTTTGTCTTCTCATTGCTGCAGGAAAATCCAAAGCCTTTCTTTGTGTTGGCAAAAGCTCTCTATCCTGGGTCATTTAAGGTAAGTTCCAAACGCATAGATGTAGCAGCAGTGATCTCATCTTCTAGAGTGCCCAGTAGAATGAAACAATAAAGAAGAACATGATTTCCCCAATCTCTTGGGGTGACATTCCATCCAGTATTTGTATGGTATTTAGAGGACTTTGATTTGTTGTACAAGAAGGTTGCTGTGGTTACTGCACAACTTCAAGATGACAGTTTTTACCCGTTTTCTGAAACCCTAGCTTCCTGATATATAAATGTCACAAACTTGTTTTTTTGCTTGTAAGACAGTTTGTGTCCAGTGATGTGTTCCACTTTTCTTTTGTGTTCTATCTAGTTAGCTGCAGATATCTAACAACATGTAGATGGCGCTTCTAACAGCAATGCCATGCCATAAATGTTAGATGAATTGATCAGACTCTTTTTTATAGCTTGACCGGACTCTATTTTATAGTTAGACCAGAGTTTTTTTTACATTCAAGAACCTGTCCCATTGTTTGGGAATATTGCTTCATTGTTTTCAAACATGCTTGACCCTTAAAGGGATGCTTTTTCTGTGTTCTTTTTATATACAGCCAACACCAGCTCACTACTTCATCAAGTTACTCAGTGATAAGGGGAAACTGTTGAGGCATTTTACACAGGTGAGCACTTTAGAGTCGATCAGTCTCATTGAAATCTTTTGCTGGTAAGTACTGATGAGACTCGTGTGGTGATTGTGGTTGCTAATTACCTTCTCGGTCAGCTCGTCTTCTTGTGCACATCCTGATCTCTCTGGGAAATAAAAGTTAAAAGGGACTAAACCAATAGTGGGTTTTTTTTTAATTGCATCCAAAAATAGCAGGTTTTTTATTAAGAGCAGTGAAACAGAGAAATGGGTTTAAAACCACAATCACCAATATGTGATTAAGATCTGGCACTCAAAGAAGAAGAAAAATACGTTTTTTTAATATATCAGAACATTGTTCTAGCAAGTTACTAATTTGACATAAGAGTGGTTCTGGTCGCAAATTGTAGTTCAAGTTTAAGAGTAGTGGTTTTACTGGATTGTTGTGGGTTTTCACTCGGTTACTCAGGGTTATAGATCGTTTGCTGCTGTGTTGAAATTTTCAGTACAATATTATGTAAATGACTTTGTATCTTTGTATTATTTGTTAACCTGGGGATTGCATTAAATATATTACACTATGTATTAGTATGGCTTAAAGATGTATAAGCGTGCGTGTGTGATGAGAAAGAAAGTGTGTGTTTGTGTGTGTGTGTGTGTGTGTATGTTTGTGTATGTGTGTGTGTATGGGCCCACATTTCTATGTGTGTTTGGTTTCTTCATTCATATTGTGTGTGTGTGTTTGCATTATGTCATTTACATAATATTGAACTGAAATTGATATTAATAGCCATACCATTAGTTCATAAAGAAGTGTTAAAAATCTAGGGGTTCAGCTGGATTATGATATATATGTCTATATCCTCCCAAATTAGCCAGCTCAGCAAAAGTATTTACTTTCAGCTTAAGAAAATTGGCAGTGTAAGCAATTATTTAACTAGAGCAGCAGCCAAGACACTTGTAACAACACTGATTTTATCAAAGTTAGATTACTGTAATGCTATTCTGTCCAGTTTGACGGCCGAGAAACTATCAAAGTTACTGGTACTCCAAAATCAAGCAGCAAAATTGATAATGAAACAAAAGAAATCAGCGCATGTAACACCAATTCTGAAAGAACTACCCTGGCTGCCAATAAAAGAAAGGATCAAATACAAAACTGCCGTTCTCTGTTTTAAATGTATAAATGATAGTGGACCCTTTTATCTTAAAACATTCCTGGAATCATATCATCCACCTAGAGCCCTTAGATCAGCCTGTGATAATCTAATTCTTAAAACTCTAAACAAAATTACAAAACATACGGCGAAGGTTCCTTTTTCTTCTTTGGTCCCCAGGTATGGAACGAACTCCCATATAAAATAAGATCTACCCCAACAATTTCCATTTTTTAAAATCAGCTGAAGCATTTTTTATTCACAAATGCATACCTGTCAAAATGATGTACTGTTATATTTAATATATATATGCATGTGTATGCCAGATTGTGAAACTGAAGAAATAGCGTGTGAGAATGAGAGAGAGAAAGTAAAGAGAGAGAGAGAGAATGGAAATGTTTTTCTATCTGTAGAGAATGAATGTTTTAATTAATGTTTCTAGTTACTCACGTTTCAACTTTATTGTAACCGTTCGTGAATTTTTATTGCATTGTATACTTTTAGTGAACACGTTTCCAACCTCACTGCGAGACTGTTTTTCTCATATAAATTTTTACACATATATACTTATATTATATGTGTAATACTCTGTTTTACGTAAATGCATGTCGATTAATTTTTAAGATGTGATGTCTTTTTCGTTGTAATGCGCCTTGAGCATTTTTAGAAAATGGAAATGCGTAGTATAAATGCTATATATTATTATTATTATATAAGCAAATATCTTTTTTTTTTTAATAGAACAATTACGTAAAGTGTTTAGAGCTGTGTGCACACAGGAGTAGGTGCAATAAAAATTATATGTATATATATTTATATTACTATCGTAATTATTGTTATTATTATTATTATTATTATTATTATTATTATTATTATTATTATTTAGACATTATGACTTCTGAAAAAGAATTTCACCGTATTTCTTAATTCTGACTTTTTAAAGATTGTATTGCTGAATTGTTTCTGCCACTTTTAAATGAAAATCTAAAGTATGGTACTGCTGTGTAAATTAGTTACTGAACAAGGAAAATGTTTGTATGTGTAAAAATAATTCTTAGCAGTTTTGCTTTTGTGAATCATAATCTAAATTCTTAAACTTTATAACTTTGTCATGACTGAAAACAATTGTTTATTCATTCTCCAGAATATTGACACTCTGGAACGAGTAGCTGGTCTGGACGGAGACAAAATCGTGGAGGCGCACGGCACATTTTACTCCAACCATTGCCAGGAGTGTGGACTCGAGTTTTCATTGGAATGGATGAAAGGTGAGACCTCGCAACCTTTATTGATTGCTCTATATTTCACATCTTCGCTGAGAGAATTTTTGTGAAATTGATTTTTAGACTTTTTATTTTTACTGCAGTATTTGTCTCGGTTGTTGATTTATTTATTTATATTACTGATTGTAAGAAAGAAGCTGCATGAAGACAACCTTGAGACCATCTTAAGCTAAATTGACCGTCTGCATAGACGAAAAGAGCCATATATATTACTGATTATGATAACAGGGAGCTTTAAACTCCAAAGCTATTTGGCACTGTAAGGTATAGATATTGATCCAGCATAACACAAGGCAACCAATTACTGCAATGCAGTCTGCTATTGTCATGGGGTTACATCTTATGCCCTACAGTTTTTGTTCCTTGTCACTTTCTGTTATCCAGCATGTATCCTATGATGTTGGTTTAAAGAACTAGTGTGGAAGATGTCTGGCATGTTTTATATACTTGGTTTTTATCAGCGTTGTTATTGCTGTTGTTCTTCTTTTTGTTTTTGTTCTTTTCCTTCTTTAGTTTCCCTTCCTTCTCCTCCTCCTCCACCTCTGCACGGTTTTCTCATGTGGATTTGATCTTCAATGTAAGCTAATCACTCTGTACCAATAATTTTTAGACTGGGCTGTAGTCTGTGGACGTTCTGAGCGATCTTGTTACATTTTTAACTCTGGTCTATCAAGTGGGTCTTTTAATCTCTCTTTCTTCATCTTTATAGATTTTTGTAAACCTGTTACCTTCTGCCATTTTTGTTCTTTATGTGGGCAGGCAGATGGCTCAGTTGGTATCTTGCTGAAGTATAGTACGGATGACCCTGGGTCAAATCTCAGTGGGGTGTTCTTTCACTTGGGTTGTTTGGCGAGTTTTCAATACTCTTCACCCAATTTGCGTGATCTTATTGTACATGGATGAAAAGTTAAAGCCAAAGCATACTTCCTTTTTTATGTATGTTATGTTTTGCTTTCATTGAACTTCAATGCAAATTTTTTTAAACATTATCCTTCCTCTCATCCAGAACAAATTTTTGCTGACGTTATTCCCACGTGCTCTGAAGAGGGATGTCTTGGTGTGGTGAAACCAGGTAAAGTTGTCACTCTAGTGTATAATCCTTTTTTTTTTGCGTCTGAAACTTGACTTACGTGTGTGTCTTTACCCCCCCCCCCCTTTCCTTTCTTTAACTTACATGCATTTTCTTACGGAATCTGGCAATCATTCTTTTGATTTCAAATTGTTTTCAAGATTTATGTACCTTTCACGTACCTTTCATGTGTTCCTTTCGCGACTGCAAAATTGTTCTGAAACCAGTCATTGATTTTATCAAATGTAGTACAAACAGCTAGTGAAAAATTTGTACATTGCTGTAGAAACATATGCTTGTATATCAAAACATATTATGTTATAATTCATGAGTATGAGCCTTTCTCGAAAGATTGCCTTAAAATCTTTGCTTCCCAAATGTTTAAATTGTCAATTTTTTTGCATTCCGATTTTTCATAGAGAACGGACCAAAGTCCACATCCTTATGAACTATATGTCAATCATTTTTGTAAGTTTGAGTATATTGTGTTTATTTACATGTTTACTGGTTAGTGCACAATTTTATGTTGTTAAAGCCGAAGATGCAGATAACTTTAAAATCTTTCTGGAAAGTGCAGTTTCCGGTAGATTTAGAAATTTGCTTGATTCGGATTATAGTGGACAGAATAAAACGTTTTTAAAAATCTATGAACTCAAAAAATATTTCAGTCGGCAACAAAAATTTTTCCTTTTTTCCATTGTATTCTAAGTTTCTGGGTTTTTTCTATTCTTTGTCTGCAGACATTGTTTTCTTCGGAGAGACTCTTCCTAAGCGGTTTGCTGAGTGTGTTGGACAGGTAAGTAGTGGTTTGAAAATTGTAAATGATCAAGTCATTCTTGCACAGGGCATGTTTATCGTGAGATAAGATTTTGTTTCTCGTACCAAAGCAAATTCATGCATAGTCCAGCAAGTTCAATCATAGTTCAGCAAGTCCGTGCATGGTCCAGCAAGTTCATGCATAGTCCAACATCTTCAGGTAGATGTCACAAGATTTTTCGTTCAGGCTTGGAGATCAAGTAAGAAAGAAGCAGATAGGGAATAAGGAAAGGCTGTTCCATTATTGCTCAGACTTTCAGCAATTGTAAATGTTTTATGCTCCCCATCAGCATAATTTAGACCATTTAGGAGGCGGGCTGCTTTGGTCCTAGCCCTCAGGGCTAACCCAGACTGAGCAAGATACAACATTTGAGCAGACAGATGAAGATAAACAATGGTAATTAGGTTTTGTGCATTCAACATCGAAGAGCCAAACTGTTTCACCACAACAGTAATCTGTTAGTTTCCGAGTGTCCGTCTGTTGTGCCACCATAATGTGGTGGGGTTTTTTTTTGGGGGGGGGGGGGATTTGTTCAGTGTCAAAAAAATAGAAAACTGGAAAATTATTTGGAAATGAATAACGGTGATGATGATGATGGCGAAATGTTGAGAAAAATGTATAGGAATAATCTTGATGTTTGTTTCTCCATTTGGTGCCTACACTAGATCCTCTCAGGCTATTCTAAGGAGTAGAATGTACCCTCACTCCCTACTCCTCTCATAGAATGACTAATATTTGGAAATAGGTCATCATCAGAGCCCATAACATTTAACAGAGGCATGCTGAACCATTGAATGATTCTGGTTTCTCATCATACTCAAACAGCGTCAATGATGTTATTGATGAGGCTCTTTATTTTGCTTACAAAAAGATGTGAGTTTGATTTGCAAGTGTGCCATTGCAGCATTTTGGAGGGCTTCTACGATGTAATGGTTAGATTCTTCACCACTGCATGCAGAAGACATAAGTTTGGTACCTGAATACTTTAAGAAAGCTGTTTAATCAAGTATCTCCATCTTGTTGCTGGGATGTTATATTCCATTCAGTCTGGTTTGGTCCTGACAGGAATTGGGGTAAAAACAACCCGACTCGTAAATGATCTAAATTGTGTCCTTGGGGGTGTAAAACTTCTACAATTACAACTCTCTGTTTTCTTGGAGGGGGGAGGGTGATAGTGTAGAGAGGATAGAAGGTTGCATTAATGTATGAATTGTTTCCGCGTGCTGAAAACCTGCTGAATATTATAAAGGATTTGAATTGGATAAAAACGTTTAAAGTATTCTTACTAAACCTAAAGTATTGTAAAAGGTCTGAATTGAAAAAAGAAAGAAAAATGCAGCATCAGCAAGACATCATAGGTAGGTTTGAATTAGAATAAAAACTTGCTGAGTATATAGATAACGTCTGTTTGAATTAAAGTAACCCTACAAATTATTAATGATGGGTTTTAATTTTTTTAGAAACCTGTTATGTATTATTGATAGGTTTGAATTGAATTGGAGGAAACCTCCCAAGTATTATACTAGGTGACCAGAAAAAAAGTTTTCCAAAAGAACACCAATAAAATCGCTATTAATAAAGGTACAAACGCCAAATTTTGCAGAATAGTGGAACATTCATCCAGATTTATTGTGTGTAAATGACAGTAGAATATGACAGCCACAAACAAAGTTACAAGATATCTTCCAGATACACCAAATTTCGAGTAAAGTACATTCTGAAGAGCTAATTGAAATTGACAATTACCCATTGACGCTGCTTGAGGGAGATCTCTCTTGTGCCCTCCGTGATGGTTTTCTCAAGTCTTTTGATACTTTCCAAGGTTTTCCCACTCATTTTGTCCTTCAAACACCCTCAATTGTGAAAGTCCAGTAGACTCAGGTCCAGATCGTTTGTTGATGTCCAGTTGTGCTCAGTTGGTGTGACTGTCCTGTAACCAAAATGGTTGTTGACTCAGCCTGGAACAGCTCTGGCGTCATGAGGAACAGCCCTGTCTTGGTTGAAAAACTGGTTCTTTCTCCCTTCATTATCAACAAATTATAGTTCCAAGCTCCCCCAGAACTTTCATAAGATGACGAGGTATTGATTAGTGTTCACCGAATCACGGACCACTGTAACCTCTTCAAGATTGTGTTGTTTTTACAGGCTGCCTTCTGTGTGTTACTCGGGGTGTAGAATTCAACTTCTTATTTTCTAAGGACCAAAACCTTTCACAATTTGCAGTCCATTACAAAATGGGCCTTTCACTTGGAAAATTATTTTTCTTATTGATATCTATCCAATGCAGAGGTCTATTTGGGAGATTTTGCTTACTGATACATCTTAACTGAAAAAGCACGTTGTTCAGGGATGGATTGCTTTATCATCTTTCCATTGTGCAACAACAATTCATATTTTTGAAAAAAACATAATCCAGATAAATGTTCTAACTTTCGGTCAATTTTTATGTCAATTCTGTTAAAAACAAGAAAGTTATTAACACTTCTTTGAATGAACTTTCTTTCTGGTCAGCCAGTAGATAGGTTTGAATTTGAATACCTGTGGAGTATTATGGAATGGTGTGAACTGGAAATCCTGTAGAATATTGTAGATAGATTTGAAATGGAAAAAAGCTATTAAATATTATAGGTAAGTTTGAATTGGAAAAAAAGAATGTGTTTTTGTCCAACTCAGAAATAAGTTCACTTGGGAAAAAACCTGCTGGACAATAGAGATAGGTTTGAATGAAATCTCAATTATTCATTTCTTTTTTTAACCCAACCACGTTTCAGGATTTTAATAAATGTGACCTGCTGGTGATCATGGGTACCTCACTACAAGTCCAGCCATTTGCCTCACTGGTCAACAGGTAATCAGGCTGGAGTGGGTCATTCACCTCCTGAAGGCTGTGAAAAGCTCTACAAGATCCTCTCTACAAGAGGGTCAAAGGTTACAGATAGGGGAGGAGGATAGGAGTCTTTTGATTCGGGGGAGGGGTGTTGACGAAATGTAGACTAAGTTTATATTCATAAGAGAAAAAAGGTCTTTTGATGGGGTTGATGGTGGTAGGAGTGAAGGTTAAAACTAGCGAACTGACCAGTTACCTCTACCCTTCATGCGAGGGAAGGGGGGGGGGGAGTCAAAGGTTTCGAATGTGGTCTAAATATATTTAAAGGAATAAAGGGGGGGGGGGGGGTGATCACAGTGATAAGAGTAAAGGGGTTAGACAGACCCTCTATCTCAACACTAACTAACTGATCCTTTGTACTTGGCAGGGTTTGTAAATATAGACTACACATGGCAAAAGGAATTTTGGATAGGGTTTGGTTGTAGGAGTGAAGGTTGGACTGAGCTTCTATCTCAACCACAGTAGATCTACCTGTAGAATGGATCTTGGGGGGTTTACTTCAGGCCCTGTCAGTGATTGAACCATTCTATTTAACTCTTCTGTAGTTTGGTTGCTTTTTTTTGGCCCCAGAATGTGTTGAACCTGATTTTCTTATGACCCATCCATTGTTTGAACCAACCCCTGGTTGTATATGGAGCATACCAAAAGTTTTTTACCTGACCATTAAGGAATAAAGGTAGAAAGCTGAAATTTGGTGTGAAAGCCAACAATCATCTTCCTAGAATGCTTGTAAATTTTGGGGAATTTCAGAATTACTGGTTTTACCACCAGCGCACTGTAATTAGTGAATGGGGGTATGTTGTTAACCAGTTTCAACATAAAAATGGAGAAAATTGAGCGCAAGGCAGTAATTAAGTATTTGTTCTTGCAAGGCAAGCAACTACAGGATATTTTTATGGAGATGCATGCCGTAATATGGAACTGATTGCCCATCCTATGCTGTGATTAAATTTTGGTGTAAAAAAAGTGATGATGAGGTCAAAGAAGCGGTTGAGGGCTGGTTTTCTGACTGAGAGAGGGTCCTCTATTCTCAAGGTCTTTCCAAGGTCATACACAGATGGCAAACATGTATAACTCTGGGAGGCAACTACTTAAAGAAAGACTAAGTTTATTACCAAATTTCAGTTTTCCACCTTTGATTCCTTCATGGTCGTTGTTATCAAATCCAGGCCTTTGTGGTCAGGTAAAAAAAACTTTTGGTATGCCCCTCGTATAGAGTGACCCAGCCTGTGAACTAACTAGATTTTTCTCTGTCTTTTCCGTTGTTGGAATCGTCCTTTGCATGTGTATAGATTTCCCCAGCCTGTGATCAACTAGATTTTCTTTGTCTTCTTTGTTGTTTGAACCTTCCCCTGGTTGTCTATAGGTTACCCCAGACTGCGAATGAACAAGAGTTTCGTGGACCACTTTGTTGTTGGAACCTTCACCAATTTGTGGATTATCTATTCTATGCATCTTCGTGAATAAGGATAACCCCAGCCTGTGAATGTACTATTTTCCGCCACTCCACAATAGAGGGAACCTCTACTAACAGGGAAAATTGTTTTATGTAACTTCTGCAGATAGGACCTCCTCTTCTCCCCCTCCCCCACCTTCTTTTTTTTTTTTTAAGTTTTAACCTCCACCACTCACCCTTATCTACTCGTCCTCAGGGCTGTGCTTACAAACGCATAAATGCAATTGTCATACACTTCCTGTAGCCTACGTTTTGTAATCTGTGTTGATCTCCAGGATTTGGATGAGTGCGATCTGCTTATAGTCATGGGTACATCTCTGGCAGTACAGCCTTTTGCCAGTCTTGCCAGCCGGTAACAACTGTGCCTAAAACATTGACTGCTTCTTGTGTTTATGTGACCACTTTCTAAATCACAAACTCAAGTAAATGATTTGTGAAGGAGGGTGTTATGCACTGTCTCACTTTGTAAATAACAGTCTGCACTTCATGAATTTGTTTTTAAATATGCTAAGAACAACTAAATCACAAAGTTACATCAGTTGAGTATTGATCGTGGGAACAAATATTTGATGTTCAGTGTTGACATGTGTGAATAGGAGTCCTTTTTTTTAAAAAATCACTTTTGCTCTCTAACAATACGTTGTTAAGTTTGTGATTGATTTTTTGAAGAGACCTCACCCTTAGTTTATTGCGTGTAAAAATGATCATGTTTATTTTACACATGGAGCACAAGAGTGGAGATAACTGCTTGGTTGATGGGCAATCTAACACTTATTCTGTTTGTAAATACCTTGACAAGATATAGTAATATAATAATAGTGATGTGAATTTGTGGAGTGCCTTATCCCTAGAATGCTTAGTGCTGTACAGAGCTGAATTATTATTCAGTACCACTGACAAATCAAAAGACAGAATTATATTAACAGTCTATTGCAAGAGCAGGACAGAAACATGATCGCAAAGCACATACAGCATGCTATGGAGCATGGATATACACTGTATTAATGCAGTTGTTATTATTATCATTATAAGTTAGTTTATTTTATGGTCTCTTCTATTAAATGATCCAGTTTTATTTAATAATAAAAGGAAAATATTGATTGACAGAAAAATTGGCAGGTGGAGAGACAGATAATGCTGACGTGCTCAGTCTGTATTTTATATTTGTTTGACCATCTAATGTTTCTTTTTCAAAGCAACATGAATACATTGCATTCCTTCATTTAAAGAACTGGATTTGATCAACAAATGAGTAATATAAAATCATAAAACGCTGTAAAGAAAAAGAACAAAATTTGATTCCGACAATGTTTGGTGAATAGAATGATGACTGGCGGTCTTTCAAAGCAAAAAGGCAAGAACTAGTTTCATGTTGAGATGAGACCCTTGACAGTATTTGTTCTTACTTTTTGAGACCATGAGATGTTGGTAAAAAATGTCTTATGATAGCATTAAAAACATGTGTGTGAGTTTTACTTTGTGCTTTGAGATTCAAACAGAGAACTTTTCTACATATATTTCTGGGATGTAGTATGTATTTAGTGTGGTTTTATTATGATATGTGGCTCCGATAATAATATTTTTCACTTTTAGAGGTTTCAACATTTGTTTTTCTGGTTCAGTGAAAAAAAAAATGTAATTATCAAATATTAGAATTTTAATGAATACTCAAAGTCTACAGATATGCCTCAGCTTTTTCTTTTATACTCAGCCTAAGTGATATGATTTTGAACTGTCTAGTTTTTGGTTATTCATAATTCTGAGCTTCAAGCTGCTTTTGCATATGCCAGTAACATCATCATTGTCCATTCTCCAATGCTGTAAAACTGAAATCAGTAATAAATTATTGAACATTCTCTCAACATAATATATTACTGGTTGTGAATTTTTCATCAGTAGTAGCTGATTATGTTTTCACTTTTATGTTTCTTATACTTCGAAACGGAGACTGGGTATGAGCTGCTGTTCTCTTTGCTAGTTCTCTTTGTTAAGGGGAGGAGCGACCCTTGATTTTGCAGATTTTGGGTCAGGCTATGCACATTTTATGTTGGGTGATTTTTGAAGATCCACCAGTTTTTGTCTAAAAATAGCATGGATTCAATTGAGAAAGACTTTATTCTACAGGTAATTTGCCTTTAAAAAACATGAGGATGGATTAATATAGTGAATTTTCACAATTATTGTAGGTTTTCAAAAAATGTAATTTTTGAGCAGTTTTTTCCCTACTCCTTCCTTAGTTTTCATCCTTTTGACATGAAACTTTCAGGAAACATAGTTGGCAAGGCTGCCATCAATGTAACAGAAAGATATTTGCGAAAAAAGTAACACTTTTCCTTTGGCAAGCGATTATGCAACCTAAATTTAGAAAAAGTTTTTTTATACTTTGGGAAAATTCTCATAATTTTTTTCTTTTGCACGTATTGAAAAAAAACTTGCTGTTACTCTGATAGGGTTTGGTTCAGGTATACTCTCACCAAATTTGGTCAAATTTGGTCTGTAAATAAGAAAGCGTTAGGGATTTTAAATTCATTGTTTATTTTCAAGATGGCGGCCGTTTCAATAGCAACCGTTGTAGCTATGCCAAAATAAAATTGCGTATCCAGAGATTTTACTATGTTTAACTTATATGTGTACTTAGATTTGATCTCGGGCAACAAACATAGAAAATGGTCCTTTAGGGTAGCTCCTCCCGTTAAGGTGAACTGATATTAGTGGATAGGTAGAGAGCTGTGAGATTTGCTTGACGTGAAATTAGTTGTATTGGTAAGCTGGGTTTTCAAAGTGAGGATTATGGCTCCTTGCTAGGTGTCTTGGTTCTGCAGGTTAACTCACTCACTCTCAGTTGTTGACTAAATTGCATCACAGATGCTAGTTCTTAGTATATGGATGAGTTGATAAACAAGAGGACTTTGTATGAAAAAAAGTATTATTTTGAAAGGTTCGGAGGTTGTTTTTTAAAAATTATTTTAAAAGTAATCCTGTGTCAAGATTTTTAGAAAGATTAATAACCCTCTTGTTAAGACAGTTCTGATCACTGTGTTTTTGTTATTATTTTCATCTAAAACGTTTTTACTCTATTCTTTTTTTTTTTTTAGAGTTCCATTCAGCACACCTCGACTGTACATTAACCTGGAGAAAGGGTCGTCCAGTGTAAGTGTGAGATGGAATATTTTGTGTCTTGTTTGTCTATTTCATTCATTCGACAATGATCATCATCAGATATTGTCTGCATTGTGTAATACTACGCTATATTGAAAAATGGAGTTTTACAAGGAGCAGTTGATATGTGTATTGCATTGCCTTTTTTCATAAAGACTGAAAGTCATTTTCGGAAATTGTATGCTGCGGGGGAGTTTTAACGTTAATTTTTTAAATCTTCATAGTTTGTAGAAACATCCAAGTTAGTTATTTAAAAGTTGAAGATTTTGTGTTTAAGCTTTTGATTTTTGGTTTGTTCAGCTTATTCATTTGAGAAATACATGGTTGCCCGGTGTCAGGTAAAATTATCGAGAAAATAGCTGCCAAAGTTTAGTGACTTCCAAAACTTGAGAGCTCTTTAATACTGCAAATTTACATTTTTTGTGCCTTTGATCAACCTTTTTTCAGGTAAAATCCACGTAGAAATTTGTTTTTAAATGGGCATAAAAGGTTTTTGAGCCAAAAAAGTAATCAATAAAAATTGCCCAACAGGCTGAAAATGTTGGTTTCTTTGATGTCATTATCCTAGCGAGCGCTTTATTCCACCATGCTGGGAGATATATATTTATACATGATATATTTTTCTTCTAATAAAAGAACATGTTTTTAGCTTCAGGTGTCATATTTCAGAATTTAACCTAAAGTTAAGATTAAATATACTCAGTGTTTAGCTGTGTGTTCTTTCTGAGAGACGAGTTTGCTTTATGTGAAGAAATCTGTCAGCTTTGAACCAGTTCTTCACTGGCATGCTTTCATGGACGTAGTGAGAATTGCTCAATCTCTACGTTTAATTTGTAATTATGTTGTTTGTTATATTATTTTTCAGAATTTATTTTTTTGAGTTTTATTGTTTTTTGCTTCTCATCTTCCAATGTCTTCAGTGTAACCCTATTTCTGCGCTGCTGTTTGGTGGTGGCTTCCAGTTTGATTCAGAGGATAATTACAGGTGAGATTACGTCCCTGAACAGTAAATACTGTAGTCAGAGGTTGATAAAGTGCTCTGTCCAGTGTGGTTTGATTTTTTAAGCTCATTTTGTTTGTTCTCATTACTGTTGGATTGTCTGATGTCTTTTTATTTTTGCAACCATTTGATTTTTAATCTTAAATACTGTCAAAACTGTCCAAGACGGCCACCCATTGTCAAGGAACAAAGTGGCTGTTTTAGTCAGGTGAATATCTTGAACGGTGTCATTATAATTATAGTTTAGAAAAATATATGGAGGAAATAGGAGGTGGTCGTTTGTAAAAGGTGATTGTCTTGGGCAGGTGGCAGTTGCGCAAGTTCAACTGTACTTTTAGTCTTTTGAGGAATCTGTGAGACACAGCGTAATTGACGATGAAGTAGTGGATGTAAGGTGCTGATCCTCCGTTTTCATCTGTTTCCCCGCAGAGATGTGTTCAAGGAGGCAACGTGTGATGCAGGCTGCCAGGAACTGGCTGATCTCCTGGGCTGGGGTGTAAGTAAAAGAAAAAAAAGAAACTATTTCTCTTCTCCTATCTGTTAATATTGAAGCAGATATATGTATCTTGGCATCCCTTGCACTCTTGTGCTTTCCAAAACTTTCTCAGCCTCACCTTATTAGTGCAGGTGGTTGGAAGGTGCCACTGGTAGGTCTGACTTCTTTACTTTCCCTCTGTTTTTTTCTGTCTGTCTGTCTTACTTTTTTTCCCAGCACGAAATGGCCTTTATTGAGTTGATGTGCTTCTCTTTACTCAAACACCTGACCAGTTTCTAGATAATAACCCCTCATGATGAGGGATTCTGATATGATGTGGTAAGGGTTCAATACTCCTTTTGAACAAATTTTTTAGAGGGGAAGCCTCTGGATTTACTGTCCATCTGTGGTGAAGCTAGTCTTAAGTTCTTGGAAAGCCATGGAAACTATTTCAGGCCCTTTCTGCGTGTAATTTCTGTTATCATCACATCATCATTGTCGTCAATGCCTTTCTCACCCTGGATCAGCGTATAGGCCACGAACAAACACTTTCTCCTTTCCTTATCCTGGGCTTGCCTTTTGATATTATTCCATGTTTTCCCACTTTTCTGTACATCATTCTCTGTACCTCTCCTCCCCATTATTTCTTACCTTGTGGATTTCAATCCAACACTTTGTTTGTTATGCAGCTGCCTGACTTCCTGAGAGTATGTCCAATCCTTCACCATTGCCCTTTTCCCACTTCGTCTCTGACTGGGCTTTGTCTTGTTTTCCTTAACACTTCGTCTTTGGTGATCTTGTCCGACCATCTGATTCATTTCAGTTACATGTTTAGATTTGAGGCTTCCATTTTTTCTAGAAATCTGGCTCTGGTTTCTTGAAATTTTATATTAACAAGCACTTTTAGAAATTAAATTACAAACTTTTTGTTTTGTATGGGCGAAAACATAGAGAACACCGATTTCGGAAACTGACTCGGTAAGCGCCGATAGGTATAACAATTCCCTTAAGACTTCCTACTTGCCCCACATAGAGCTGGCAGACTGCAGGCGGCTTTAAGCTCGGATCGGCGTTGTCGGCTTTATCAGAATCCAAACTCCATTCTTATTACGCCGAAAGGCTGGGAAGGGCAACTCGCAATCTCAGTGATTTCTTGTGGTGTCTCCATTTTTTAACAGTGAAAATGTGACTTCTTCTTAAGCTCACTCTTTGTTGTGAACTGTTTTCTCTGTTCTTATAATGGAGATGCGACAAGAAAGCACTGAGGTCACGAACTCTCAATGCCGTCTCGCCGTCGCAAACTCGGGTTGAGCGGTTTGCGTGACGTCACCCATCTGGACTGGGGACAATTTTAAATGGTCATTTCAGAGCGGGTGCTTCACCGTAGACAAAAACTAATTACAATTTTTAAATTAGCGTCGTCAAATTGGGTGGTTACTGAGCAGAATTACATTTTAAACAATATTTTAGGAATTTCGAGGTTTTTTATAACCCCAAATAAAAGCTTCATAAATACCAGCTGTGTTGTGGCGTAGTTTTTTTCTTATATCTAGGTCTAGGCCTTAGTCGCCCGGTATGTGGAGTCAAGCAGACGTCTACTGGCGCCTGTCTGCGTCGATCTTCAGCCGCTTAAGTTTCGGCGTTCTCTATGTTATCGCCTTTAGACAGGATAAACTAAAAGCTCTTATGGCCTCGGAAAACAATTTTTGGTGTAGCTCCTTTTTTTCTTCCCCTCTGTTGTTTGTTGCTGTCTGTCTTTTCTTTCCCTGTACACTGACTGACGATTATTGTGTCGATGTGCTTCTCTGTGTGCAACCAAACTCGATTGGCTAAACTATATTTTTTGGAAAGATTTAACCATCTTTTGCACCATTTGATTATGTCCCCCTTCCTTAAGATTCGAGGCTGGTGGTTGGCAGATGCTCCGATGTGGTTTGCTCCTTCTTTTATCAAATAACTATCATCTTTATCTCTTCTCCTTCTTTTCTGTGTTGGATACTCTTTTGTAGCACCTCTGATCGTCAGTACTGATATGACCTAATTGTGTTGCAAGTGCCGTAAAATTCGTACTAAAACAAAAAAAAAAAGATTCAAGAACACAGCTCATTATTTCTTGTTTTATTATAACAGGATGAACTGAAAACTCTTGTGGCCTCAGAACACAAACGCATCGATGCAGCACAGGCGAAACAACCACCAGCTAATACCTCACAGAAAAAAAGCAAAACCTCATAATCTTCTCAAGGACGGGAGGGGACTGTGAGTAGTTTCGCTAGTTGTCGTAATGGCTGGTGAGAGTGAACACCTTTTCTCTTTTTTTTTTGCTTACTACGAGGTTTTTTTGTATACTCTTTTGTCAGGGCAAAAACTGGAACTAGCCTCGTGTACAGTAAACAACCATGTTCAGAGAACTGATCTGTGACAGTGAAATTGTTATTTTAGCTTTGTGTCACATGTTCATATATAAGAAGGTGCATGATTTGACTCTGAACAGTATTTTGTTGTCTGTGAATATTGTAAATGAGATGATTTTCACATGTGATAAGTGTCTGGAAAAGGAAATGTAAAACTTGTCGTTGTTGCCTGCCTCTCTCTCTCTCTCTCTCTCTCTCTCTCTCTCTCTCTCTCTCTCTCTCTCTCTCTCTCTCTCTCTCTCTCTCTCTCTCTCTCTCTCTCTCTCTCTCTCTCCCTCCCTCCCTCCCTCCCTCCCTCCCTCCCTCCCTGCCCTCCCTCCTCTCTCTCTCTCTTTCTCTCTCTCTCTCTCTCTCTCTCTCTCTCTCTCTCTCTCTCTCTCTGTGTGTGTGTGTGCGAATTTATTGTCACTTACCAAAGGATACTCTTAAGTAGAATTTTTGTTTCTCTCTTCAGATTTTGATGCAACAATGGTGATCACCTGCCTCAATGTCCGGATTTTTAAAAAATTGCTTACACGTCTCGACTTCTTTTGGAGCTTTGACAGATTTTCTTTTTCTTGCATAATTACGAAGTGCAGGCATTTTACAGATTATTATGAATGATACTTGCATAGAAAGTATTGGATGTAGGATATGCAGTCAGGTGCATTTTGACTTGATGTTGGTGAAGAAAAAAATTAAGGGCCCTGTGTTTGGGGACCAATGATGGTGTGTTGTAATGCTATTTTGTAATTGTAGAGTGGGGTTAAAAAGTTGCCTTTTTTTTTTAGCTAATGCACGAATTGCTCCCACTTGGCTCGGTTCTTTCAGATGTGAACATTAACACTTACAGTATCGAAGGTTCATATAGTGAAAACCCTCAAGTGCCACACCAGTCTGGAATGCTGAAGCCATGATAGAATTTTTTCAAATTATACTCCTTCACAGCCCAAGAAACACACTTAAAAAATTTACAGATTTTCACCAACCATTCAGCTATCAAATAGAATGACTTTATTTAGTTTTTACTTCGGTACCGTGGTTCTGTTCATTGTTTAAATATGTTCAGTGTGCCTGGTAGAGTTGGCAACTAAAGTCGCCAGCGGTACTAAAGGTGTTGAACAAAAGCTCCTGTCTCTTAAATAGCCTATAAGTATTGAAAGAAATATAATTGGTTCATATGGCTGGAGTAATCCTACAAGGGACGCTGATCTAATGTTATGTTTTAGGCGTGGTACACACAAAAAATTCAAACTATTTTTATTCTCTATGATGAGCATGTCTATCTCAGAAAGCAATAGTGAAGAACCATGTATTCTTTTGAATCTTGGCATTATCTGTTGAACATCCTGACAGTCCCCTGAGGAAAATAATCTTTAAAGCACTTTTGAGAGAAGTTTCTATCTAGAAACGGACTAATCACTAAATAAAACACTGTACCTTTTCATCGTAGAAGCTATTTTACTCAATGACAATGTATTTTATGTCTACCAACTTGCCTACAAGATCTAGAGAAATTGTGGACCTATATCATTCACCTAGAAAAGTCATGATAATGATGTTTATGTTTTGATATAGGTTGTAGAAGCTATTCTTCTAGGTAGTATTGCATTGTATCATCCGTTAAGTTGAATGTACAGGACATTGCTTTAGAGTATACTCTGATTAAATGATTTGCAGACGTGATGATGCCTTTTATTTTTCCCCTCAACATATGTTTGATGGAAGGCTGTGAGAAATCATGATGATTTTTTTTATCATAGCTGTATTGCTGGGTTCTTTTCTGTGTCCACTTGACATCATTTTAACTCTGTCCGTACACCCTGGGGTCATTTTGTACCCACGGGGTTGCATTCTTCACCTTCTAGAATACTTCTAGTACGAAGATCTCTTTGAAACTTTCAGCATTTAAAAAAAAATCATTTTGATAGACTGCTATGCAAAGCGTATGGATCGGATTAACAAGTAAATTTCCTAATTTCCTCTTTGGAAGTGGTGGCTCAAAGTTCCCCACTCGTATGGATACGATAATAAAACATGACGTACAGATAGGGTTAAGCAAAGTCCTTTACTTCTCTTTTTGAGATAGTCCTTTACTCCTCTTTTTGGGGATACAAAACAAAAAGTCCATTATTGATATCTGTTAAAAAAACCCATTAAAATTGCTTAATATGATACTTTTTGTATCTTGTAAACAAAGAGTAGGAGGTGCGTTCTAAAACTCTGTTTGAGCAACGGAGCTAAACGTCTTGTCTGCATCAATGACAAAATCAATAATAATGGGTGAAAATAACAGAGGACTCTTTTTTTAAGGGAATGGCATGTTTTTCTTATACTCTTTCATTTATCATGTTTAAAGGAAAATATGCGATGTTGGATAAAGATGAAGATTATGCAAGATTCGTACTTGAACGAAGAGCCGTCTTCATTATATCATTTCACCATGTTTATGTAGCACTGCTGTTGAAAGCTACTTATCATAACTGTCCCCGTCGTTTTATGCAAGGAAAATTCTGAAATTATGCAAACTGAGCCCAAAAATGTGACATTATATATAATGCGATTCTGTTAATTTTAACAGAAATGATAAAGGAAAATAATCAGAAATTATGCAAAAAATGATCAAATTTTGCAACATTATGCGGGGTGCATAAAACCACAGGGACATTCATAATACTTGAAACCATAACAGATTGTTTTTGGTTTCTTGGGTTTTTTTTGTTTCTTTGTATCAGATTTATTTTCTGAAAAGTGAAGTGACAATTAAAAATCATTCAGCTCTGTTGATTTTTATTTACATCACCTCTTTTATATTTGCACCTGAAGTTGAGATCATAAGGCTGTGAAATTTAGTAAACTTCATAGTTTTCTATTTGCGGTAGTGAGGTCTGAAGTTAATATTTAATTGTGGGGATGACTTTTGTCTGATGCCTTTTGACAGTTTTCTGCTGTCTGGTAAAAGGTATTATATATACCTTGTTCTGACTGTTTATGAACTGTGCCTTCTATTATAATTCCTGAGAGTTTGAGAGCAGAAAACTAACAGCCAGCGCCCCCCCCCCAAGCCTAATAAAAATCAGATCTTTAGCAGTTGCACATTTTTCCAGATTAAAACTATGTTATGTTGACAACACATTTTCATTTATTTATTATTTTTCTGGCTTATCTGTGATCCAAGTGTACATAGTGTTTATCTCACTAAGTTCATTTTCTTTTATGCATTGTCTTCTTGACCAGGGGTATGCTTTCTTTTTGTCTTTGCTTGTGGTTCATGCATTTGTGAGTGTTGTAGTGATCAGGATGAATATAAAAGAAAAAATGTGACAATTTTCTCGAAACATCATAGTTTTAGTTACTGGTATCTTATGGTGTAATGATGAGGCTTTTCCCTATTTTTTATTGCTGAGGACGTGAGATCGATTCCAGGGAGAGGAAGTCTTTTTTATTGAGTATAGCCATCTTCTCTGGTGCTGCAGGCAAACTTGAGAAGCAGCCTGCTTTCTAAAGTAAAGTAAAGTTGTTCCCGCATCCGATCCGGACATTGGGAATTGCCTTGTTATTTATTGTTAGTGAGACTACTTCCTGGCCTTCGGCTATTGTGGTAGGGTGGCTAGTTCCTTTCCACGCCACCTTTACTTCCCCGACTCAAAGTCAGGTACCCATTATTACTGCTGGGTGGGCAGGAGGGGGCGAAAAAAAGGCGTGTCTGAACCGAGGCTCGAACCTGGACTTTCCGCTTCTGAGATGAGCGCACTAACCGCTCCGTCTGCCACCACACCCGCCTACCTGCCTACTACACAAGCTTAATTGTGTTGATGAGGGCATGAAACATTTACAATCATAGACTTTGGTAAGATTTGCTGATCCAAATCCTTTTTCATCATAGACTTTGGTAAGATTTGCCAGTCTAAACCCCTTCTCAGATCGGATCAGGTCTGCTTGCTATTAAAAAAATTTTCCATAGTCTAGGGGTTCACAGCTTAGTATAAGTAATTATTGTGTTCAGAAATTTCTGACACTCTTGTCTCAAATATGAAAACCATGATTGCCAATGTCTGTTTCAGAGCCAGCACCTAAAGAAAATGAAGACTGAGGACAGATGCTTTTACACACACACAAACGTAAGGGATGTGGATGTAAGAATCATTTTTTCTCTTGGAGTATTTTCTCAACCTGCTGCCCAGACGAAAAGCCTCATCTTAGAACCCAAGCATGGTCTTCAAAATCACCTTAAATGAGATTTTAAATGATTAAACAAAAATGGAGAAAAACAACAAACATGTTGAAGGATCCCTATAAACTATGCATAGTCAAATGGCCTTGGCTGTTCTTTCTGAGCTATTCTGATGGTACACTTGCATAAATTGAAAGAATGATATGTATAATATATATATATATATATATATATATATATAGGTAAAATTAACCCTTCCAGCCACAGTGTTACAGAAAAAGAGGCATGCATTCTAAAAAGTGATACAGTATCTTTATAATTGGGTTTAGATGATAGCCTACAATGTTGAAAGGTAAATGAACAAATATTATGAATATTAAAGTTTAAGGGACCAAAGATTAATTAGGTTCACTAATTTCGAAAAATGCACAAATTCGGTACCCCGAGAATATACGCTGTTGGGACGGTGGGAGGTACAAGCGCTGCTGATTACTTGATTACTTGATCCTGGGAACAACATCATTGCACACTGAAAATATATACGCATGGGGCTGGATCTTTTCCCCCCGCCCCCTCCCCATTTAGCCTATTTGATGCCCACTGTTTGAAGTATCATACTGTATGGTATAGCTGCAGCCTCACTGCTCAACGAGACCGTGATAATGATATTGGATAGTATGCGCTAGTTTTAGTAGTGTGAAATGGTGTGGGGGCTATACATTACTTTTACCATGATGTCGAGTCATTTACTTCATGTCATGGTGTGTTGATTGAATCTGGACCTGAATGTTTTCTATGTGCCTTGCCAAATTCCTCTTATAATTTGAATAAAGCGTTTGAATTCATTGTGTACTGTTTCTATAAATATTACAATGGCATTGTAAAAATTGTGTGTTATTTGTTTCTTGTCTTCAATATAATAGCAGAGTTTTGTTCCGTGTGGAATACTATACGATAAATCAATAAATCCAATTGTTGAGACATTTTCACTTTTGCTCAAGTCATGTGTCGATAATAATACAAGCCAAGCGCTATTTTTTAAAGTTTTCTCAAAACAGCCAAAAAATAGCGTCTGCAATTGTGTTATGACGAAGATGATGTGAGATTAGATACTGAATTACTAAATCAAATAAAAAGATGTTGATATTTTCTACAGTGTTTCTGTCCTGAAAAGTTTTAACAGCACTTAATAATGTGACCAGCCACAGCATTTAGATGAGAAATCATCTTTTTGGAGGAATAACTATTCATTGTTGGGTTAAAAGTTAAAGTGACAATGATGAAATAAAATGGATTCTAGTTTGGCTTCTCGATCAATTAGTTTTATTCTTTTCTTCATGTGTGGTGGTTGTTTGTGTGTATGACAGTGCCTTGAGCACTGGCAATGCCATCTAGGTGCTAGGTGTAGCGATTAGGCTGTTTGCCGACTCATGGAGAAAACATGAGTTTAATTCCAGTGTGGGCAGCTGTTTTAATCGAGTATCTTCATCTGTCTACTGGGACGTTGTATTCCTCTCAGCCTATGTTGGCCCTGACAGGCAGAGTTGAGTTGAAGTGCCTCCTCAGTGATTTAAATTGTGCCAATGAGAACTTAAAATATTACAACAAACTACAATTATAGAGCTTGGAGCATGGAGCAGTAACTTTTGGGGAATTGTTTCAAAATGCTTGAGGGTATATTTTTCATTCTCTTGGAGACAAACTTGACTATGAAATATTGGGCGACATGGATTTAAGTCCCCTTGAGGTCATCTTTGGATCTTGGCTGCTTGAAAAGTTTTTATTGCATGCCACTTTGATCTCTAGAGATAGACAATAATTCAGAAATCTTATCTGCCCGTTGAATGTGGCATAAAAAGGCATCTTGGTATCGAATTTATATAGACACTTATTCATTTCATCATCATCTGTTTCTATATTGTCTTCCTCCTCCTACTTCTCCTCCTCCTCTGAAAAATGAGATTTCTTTATTTGATCACAGTCAAATAAACATTTTAAACACTTTTTCATCTTTGACTTGAACAGTTCAATCACTTTTTTCTATGTTTTTAAAGGTAGGCCTAAATGTCATGTAGTATTTTTTCCTGCTTTATGGGCAAAGGGGGCATTCTAGTCCAGTGGTTAAAACACCCTATCCACATTTGTAGTCGAAGGGTTATCTCACCTGCACATCCAGGTACTGTTTGGGAAGAAGTAAGATGTATATTATATGGAACCTCACCTTTTGCTTTTCTTTGGAAATGAACTTTCAAAGACAGGACTACAATATGATACAATTACATCATACAAAATATGATTTGACAAAGTTCAAGCCATTTCCATCTTTTTCTTGTACTTTATTTAATCAAAAAAGGATTATATGACATATATGACAAATGTTTTAGCTGATATTGCAAACAAAATGTAAATTTCTTCTTTAAATAGTAATGGTGAGTACCTTATAAAGAAACGAATATCACTGTAAACAGTGGAAATAAAACAAATTATAAGCTCTGCCATCAGCGAAAAAGGGAACATCAGACATGTGGAAAGCAAAACCCATCTGAGCACACTGCAAAAGAGCTGCAAGTTTTCAAAAGTTTGACAAGGGTTCGGCTGGAAGTATGTGTGGTTGAGATGGTAAATTATATAAATAGAAAGGTGTGACTTGAGCTTGTATGAAATGACAGTCCCCTTTATTTGTGTGGGAACATGTATAAATAGCACAACATTGACAGCAGGATAACTCATCAGAAATTGAAATCTCACTGCTCCTATCTTCTCAGCACTTCGAGATCTATGGCACAACGACTAAGAACCCTTTAGAAAGGATAGAAACATTTGTCATAAGTTCAACGGCATGTTTTTTAAGAAGGGTGTTTGGAATTTAGAAGAAAGTAAAGTTCAGATAAAAGTATAAATCTTTAAGTTACAAAGGTATTGCCAGAATTTGTAGTAAGGCCATGGAAAATATAAATAATTACCGTGAATAATATTTATTCTCTAGGCATTGAAATTTTTACTTCAAATTTGAAAAGCATTTTGAACAGCTGATGCACTGAAAATCTTTCGCATAAAATGAGACTAACTTGTTAGCAGTTAATTTCAATATACTTAGAAGCTTCCCAGTTAATGTCACCTTTCAGCAATTTCCCTTTTTCTGCTTTTTGAAACTATCTAGAGATGACATAGGGTACACACTTCTCAAAGATAACCTCAAATATTGTGATTACTGGCATTCTGCAAATCTTCACTTAGCTTTACAATGGTTTGAAAAGGTAATCCCGTAAAATTTAAATCTTTGTATTTTTCTTTTTTATCCATAAAAATAAAAAAGAATTCCTTAAGCAGAAGCTGATTCTTTGGTCTTTATTTTCCCCTAAAATCCATGTATATATTTTTAGAACTGTTCATTTCAAATTAAACAAAAAAATAGTTTATAAATTAAAGCTAGGTTCGGAATTCGCTGTGACTAAGCATAAATGTGAGCAGATATCAATCAAACATTGTATGTTGTATATGGCCATACATGTTTTTTAAGTTTTAGCAGGGATAAAAAAAAAGAAACAACAACGAATAGCACACCTTACTTTTTTTTCAGTTCAAAGAAAAGGAAGCATCCTTGCAACTTATCATTTTCAATAGCAGAAACAATCTAGAGAAAGATGAAATAATGGTCTTGCCGTATAAATATACAAAATAGTTTAATATACAGCAAAATAAATTCATAAAAATAAGTATACAGTATATATTCCAGATTCCCAATGGCGAGCAGGAACAATAAGAGGTATATGTATAAATATTTCAACAGCTTAAGAGAAAAATCTACATAAAACAATGCCAAGAGCACCCGAGCTCAACAAAGAAGGCTGTTAAGGCTATCAACAACATTTGTTCCATGAGATAGACATATATATCAACGTCACAAATGTGACACGACGAGGTGGAATCAGACGCTCTATCAAGTTTTGGGTACATGGAGTTATTGGTGTAAGTGTAATCTTAAAGCCTGTTCATTTGTCTTCCTTCTGATGAAAAAAATACTCATCTATCCTTAATAGATCAAAGAAGGTGGGGGTCGCCGGGTTTCAGAGGTAAAATTAGCGAGAAAATGGCTGCCAAAGTTAGGTGACTTCCAAAGCTTGAGAGTCCTTGGAAACTACAAAATTACATTTTGTGTGTCTTTCATCAACATTTTTCAGTACAGATCTGTTTTTAAATTAAAAATAAAAGATGCTGAGCCAAAAAACAAAAATTCAATAAAAAGTGCCAGAAGAGCTGGAAAATGCTGGTTTCTTCAATTTCATTATTTTGACTAGCACCTAATTTCACCACGCTGCCTCACAAATATACTAGCCAGATCCCAGTGCAAGCATTTCAGAAAGTGCTTTTGAATAGCAGACATCAAACAAAGCATGCACAAATATAAGTAAAAACTTTCCAATGATAAAAAGTTGTAAATTTGCCAGGAAACTAATGGTGGCCTTTTTACTGGACTTCAGAGTAGTGGTCTTTCCTTTTTCCAATGAAGGTAAAAGGCTGAATTTTTATACATCATAAGTTTGGAATTATAATCTGAGGAAAATTTCAGTTGTTTTCTCTGAAGTATAAAGCAATGAACCAGACAATAGAATGAGATTAACAAAGTACAGTTTTATACTCCTACAATGCAGAAAAGACAAAAAATAAAGAAGTTATGTTATCATGCAAAACAAACAGTACACACAAACAACAACACATAAGTGACAGTTATCATGCTATTAAATTTTACTGTATTTATCAATCTAACACGCTATTTTCAAGAACGATATTTCAAAAAGTTTATTTTAAGTATTAGGATCGAGACTTAGTGTTTCAAGTCGCCTACTTGTTTCTTAATACCACGATTTTGGCAACTTCAGCTAGGACTGCTTGTAGTGCAGCCAATTACTTAGAATTTTACAACCTGACAGTATATGTCAAACTGTGCAGACCATCAAAGAGTTCAAAATCCTGTTTTTGTGACTATTTTTTTAACTTTTACTGCAGTCTTAATTCGTTTTTTTATGTTGGTGGCAAAATATTCTTAGCTCTCTGAGTAAAAGATGGCTTTTTGTCAGTTCTATGAGTCCATCTTCATGAATTTGTACTTAGCTATAAATGAAAAGTTCACGCGATAAAGTTCACACATTAAGCATTCTAAAAGCTTCCAATTATGCTGCCTCACTCATTATTCCTTCTATTCCTTACAAATCATTTCATTTCCAGCACAACTTCTTCCCTCCACCCTCAGAAGCATACTTCAACTGCAACCCTCCATGCACTGTTTTTACAGTTCATTTTAAAAATTCACAAGTAGAACTTAGTGGGCAGGAAAGTTACTGTCTGTTATGGGAAATACACAATTTTATGTGAGAAGAAGAAACTAAAACCAGTAATTTGAATGAATAAATTTAATGTCACCTCACAAGTTCTGCCACTCATCATCCCATGAAAATGCTGATCTAAAATTAGCAAGTTTTCACCTATAAAATTTTTAGTATCTCAACTATACATCAGCACAAAAATGTATTGAAATGACTCTTAAATACATGTATTACAATGCATAGACCACATGAAGAGGTTTTAAAATGTGTTTGGTGTCCAAATTCTGCTTCAGAGTACTCAATAAAAGAAAGCGAAAAAGTGTAAAGTGTTTGTGCAAAGCCAGATTTGCTGACTGTGTTGTTCCCTTGCCTCACTATGGAAAAGGGCTTTGCCTGCTTTCCTTCTCCTCATCGCCCAATCAGTTGCAAGATAAGCATGAGTCCAGCCACACCATAGGCTACAGTCCCAGCAATAGCCACGCCCATTGACCAGCCCACCTCTCTGCCTCTCCCAAGGTTGTAATCACTGTCAGATGCTCCAAACATGGTGTAGCCAATGCATGAGAAGACAACTGAAATGAAACAAAATAAAATAATCAGGCTGTTTCTTAGAAAATTAACCAGACGCAAAAAAATGAGATGTTTAAATTTATGCTGGAAGAAAGAGAGGTGACACACATGAATCCAAAGAGACCTAATGTACGAATGGCGCTATCTGTCATAAGAGCATTATTAAAGAAGCTCAAGTACTATAAACTCTATCCTTGCGCAAACAGTTACTATTTGATTCTCATATATACGTACACTTGAGGAGATTACTGAACAGTAACTCTGTAAACTAATAACAGATTTGTCTTAATCAAGCAAGTAGTCCTACCTATCCTTTAATCTATTTTTATTTCAGACTATAATTTTCTATTTTGGAATACTTGTACCACTTTGCATCTGACTGGTCCAGAGGGTACGCTGATACTAAACAATATTGCCATAAAACCCACATTTTAAAGTTATTCAATGATAAAAAAAGTAAAGGTTCCATTTTATTTTTAACATGGGACAGGAGTGGGTTGCCCACCTCCTGACTGGAACAGAGGAAGAACGAAGGTCAGTATTGAACAAAATCAAACACTAATGAAAGTAACAACTGTCAAAGTGAGTAAAACAAACTGCATCAAAACATCTTATCCAAAGTCAAACACTAACTGCCGACAAAAATAATGACTTACCAAAGCAGCCATAAAATGAGTACAGTAAAACCTTGGTATAATGTACTCCCCTCGGACACAAGATTTTTAATGTATTCAATACCAAGGTTTTTACAGTGCAACAGTTACAGTTTACACCAAAATAATGTTTCCAAAAATCAAACACTAAACACTGGCTAAAGCAAAGACTTGTCAAAGATGCCACAAAACAAGTACAGTCGAACCTGTATAGGACGGCCACTCATTGTCAAGGAGAAAAGTGGCCGTATAATAAGATAGGTGACTGTCTTAGGCTGGATTGAACAAAAAGGATTGATCAAAATGAAGAAAAGAAACCATTTCCCTTCTGAGGTCCCAACTGAAGGTAGCCGCACTGTTGCTGTTTATTGTTGTTGTTGTTGTTTCTGTTGGTTTGGGTTTTTTGCTTTTCAGTTTGTTGCTGATTTTGTGCAAGGGTGACGATAAAACAAGAAATGTGTCAGACGAGGAAGACCGAGTGCCATGGTAAAACAAACACATGGGTTGTCACCATTCGGAGAACTAGCGATGCTTCCTTCGCAAATTCATGTTGACGTCCTTTGTTACTGTGTTGCAGACTGGGTAAACAGTGACCACTCAACTCACATCTAATTTGTGTAGGCCTATCAGTTCTGAGCGGGGCTTATGGGTTATGAGGGGACACATTCTTACTTCACCAGCAGATGAAAATTTATTGTTACCTATTGGTCAACAGTGGGAAGGGCCTAAGCAACATGATCAGTAGGAGGGACTACCTAACAATGACCATAGATGATTGGATTTTGATGGTTCTTCAACAACATCAGGGGCCAGTACATAATTTATGATTCATCATATTATGACAAAACATCGAGCGATGACAGAGGTGGCCGTCTAAGGCAGGTGTTATTGTTTGATGTAATAGGTGTTGTGTGATAAAATATGGTGGCCGCAGCCGCTTTGGACAGATCACAGTTTTACACACAGTGGAATTATATAGAAAAAACGCAAGGGGGGAATGGGAAGTGGCCATCTGTACAGGTGGCTGTCATGGCAGGTTCAACTGTACATCACTAAAATATCATGAGTCCAAAATTAAACACTAATCGATCACAAAATAGAAAAATGTCACAATGTCAAAGTGGCCATAAAATAAGAACAAATTACGCCAAAACACAATATTATCATATATATATCCAAAACCAAACACTAACCGCCGACAAAAGTAAAAACTGTGGCTGCCTGGAGGAAGTCGCGGCGTCTGCAGGAGTCCATGCACAGATAGAGCAACAAGACAAGGATGGCCAGGAAGAAACCAATGAGGCCAATGCACTCCATGGCTTGGACAGCTCTGTGAAAGTCTGGGGATAAATATCAGGGGAGATGGCAAATACAGGTATAAATAACCTTTCCAAGGCAATCACCCATTGATGTGTCATCTTAGACAGATGGTCCTTTAGGATTATGTCACTTTAATAAAGAAAAACATTTTTATAGTAATTCTGTGATAAGCATCCCACCTTCAAAACAACCTATTTATAAGATGCCCCACTTTTTAAAAAATCTATTTATATAAAATATTAAATTTGGTGTCCCGTCTTCAAAACAACCTATTTATAAGATTATATTAGGTGTTCAACCTTCAAAATTGCTATTAAATTTATAAGATTAAATTAAGTGTCCCACTTTCAAAATAATCTATTTATGGGACTAAATATTAAATTACATGTCTGGCCTTCAAAACTACCTTTTATAATTAATAAGATTTAATTAGGAGTCCCACCTTGGAAATGACCTTTTTATAAGATTAAATAAAGCGTCCCAACTTTGAAATGGCCTATTTATAAGATTAAATTAGATGCCCCATCTTCGAGAAGACCTAGCCTGTTTATAAGATTAAATGAGGTGTCCCACCTTCAAAATAACCTATTTCTCTAGGCCTATGTGATCAAATTGAGCTGGAGTGGTACCAAAAACAAACGATAACCATCTTTTATTCCATCTTCTCATTATGTTGGAAGCTGTTTAAGTGCAATGATGAATCTTACTATGTATCTCGACTCTTTACACGTGGTTGGTCACCGTACCAAGTGACTTTGACTTTTAGCAAGCCATGATGCATGTAGGCCCTATATAGGCTTATATAGAGGGAGGTTTAAACGTTGGTATACAGTATCGCTTCATTGTAATAATCCTTAATTTATTAAAACTATTAGCACATTAGCTTATTAGTTGTCCTTTTACAGATGTATTTCCCAGTGTCATTGATCATATTTTCAGGTAATTAATTAATTTATGTACTTTAAAAAGCTTTGAAACTTTAATGAATTAAGTATAATAACAATGCTGTGATACTCATTGTATATGGCTTACATTAAATTGTACTCGTCTTTTGTATTCCCCCCTCCCCTCCCCCTGTATAAAGGCTGCCTGACCCAACAAACCCAAGCCCCAAGCAGCAATCGTGTGTTTATGTAATTCATGCTGGGACACATGTATAGTTAGTGGAAATTATTAATTAAACTGGAATAAATAAAATTCCACTACTTTTTTAAAAAATCCTACCTGGAAATTTAGTTAACAATGGCATATCATACATGACAAATAATATGTCTTGCCCAAATTTCCCTTGGTCTCAACAAATAATAATTTTTTTTTTGGGGGGGGGGGTTTGGGGGAGGGGGCTTGTTTGATTTAATTTTGTTTTCCATTTTTAACCAAATCTGTTCTTACCAGTGACAACGGCGTATTTGTAAGAGCCGCAACCCCTGCCAGAGCAGTAGTAAGTTTGCCACAGGCCCACCTCTGTTTTACCCGGGTATCGGTCTACCTTCCAGGCGACAGTGGCGAAGCCAATCACGAACAGCAGAAGGCCCAGGCCCATACAGATGATGGCCACCTTGAGCCAGACAGAGGCTGTGCGGAAAATGTTGCCCATGGTGATGTCTCGGTCTTCTGGTCGTCACAATGAAGAAGGGACTGCAGAAGAGAAGATTATGTTTGTATCTTACTACGTTTGTACAACAAGTAAGAGGGATGCCCGTGCCGTGAATACATTGTATTTAGGTAGAGTATGTTTAAACTTAAGATTAAGAATTTAACAACTCGCTATCTAGATCTAGAATTGTGAAGTTCTATCTGCGCTGTACCAAGTTTTGAAAAATTTGACTTAAAAATGTTTTGATCGAGTCTCACAACATATCAAGGTTTTTTTTCAAATGCAGTTCTTTGAATACTGTATCTTGCTAATGCCTCCGAACAATCTTACGATTTTCATAGAGCCGACAGAACACTGGTTTCTAGCCTCATAATCATGGCATTACAAAAAGCGGACAAAAATGTCTGAAAGAACTTTGTAATTCTAAGGTAACGATCTGCAGAAGAGAAGATTATTTTTGTACAAGGGGGATCAGGGATACCCATGCCGTTAGCGTTTTGGTAGAGTATGCTTAGAATTTGGGTCTCGGCAACTGCTGACGAGGACTGCAAGAGATTTTTAAAAATTAACAAAGAATGGGGATATCCCTGGCTTGAATATTTTGGCAGAGTCCTGGACCTAACAACTGACAGGGGAAAATGCAGAGGCTACTATTTTAGTTTAGTTAAAGTAAGAGTTTTACTACGGCACTTGCAGCACAATAAAGTCATTAATATATTTTAAGTGTCGAAGATAAGATGTGTTACAAAAAAAGAAGCAAAGAAAAAATAGAGATAGGGACAATAGATGTTTGACAGAAAATAAGGCGCAGCGTACACCTCATCAGAGCGAGCACCCGCCAACCACCCACTATGGGCTTTGATAAAGCCGGGAAACAGGCAGGTCAGGAGGTGCTGAAGGAAGAGCTGGCTCAACCAGTCTGTGACGTATGTCCCAGGCAGTGAGCTTACAAAGTTACTGGTCTGTCATGGTAAATAGAGGAGAGAAAGAAAGAGAGGGGGCGAAAGAGAGGGGGTGGGGGTAGGAGAGTGGGGAGGGATGAGAGGAGGTAGCTATACGGAGAATGAAAAAAACCGGCACGAGTGTAGAGACCGAAAGGGACGAGCGCGTAGAGGATATAGTGAAATAAACACCTGCACACCCCCACCCCCCAAAAAAAAACCACACACACACATGTACATGCACTCATTCACACACATATACACGTAAACCCACCTGTACACATATACACAAACACATACACACATACACACACACACACACACACACACACACACACACACATAAACACACATAAACTCACATACACATACACACACACTCATTCACACACTCACTAACACACATTACACGCACGCGCACACATACGCACACACATAGACACACAAATACACACACAAACACGCACATACACACACGCACATACACACACGCACTCATATAAACAAACACACACACACGCACACAC